CCGCCACATCTTCCATTCTTCGAGAAGTTCCGTCGACATCCACTCGATCCGTTCTTTGTGAGTGCTGATCACACGGCGAGGGTTCGATATTTTGCTTTCATCTCCGTCCTAAGCGGGTCCCGTTCCAACGGAGTGGTAGAGAACCACTCCTGGGAAAAATAAATAAAAACACTGGGGACAATTTGATGACCACAAAACAAACCTGGCATAGATTCGATAGCACACAGATCCCTATCGTCATCGGCCCTCCCCCACTCTTGTAAATGAAAGGGAAACCCCCGTGGGTCAGACACGAACAACAATCGGTTCTTGCTACCGAATCGGTATCGCTTACCTTTTGTCAGATAGGGTTCTAGCTCAAGTTGATTACATAGTGTACCAGAAAGTAGCTTGCGAACAAAGAAAGGTAAGAAAAAAAAGAAAATCACCACCTCGTGGTCCATTTCATTTCTCGTGCCCATGGCTCTCACCTCCCAGCTTCCAGGACGACGATCACAGCCGGTCGGGGAACGCGCCGAAAAGCGCGAACCCTGTCGCCTTCGCTGGCGATCGACATGACCAGTCGTCGCCTAGGGAAGGTCAATAATCATGTTCATTATACAAATGATTGACAGGGATATCCTTGGAATCAGGCGCCAGGGTTGGACCCACAATTGATCTTGTACCTCGTGCAAATGCTCATCTTACTAGGAATTAAGCGACGTTGTGTATGTAGTACGGAGGACGGAGTATCCTGTCCTCTGTATTCCGAAGCAATTAACGCGAACGGGATCTATTCTTACACATCGTTACCTTTGGCGTAACCAATAGGATCACCACCGAGAGCCTTGTCGATATCCGTTTTATCGGTTTCATCTGGCCCCGGCCGAGAGATGTACGAGTAGACCAAACTGAGATATCTTTCGTACCGTCGGCTGGTTTTTCAAACTCTCCAATTGCGCCATTGGGCCGTCTCTGCAAATACTAGTCACAATTTTATGCCTTTTTTGCCGTGCCGCTATACATAGATAGGGCAGGGCCGAAATACTCGGAAATGGGACAAGGACAAGTTAATCACCGTACATTACCTCATCACAAACCAGCGAACGAGGAAAGAAACAACGTAGATGAGTCTAATACTATAGGTAACCGAAGGAGTTCTGCCGTGCGACTTACTTTGTACGCCCTTACAAACATGATAAATCCCAATCTGTCTATAGATAGTCCTTCATCCTTGAGAGAATCGCAGCGTTAAAACATGCATCTCCTCCGCCCATATAGGCCATCAACAACGAGCACAAGCCCGAATGGGAAAAACCAAAACAGTATCACCGAGATCATCTGCAAGTACAGCCTCAAATCACGATTGGCGTACAAGAAAGCTTTGCTGGCCCTGTGATCGTCATTGCAGCATCCGTGACTCCACTGGAGAACCGCAGAAGAACTCACTTCGTATTCACCAGCTGCGACTAAAATGTCTTTCAGGGCGATCAGAGGCGGTCTCGTCACGGGGCTGCATTGCTTCGAGTAAATTCTCTACATTACGTACATATGTATGCCCAGTAGGGTTTCTGGCGAGTCAATCTTTGCCGTGGGCGCTGTAACCATGTACATATCACCCCGCTTTGCGATAATGAGGTTATCGAGAGTCTGAGCCTATGTACTCTGGTACCCTGAACTTGTGGTAAGGTTGGGAGGCTTTATGTCACGGCTTGGTGGTGGTGTTATGCTTGTTTCATGCAGGTCCGTTCACAGCAAACGCCATTGTGGTTTGAAATGCACCTGCCATCACATCGGCGGTCAGCTTGGCGAGCCTGACAGCCTGTAGAAAGTGGCTGTTCGGCTCGCCAGCCGGAGAATTGTGTAGATCGGGTACGTGTAGCAAAATTCTGGTTAGATTCAAGGCCACACGAAAACATGTTGAATATTCTAGCCAGTGAAGATACTACTAATGGAATTCCCACTGACTGTTCCTAAGGTTATGCTGTTCCAGCAGTACTAAAGCACTATCTGAGTGTTACCCAATTAGGAAAGAGGGCGGTGGGCATCACATGACCTTATCGATAACGCACCTCGAAAAACACGCCCCTCTGAGGTCGAATTACCCCAGAAAGCGCGTGGACCTTATTGAGTGGACGCTTTGCTGATCCTGAACCGGGATCTTGGATTATTGACCGCAGTGTCCTGAAATTGACTCAGCCGAACAAGATGGAGGGCCAAATCCAAGCTCAGATTCCCGGATTGGACCGTGTGATCTCCGAATACTCGGTGGTATGTCATATCGCAAATATGTCCAAGAACCTTTGCAAGCCCTGCGCAGAAGCTCACACAAGATAGGGATACTTGACTCACGCCTCCCACCAATACGTCGAAGATGCCAACGCCCCTTCCCCCTTGGCCGAGGCCGCCGAGTCTGTCACTGAGCTGCTCGTCTCTGCCTCGGGAGATTTCTCGGACAAGAATCGTGACGCCATTACCAGCCTGGTCGAGAAGTTCATTACAACGCTCAGCTCCTCGAATGGCATCGACATGGAAAGACAGCAGATGCCCTTCGCGGCGAAGAAACTGGACCAAACCATCAATGTTGGTTCGCAGCGGAACATGTCTTCTACTCTGGGTTTGACGAGCGGCAACGTGGACTTGGAATCTGCCAATGCGCGAAAGGTCGAGTCCAAGGTTGATAAGAAGAAACTTGAGAAGGCCGAGCGTAAGATTCGCGCCAAGCAGGAGAAGAAGCAGATGAAGAACGTTGAATATGAGTCTTCTCGCTTGCTTAGCCAGCCCGATGAGGCCATGTCGTACGAGGAGTTCTACATGGCCGTCAATCCTCTGCAGCTGGGCTCCGATTCCGCGGCCAAGAGCAAGGATATCAAGCTGGACAATATCGATATCTCTATTGGTGGTCTTCGTATCCTTACGGATGCTTCATTCACCCTTGCCTACGGTCGTCGTTATGGTCTTGTTGGTCAGAACGGTATTGGTAAGTCTACACTGCTGCGTGCGCTGAGTCGCAGAGAAGTCGCCGTGCCTACGCACGTTTCTATTCTCCACGTCGAACAAGAGGTATGTCATGATTTTTTCAGCCCTCCAATTGGCAAAGGCTGGTTATTAACCATTTTTATCAGATTACTGGCGATGATACCTCGGCAATCCAAGCTGTCCTGGATGCAGATGTGTGGCGCAAGCACCTCCTCAAAGAGCAAGAGAAGATCACATCGCAATTGAATGCTCTTGAAGAAGAGCGCTCTCAGCTGGCAGATACATCTAAGGATGCCGCCAGACTTGATAATGACAGAGAAGGCTTGGATATCACCTTGTCTGATATCCATTCCAAGCTTTCAGAAATGGAATCCGACAAGGCAGAGTCCAGGGCAGCCAGTATTCTGGCTGGTCTTGGTTTCTCTGCTGAGCGACAACAATATGCCACCAAGACCTTCTCTGGTGGTTGGCGAATGCGTCTGGCGTTGGCGCGAGCCCTATTCTGCGAGCCCGATCTCCTGCTTCTTGACGAGCCGTCTAACATGTTGGACGTTCCGTCCATCACTTTCCTTGCCAACTACCTCCAAGGATACCCCAGTACTGTCCTGGTTGTTTCTCACGATCGTGCATTCCTTAACGAAGTTGCCACGGATATTGTCCACCAGCACTCCGAACGTCTGGATTACTACCGGGGTGCTAACTTCGAGTCTTTCTACGCGACAAAGGAGGAGCGGAGGAAGATCGCCAAGCGCGAATATGAGAAGCAGATGGCCGAGCGAGCCCACTTGCAAGCCTTTATCGACAAGTTCCGTTACAATGCCGCCAAGTCCTCAGAAGCCCAGTCCCGAATCAAGAAGCTGGAAAAGATGCCCGTCCTCGAGGCTCCCGAGAGCGAGTACACCGTGCACTTCCAGTTCCCCGAGGTGGAGAAGCTCTCTCCGCCCATCGTCCAGATGTCCGACGTTTGCTTCGGATATACCAAGGACAAGCCGCTTCTCAGGGATGTCGATTTGGATGTGCAGCTGGACTCGCGTATCGGTATTGTCGGACCTAACGGTGCGGGTAAGACAACGGTACTGAAACTGCTCACGAATCAATTACAACCGACGAAGGGATTGATCTCCACCCACTCCAGACTGCGCATTGGATTCTTTGCCCAACATCACGTTGATGCTCTGGATATGAACGCCAGTGCCGTCACCTTCATGGCTAAGACTTACCCCGGCAGGTCTGATGAGGAGTACCGCAGACACCTGGGCGCGTAAGTTAAAATCCCTCCCCCCCTCCCCAACACATGGCTACTAATGCCGTCCTCGCCGAATTAATTAAATTCTAACATATTTATCACTCATAGGTTCGGTATCACCGGTATGACAGGTCTACAGAAGATGGAATTTCTGTCCGGAGGTCAAAAGTCCCGTGTGGCATTTGCCTGCTTGTCACTGACGAACCCTCACATCCTGGTTCTGGACGAGCCTTCTAACCACTTGGATATTGAGGGTATGGATGCGCTTTCCGAAGCGCTGCAGCGATTCGAGGGTGGTGTTGTCATGGTTTCTCACGATGTGACCATGTTGCAGAACGTTTGCAAGAGTCTCTGGGTCTGTGACCAGGGAACTGTGCACAAGTTTGACGGTGATGTCAAGGCCTATAAGAAGCAGATCACCGCTCAGGCTGATGCGGCGGGTGTTGTGGCCAAGCACTAAGCTTAGAGTAGATAATCAAAAGTGCTGTCTATATCTGTGTCTGTGTATGGGCCTATATCTATCAAATGCAATTTAAAACGCCCAAAATGCTCAAAATACTTAACCTACTTAAAACACCCCCATAGATGTAGTCAGTGACGGGTGACGCTGACGGTGACGGTGACGGAAAAAGGTCAGGCGGGGTGGGTCCGCGGCAATCCAGCTTATCGGCTATCGATGCTTCGAAACCGGGGGACCTGCGAGGCTCCTGACTTTCCTCCCCTAACCTAACAGTGTCACCCATGAAGCTAGGGCTCTAGACATTTGGATGTTTCACAGAACAGAGAGTCACGCAACATGAGCTCTCGCGAGGAGGCAGACCACGCCGGTCCCAACGCCCCGCTGCTCACTTCGACCGACCACCATGACCGGGACCTTTCTCCCGATCCGGCCGATAACGTCGATCTCGCGCCTGAGCTTGAATACCCCGGCGGATGGTTCATATGGATCTTGACTATTTCTGCTGGAATTAGTGGTCTCTTGTTTGGATATGAGTGAGTACATACTACATACCTGCGTACACAGAAAATGGAGGGAAACTGGCAGAGGGCTGACGAGACCTTTGTTCCTGTGAACTGTAGCACCGGCGTTATTTCCTCTACATTAGTGACGATCGGCTCCGATCTTTCGAATCGACCACTGACAACTCTGGACGAGAGTCTGATTACTTCTTGCACGAGTTTGTTTGCGCTCGTCGCTAGTCCGTTTACCGGAGTGCTTGCGGATAAATATGGTCGGCGCAAAGTCATTCTTGCTGCGGATGCCCTATTTGCGCTCGGCGCTTTGGCTCAGGCATTTACAAGTCAGGTCGGGGGAATGATTTTTGGCCGCAGTATTGTTGGGTTGGCGGTTGGTAGCGCGAGTGCTATTACGCCTTTGTGAGTTTGGGACCTCGATCTGTATGATTCCACGGTTTCGACTAATGTGGTAATTTTTGCTTTTAGATATATTTCAGAAGTGGCGCCGACACAAGCAAGAGGGCGGCTTGTTACTGTTCTATCCTTGCTCATCACCGGAGGTCAGGTGGTTGCCTATATTGTTGGGTGGTTATTCTCCGAAATGCCCGGAGGCTGGCGCTGGATCGTCGGCCTCGGAGCAGCACCCGCTTTCTTACAATTTGCAATCCTCATTTTTCTACCAGAGACACCCCGATGGCTTGTACAGGCCGGGTCGGAGGACAGAGCGGCGAAAGTCCTCACTCGCATCTATCATGGCTGTCCTGATCGGGATCAAGGAGTCCGCCGGGTCCTTCGCGGTATCAGGAGAGAAATTGAAGAAGAGGCGGAGGAAATGGGCCAGAGTGAAATTCCAGATGCGAATATGCATTGGTTCCATGATACGTCTCAGCGAACTCATGACTTATTCTATGTCGGCGGGAATAGGAGGGCTTTGACGATAGCAATGATGCTTCAAGGCCTTCAACAGTTGTGCGGGTTCAACAGCCTGATGTACTTTTCAGGCATCATCTTTACCGCGCTTGCGTTCTCTTCGCCAACGCTGACATCTCTCACTGTGGCCGTCACCAACTTTGTTTTTACTCTTTTTGCATTCGGACTGATTGATAAGATCGGGCGTCGTCGCATTCTCCTCTATTCGATTCCAGTGATGATTCTCGCGCTGATAGCATGTGCGGCGGTCTTTTCTTCCATGGACATCTCGTTTGAACCCGAGAGCGCGCAAAAGACGAACCCGAATGCGAACTCAAACTCTCCTCTATTGGTTTTGTTCTGCCTGGCAGTCTTCGTTGCATCCTACGCCTTCGGACTCGGAAATGTGCCATGGCAGCAGGCAGAGCTGTTCCCTTTGAATGTCCGATCTCTGGGATCATCTCTGGCTACAGCGACAAACTGGGGATCGAACTTCGTCGTCGGCCTCACTTTCTTGCCCATGATGCGGTGGATCTCTCCAACCTGGACATTCGTCATCTACGCTGGTGTGTGTGCCGTGGGCTGGGTGGCAGTTCATGCAATTTACCCAGAAATGAGTGGGATGGGCCTGGAAGATGTCAAGGGCCTTTTGGCGGAGGGCTGGGGCGTCGAGGAGAGTTTGCGACGAAGACGGAGCATGAAACATACATAGAATAGCACAGCGGCTATTGATTTTGGACTTGCTTCGACGACCTATGGCGATATCCAATCTGACATCTTGTTGGATTCTCTGAAGTGATCATCATAATGAAGGCCGGGCGCATAGCCCGAACCTAGAAAGGAGCGTGGTTGAGATTGTATATGATTTCGGATTGATTATTGGATCTGCCATGGAAATGGTTGCTCCGGGCAGGGCCAGGCTGCTGCTGTGCTTCTCGCGGACTGTCGCATGCGTACGATATCTTTCACTTCATCGGTCGCCCAAGTGAGACTTCATTTTTTTTCTCAGCATATACAACCAATACTATACAGCACATACATTTCATACCTGACCTCACCCTGCTTTCTTCTACATTCTTCCACTTCAAGTTGACATTCCATCGATCTATATTTCGACTTCACAACCTTGGAATCAATGGCTTACAAAGGACCTAAGTCTTCAACTACGAAGGTTGGAGCTTCAAGCTCCCTCCCTCGCAGTTTCATTCTGGACGCCCCGAACGAGGTAACTTGAGTTGATATGAAGATTATTTATGCGTTATTCGTTTGGGATGGCCTATTGATGAGTCTAATAGATCCTCCATCATATCGCCAGCTTTCTACCGAATGACAGGGACGTTGTCAATCTATCCAGGTCTTGCAGAGAGATGCATTCCAGAATTTTAGGACCGTCGACCGGCATCTGGAGGTCTCGTTTCGAAGCAAATTACGACTTACCCGCAGCAAAAAACATGGAAGAATTGGAATATGAATACAAGTCTCGTGCCATTATTCTCTCACACCGGATGGACTTTCGCGGAAGAAAGACAAACCTGAAGGAGCAGGCGTGGTTGGAAGTCATCCAAACCATGCTTGTCGAGTCCTTGACAATCCCTATCCAGCCCAGTGGTCCAAAAACATACAACAGGTTGCGAGAAGTCATGTCGCAGACGAATTTTCTAAGTCAACCAAAGAAGCAGAGGTCATGCGAGTTCACCTGCGCCATCCAGTTGGTAAGTTGGGCAATAGTAATATCAAGGGAGACGAACGAAAACTAAAAAAGGTTACTTCGATATAGTGCCTCACTGCCCTGGCTTTACACCGAGAAGTTTCCGAGCCCTGCTCCCGATATGACTATGAGCTCGCTATAGCTTACTCCTTCGGAAGTGAGCCGACTGGCCCCTATATCACACACAATAGCCTCGACCTCATCAAGCTATTGCATATCCGCAGCTTCTGGCAGCGACACCTTCTGGAGCCCGAAGAGATGTCTTTCTACCTCACATTCAAGGATCTGGCCGAAGACAACAAGCCTAAGATGCGGAAGGGATACGGTGCTATTGAATCGGAGCTGAGTTCTTCCTGGATCGGTTATTATTGTGAGTTTTATTTTCACTTGGACCAGTGATATCTACATACCTCCTCACAATATTCATCATTTCCAGCATGCCTCCATCCTATGCCCCAAACACGAACCCAGCTGAACAAGAACCCGGGCCAGACTTGCGCGGATATTGCGTCTCACTTAATTGATATCCTGGTAAGGAGTCTCTATCTCTAGCACCCTCCCGCCCCAAATCAATAATTGGTAACATACTAATGGGAAAGCAGTCCTTGGATTTGCAGACGACCGGTGACGAATTCTGGCCTGCAGAATGCAACAACTTGATCTCCACGAGCGAGGACCCGGATATTCACCGCGTGTTCTTTCAGGGATCACAGGGTTACTACGGCCAAACGAGCGATTTGAACCCGGTATTCGGGTTTAGGGAGGGTATCTCATTTCCTTATGGCGGTATCCCGGGCTGGGCTCGAATTTGCTTTGCCATTATTGCTACGGGGCAAGATATAAATTCGTCAGACTGGGTTCACGGGTACGAGGCGATTCTTCTTCCCGGTGGCAGGATCATGATGGGACGATGGTTGGATATGAAAGACCCGAGCGGTCGAGGGCCGTTCATTTTCTGGGATGTGGAGGCGCCATTCTACCTGTAGGAACTTATTCCGTGGCTACCCAGGTACAAGCGATTTCGAACAGGTACGGTGATCCACAGGCTTTTTATTTGTGGGAATGGGGATTTGAAAGGATAAGGGTTTTATTTGAGGAAGGTTGAAGGAGTCTCATGAGGTTTTCGTCTTGGGGGGGAAATTTATAGCGATAGAGGAGACAAAAAAAAGAAAGGTCTTTAACACAGATTATGGGATGGACAAAGGGAATAGGCAGGTCGAGACAAATGAAGAAACAAATTACTCCTCAATGTCCTTCACCTTCTCCCACTGGCCCTTGAGGTTCTCCTTCCACAAGCTGACCTTGTTGTCACCACCGCTGACGGCGAGAATGTTACCGCTCAGACTCCAGCTCACGCGCCAGAGGACGGTGTCGAACTCGAGTGTTTGGCTCGCCCACTGGCCCGGGTTAGATGCGTCGGAAGTCCAGATGCGGACGGTCTTGTCTTGCGAAGCTGAGGCGATGTAAGACTTGGACAGGATGCTAGGGGACCAAGCGACATCGCGAACCCAGTCGGAGTGGCCCTCCAGGGTTTGAGTGAGGTTATAGGTCTTGGACTCAGAGCTGCGGGGGGAAAAGTGTTAGCATGGAGCCCTGCTGGTATGTAGAGGGTTTATCGTATCTATAGTATATCATAAGCACATACTTGTAGTCCCAGATCTTGACCAAGTTGTCACTTCCACCTGTCACGAAACGTCTCTGCTGGCCGGGGCCGGGGTTGGAGCTGATCAGGCTACCCGCAAAAGCAGCGGGGGCCCAGCTGATCGAGTTCACGCCCATTCCATGAGCATGGAAGGTCTGGTGGGTCCAGTTATTGTCACGGAACTCGAGCACACTGACATGGCCATCGGAAGAGGCGCAAGCAAGGAGACAACCGCTCTCATGAGGGGCCCACGATACCATGTTGACGGAAGCGGTGTGGAGGGAGAAGTCGAAGACCTTGGTCCATGTGCTGCCACCGACGGGGGAGGTGGCATTCTGGGGTTGTTCTCGCCAGATCAAGACCTTGCCGTCGTAGGAGGAAGAAGCGAGGATGGTGCCGAACTTGGGGTGAGCCTGCGAGCGAAACGAATCATTGTCAGTACACTTGCGCTGGGATCCAGATAGTTGAGGTTGTTTTGGGACATCCCACTTACCCATGCGACACACCACACTGCACCTTCATGGCTAACAATTCGGAATAAGACCAGATCAGTTTTCAAGATTCTTTCCGTGTCCCTTTGCTTGGAAGGCAATGCTCACCCCTTCAGGGTCTCCACCAAGCGGTGCGATTCCCCCTCAATCTCGAAGATCTTAATCGTTTTATCGGAAGAGCAGGTAGCTAGCCTGCGACCATAGTAGTCTAAACCGGCATCATGCTACAAACAGAATCGAATTGTCAGCTAAACTCAATCGCATTCATCCACGACGGAGATGTTGAATATGGTCCATCAACCCCCCCAGCTCAACACAACGTACAATCATGTCCTCGTGCCCCGAGTTGGAAATCACCTGAGCGGCCGCCTAAACATTAAGAATTAGCATAAACACCACCACTGGAAATTGAATAGAGCGCACCATTTTATCAGGACCGCGTGGGGTAATGAAAGTCGCAAAATAGAGCTGAGGGAGCTGCGCGAGGGCCGACGTAGCCTACAAACAACCTGGCCGCATTGCTATCTCTTATCAGAATGACTAAGCGGATCACGTTACCCAGGGCACGTGCCTCGGCCCATCGGTAACCGTGGGGTTCTCCGCGGTGCGGCGACTCTCCTGTCTTGTACACTTCACGTCTTCGTTGTATATTTGCAGTTGTCGATACCCTGGTTTGCTTTATATTCGTGTGATACCTTGCTTTGAAAGCGCAGCTGTCCCGAAACCAGCTCGTTGCTTGAACTGCTTCTATCTTGTGTCTTGACCATCTACACATACTCGACACCATGGGCGATGCGCTATGTGGCCCGTCGAATGCGCTTCAGAACTTCCAGAAGCATACCTCTGTTGATCGGACTCTTCAGCAAGACCGGCTTACATCCAGGCAACCTTCTGCTCAGGTATGTAAGGCTCTCCAGTGTAAAGATTCAAAGTACTAATTCAGACGATCAGGGTTTCCGCTCTCAAAGCCCCCGCGATGGAATCCTCGACCCCGAGTTTGCTGCATTTGAAGCCAACCTCGGAGGACCCCAAATACAAGACATTCAACATCCAGCACAGCTGCAACATCCAGCACAGCTTGGCGGACCAGCACAACTTCATCATGCACAGCACCCGAGTGCCAACTGGGCATCCGACTTCCAAAACCTAAATATCTCCGGCCCACCAGCACCTCAAATACACACACCCCCTGTTGCGCAAGCCCAAAGAGGATGGCATAATGAGTTTATGAACCAGCATCAACAACCCGCCCCAGCTCACCATATGCAAGCCCAGCCGATGGCAAACCGCGGATTCCAGTCGTCCTTTGCACCGAACTATTCCATGTACAATAACTCGATGAATATGCAGCAAGTGTCACATGCACCTCAACAGCAACATCAAGCGCCCGTGGAGCAATTTGACGAGTCTGCATTTGAGGCCGCATTCGACCAGGCCCGGGCTAATCTGGACGAGCTACAACAACCCGAGGTCAAAACTGATAACGAACTGCCACTGCACGAAATTAGTCAAGCCGACCCAGGAACTGTTCTTCCCGACCTCGATGATCTCAGATCCGACACTGCCCGCATTGGATCCGATACTATCGCTCAGTCCGACAAGCAAGACCCACTGACGCGGGCTCACGATGCCGATGCTCTTGCTCAGACAGCAGGGCAACTTCTCGACAGCGTTCGTCACGAGCAAAACCAAAAGTTCCAGCAAAGCAATTTCCTTGCTTTGATGCGTCGGATTCGTGATCGTGAAGTAGAGGTGGAAGGGGATGAATTTCGCGAAGTCAGTAGCAACCCGTAACGGTTTGGCTGTCAAGCGAGGCGTGGCAGAAACTCCGGTATCATCATGTCGATCTATGCCGGCCATTATTCTTATTAATATGATTACAGACCGCGCAATCCCTTCACCCGGGTGGGCCTTACTACCCAGGTCAACCGATCCCTGACCAGGCCACGCCGTCCGACACTACGAGTAAGGAGACTTCCCTCCCCGTCGGCGGGGCCTAGTACCAAAACAACCAATGTTTTTATATGAGCAGAAAACCTGACGCTTTCTCCGGCCAGAGGAAACGCCAGTGATTGCTCAACAGACCCGTCTGGCTGAGGAAGAACCTGCCCAACCTGGTACCATCGCAACAGGACCGGGGGACAGCAATGCGCTCTATGAAGGATTATTGCATATGAACGGACCATTTGACCGGCGACGGACTCCGACATTCTGTTTCCGCGGCGAGGGCGAGATTTGCTTGTGACCAAACAACGCATCCATATCCGGGGTACAATAGGGTCACGTGCACCCATTGAGGCCCGAAAGAACAATCAACGTCCACCCATTGAGATCTCAATCCGCCCTATTAAGGTCTATCCAGCCCCCTGCACAATAGTACCTCATTTATTCATCAATGGTGCGATCGTGTCCACGGTTCATCACTGATTGGTCCATTTCTTTTTTCCTGATTTTTTCCCCCATAGCCAGCGTGATGATTTCGCAGTACATAAACCCTGCTGGGATGCATGTTTCCCTTAGAACCATTTACCACTTTGCTTGAATAAACAATACCACTTCTTTTATTCAAACTCGCACGGAATTTCCCTCAAGACTGCGCTTGCTTGTTCATTATGTCTCCGCCAGACCCCCTCCGCCACCTACTACAAAAGCTCATGGAAACCCAAACAAACCGCAGCAACTCTACACCCCCACCTCCACCACCATACAGCACCAACCCCCCTACCTCCACCTAGAGTCACAATGCCAGAATTGATGTCCGACATCGTTTACACGGACGAGCCCAACCCGCTCGCAATAACCATCGATGCAACCATCAACGTAGTGGGCAACAACAACACTCTAGCCCTAACATCGCAACCTATCTCGAAGAAAGAGCCCCCAACAGGCCAGACTTCCGAAGCCGAAAATGACGCCAGTGCATCTCTGGTTCGGAAACAAGATAGAGAGGCAAAAGCTGCCAGACTAGCCTCTGTCATCCTCAAAGCTCTCCAACAGGCCGATGGCCTGACGGATGATCAAGGCCGCAAGCGCACTGTTAGCGTTATGCTCAAGTGTGGTGTAAAGGTTGAGGGTTGCAATAATGAAGTGCTCTCTGATGAGGACGTCAATGGATTGACTTCCTGCTCGTTACGCGTTTCGTCTGGTGGGAGAAAGCGCGCTGCATCGGTATGTTTGGCTTCTCTCCATTGGGGTGGGGGCCTGTAGGAATTTTTCTTCTCTGAAAGTTTTTCTTCTAACTCTACTGTGAAAATATAGGAACCCCCGGCAGCCATACCGCCGCCACCGAAGCGTGGTTGTCGCCTTCTATGACTAGCGATAAAACCATGTTTGCTAAATCTGCTCTTGGTTGGCCTTGGTGTTATTATGCTTGTCATTGTTTGCGCTCTGTCGGAATCTGCGTTTCTCTATCTACTATTTTTTACGGGGAATTTTTGACTCTTTTTGTTCTCTTACTTTAATTTTATAGTCATCTTGTTCCTGAAAATTCTTGATAGCAGAGTACATCGCTGTTTAATTTTATCTCAACCGTAGAGGTCAGAGACGCGCTTGGGAGTAAACTTCTTAGGAGCATGGAAGAGCATGGGCACTCGGGAGGAGTTCTCAAACCAGGCCATCTTGTACCACAGACCGCGTTCGCCAAGTATGTCACCGTGATCACCAGTGAAAACAATGATTGTATCCTCATCTAGACCAGTGTTCTTGAGTACCTTGAGTACCTTGCTACTGTTGGTGTTAACGTAAGTGTAGAGGGCGTAGTATGTATAGCGGGCTGTCTCGATGTGGTCCTTGGGTAGGTCTGTGCTAAACAGATTGATGTGCCTGAGAATTTGCTGACAGTGTGCGTCTAGCTGGTTGTGAGGGATGGTACTATTCTTGGGGAGTGGAATGTTGATATTTTTGTATATGTCCCAGTACCCTTGGTTATCCATGGATGGTATAACGGTTGTGAGGGTGTGTTATGGAGATGGTTAAATATAATGGCTGATCAGTGCGGGTCTGCCCAGGTGTACGTGGTCGTATAAGTATTGCTCTGACATGTAGATTACCTCCTAGTCGAAGTCGAGTTGGTTGGTTCGGACGACAGGACCGGCATCCATGTCCTCCTCATCTAGTTTGCCGCCGTCGGCGCCATCGTGTGCAAGCGAGAAAGTGCATATGCGACCCGGTTTGTTACGCCCGTCCGATGCTAAGTCTTGATATCAAACAGCTGTAGGTATCGAGCTTCCCGTACCTGACGCTCAATTTAGTTTGTCCGGAGATGCGGTCGACAAAGGGGTCGCAAGGTAGACTGATGAAACTTATCTGTATAGATGACCACGGGCTCCTTCGCCGCTTCAATCCAAGACTTAAGTTTCCGAACATCCCACGCGATGCAAGAGAACACCAATTCGGTACCGCAATAGTTTTTCTCGGCGGCAGGAAGTGTCCTTCTCAGAAACGAATTGGTTGTACAGCCGTAGATGGTAGCGGACGGGCCATTTTATAATTAACGTAGTCTTCTTTAGATAAAGACCATCACGCCAGTCTTCTAACTCCATTGAAAGGGGGGGGGATTGCGCTAAACTTGGAATCTGTTGAATTGTTTGGTAACGGGTTTCGCGAGGTTCCCCATTGCCTATTATGCTTCTTATAAGTAATGCTTTTGAGGAACTTGGGGAACACGAACCTTGGGCCAGTTGAAAGTCTCAAGATCTGGTGGTTCTGCTACCAGTTTGGCCCTAGTTTTTTCTCCTGCAGTAATGGTGATACAATATTAAGACTAAGGCCATAATGTCCCGACCGAGGTTCAAAAGCCCGCTCCAGTATCTTAGAAGGTAAAGATTGAAACGCATGGCAAAAAGTCATCTTAAGAGTTTCCAAAGACAAGTTGTACCAGGTCGTCAATATCCGGGGGAAATGTAAGAACCCAAAGCCGAGTAAGATTGGCCACTCTCAATCATTGGCCACGTTTGAAGAGAGAGATTAGAAGTGAAAGAAAAAGTCAAGGATGAAATATAGAATCCAGCCCAGCCTGGACGGCAAATGAGGAGAAACGGAGGTTGGACCGGGGAAAGTAGATTGAGTAAGGGAATGAGAGGCTATCAACTGACCCATTGCGGATGGCAGTATAGTGTTTTGGTGAAATTGCAGGATCGCCTGGACAATATCTCAGGAGCTCAAGTATGGACGGAACGTGCTGCGTAAGTGCATGGGGGGTTTTTCTTTACGAGCGGGACTCGACCGATTCCCTTGTCTGTATGGCCTTTTTAAGAGATGGCCCGGCTGGGGGTCATGGTAGCATAGGCGCGTTCTCGATTCTATCTCCCAGTGTAAGAATATCCTGACGGAGGTAGCTCAAGTTCTCTAGAGCGTAGAACTAGCCCGGGGGCCTGGGCCGGGTCGATCATGCGACAATGCGTTGGGCTTCGTATTGCTTGAATAAACGGCACCTTGAAGATGAAGTGCCTGTAACGTGGGTAGGTTCGTCCATTGCCGTAGGACCGGGGCGACGACTAGTGTTCTTTTCTTCGGCAATCGAAATGAGTCTCCACGTTTCTTAGCGACGGTGTTGGTCTCGTCGGCATAGTGAGAAGAGTGCATGGTGAGAAGAGTGACTAGTTACTTTGTCAGAAACATATAACCCGGCATTGTCACTATTACAGGTAAAATGGACTCACTGGCGGATGGAAGCACCTCCCAGAACTAAGAGAAGGAAGAGGGTTATGGGCACTGGCAGCATACCGGCCTAGAAACAGAGGACCCGAAATGAACTCATAAGGTTGCTAAGTGTATCCGTTGTGTCTTTTCGAAAGTTTGATCAGGGTCGACATTCCATGCATTTCAGGTCGACTGAAGCCACAAGAAACTCTGCTTCGGCTTTGATTCCAGTGGCATCTTCTTCAGATGTTGTCTGGACACCATTGTGTGATTTTGTTGCGGTCCCGGCTTTGTATGCAACCCGAAGGGCGAGTCCGAAATGAGGGTTCTTATACCCCGATGAGTGTAGCTATGGCTGGTGAGTCTTTTGCAACCACTGGATATGTCAAGAGCGCAGAGGCCATTATACCCCCGGAGATGCCCGATAGTTGTAAGAAGGATGAGTCTGACTGGAGTTATATTGGGATTGGGATTTATATGGGAAGTTGAAGATGGTAGGGATGCTGCACTCGCACCTGCCGGAGAGATACCACTGGTAGTACACTTGTTTCCATGTGAATGTTGCCATGTTTACAAGTAAAACTGGCAGCAACGAAAAGGTAAACAAACCAGTGGCACCTGCCTTATACCAAGGCACCTGTCGTTGACTCCAAGAAGGCACCAAGTTGTGTGTTGTGATTACAGCCTACACTCCGACATACTTGACCCGAAGAACGCGACGGCGATGTACCACAGACACCTCACGAACCTTAGCCGGGGTTCCGCTCAGAGTCGTCGGAGAATGGAAAGACATCCCAGGACCTGGATAAGAGGTAGCAGCCCCATTTAAATAATGCAGAGGATTCCGCTAAAAACTGCAGGGCCAATGAAAGCGGGAATGAGCACAATGCTGAAGAGAACACTCCACCTTAGACTGGGCCTGCATAATTTCGCACACGGAAAGTGTACGGAGAGAGTTCATCAAAGTCGCGAGGGAAATCAAGCGGCGTCAAATGGTAGTTCAATACAGAGCAAACTCAGCTATGTTGCCTGCGGGACGCATCCTGGAACTGCCTCAAAGTGGAACAATCCCGAAAGATTGCATCAACACGTTTGCCTCGCGATTGCCAAGAGAACCTGGCTATGAGAAAATTTTCGTCATGATGATCTTGTCAATGCATTCAAACGAGGATATCACAAAGGCATCGTACTTTCAAGCCGTCGATCCTTCCAAGACCCTTGTCTGCCCGGGTCAGCTTGTTGACAGTTTGACCACTTTGCCGGTATTTAATGAGCTCCAAAAGAAGCTGCTTTAGGCGGCATGGATGGTTCTTCCCCCTTGCACGCTATAGATCGTTCGCCATGTTAGGCTTGCAACAGGTCCTACTTTTGAAAAAGCACCGAAGAAGTACACAGCACCGTATCTACACAGACTGGAGATTTGGCATAAACAACACCATTGAGACACTCGCGGATGTCATAACCTGGGCAAAACAACATATCTTCTACAAGCGTCGATGGAGAACTAACCACCTCCCTTGCCGGTATCCCCAAAAAGGGCAGAACAGCTCGCTCAACTCACCTACGAGTGACAACATCTGGGTTCAGCTTTATGATATATATGATAAAAAGTGCAGAAACCGAGCCAGCTCTACCACAAGTTAAAAATGTTGGTTGCCTGTCATAGCTTAGCTTATCCAGCACGTGACTACAGAGATATCTCTTACAGAAGGAGAGGGAGAATAAGATCATCTTCTTCCACACTAGTCTTCCAGACAGTTAGATCCCCCACGAGGGTTACATTCCCACCGTGACCTACTTCCAAGGTTTTCTACCGAACACGACGGAGTTGGAATATATCCCTTCAGGGAAAGGCGTCAAGGAACTTCTGCTCGTGCTTCCGGATTGATGAAGGAGGACGAAACCTGCGAATTGCGGACTGATAGTGACAACGCGGAGCTCATTATTTCTGGAATTGGGTACAAATATTCAGCCAAGGCTGTGGGTCTTGCGTGCTACAATGCCAGGGATGCGGTAAAAAGTGGAGTGTTGACACTGATCGATCGACAGCGAGGATAACACTGCGGATGGATCGGAAACCATTGCATGGTGAGGCTTTTATAAATTTGTCAAATTGCTCCGTCTTGCATGACGGAGTGGATTACTTTTTGTGTGGCTCGGAGCAGGCATATAAATTTCGGAATATTGTAGATCTCAAAGTTATCCCTGATGCCAGGTATGAGATTTCTTGTCCCAGCTGGCTTCCAACCATTGTAGTCGCCTTGCTCAAGAGCGGCACGGTATTTGAGCTTTTTCTTATTTGGAAGTAGCAAGACTGATTTTGCAAGCCCGAATTGATGATCAATATCTTCTCTACTCAAGCCGTGGCTTTTGACATAGAAAAATCCTGCCAGGTTCTCGTATCAGAATTAATTCGTTTGATTAATCAAGAATACGTTGGAAATTACTGCTCAACTTACCAACATCTTCGATTGCTTTAGTAAACTCAACCACGAGCTCCTGTTTACCTCCAGGTCGATCGAATTTGGAAAAATTGTGTTATGGACACTATCATGGTGCAAGATGGTCTCTACAATCCTTCCGAGCCGGTAGTCGGCCAATCCCCATAGCTTAGTACATATTCCGTCTCGGAGAATAAGTGGGGTCTCGGCATTTGGATCAAATCCTTGTTCACTAGATCCCGATATCTACCACGGTTCCAATGCCTGAAAGATCTTGGTGTGTTGACACCACGCATGAAAACATGATAACTCAAAGTCTATCGGTTGCCTTTGCCCATCCAAAAGCTAGGCTTGGATTTGCATTTTCCCACGGAAAGGAAATATTTCCCGAAGAAATTGTAGCGCTTTGGAATGCCCCGCACCTCCGCCCAATATGGACTGGCCTTTCTTGGCCATTTTTCGGAGATATAAGGAGTCAGGACATGGTGTCATTCCTAAGATTGTGCACACCAATCAATCGTCCGCTTTGGCTATTTTCCGTCCTGATTAGCTTGGGAGTTTGCATTCACGCAACTTGCTCGAGGCTCGCATTGAATCTGCCCCATTGCTCTCCCTCTTGCCTCCGATTATCCGAACCCTGTGAATACGAACTGCTTCCAATGTTACGACTTGAACCAGAGACACATCTTACCTAGCTCTAGACCTAAGCTTGTCTTGGCTCATATTTCTGAACGTGACATCTGAGCACAGAGAATTAATTCGGCATGCCGGAAAACAACGTGGCTGCTGATCCCTCCGGGGATCTCGACGTAAATGCCATTGAAAAGAACATATTCGTCGACACGACCAACCTTCGATATGAAGCGACAACAATCGATCCGGAAATAGAGAAAAAGGTATTGAGGAAGATAGATCTGTTTCTCATGCCTGCAATGGTGATCGGTACGTCTCACCCTAAGACCACCGAGTCCTCCTTTTGTACCGGAGCTTACATTTTACAGGCTATGGTTTAGTCTACTATGATAAAGTAAGGGTTCTCCAAGGCCCGGCAGTAGAGGCCAAGTACTGATTGAATTACCTTCAAAGGCGCTTCTTGGTAATGCTGTTCTCTTCGGAATGACCGCAGACCTTCAACTCTCTGTCACCGATACCTCTGTCAGCCCTCCTATAACCGACACTTCTAGACTGAGCTGGGCAACTTCTATCTTCTATTTTGGCCAATTGGTCGGCTCTTATCCTCTGACGTACATGCTGCAATACTTCAACACAAGATATATTCTTGGCCCAACAGTCATACTATGGGCGATCACATGTGCTGCCACGGCAGGTGTCACTACTTGGCAAGGCCTCTTTGCACAGAGATTCTTTCTAGGTACGGAAAAGTATCAGCAGTTAAAATCTCATCTTCTTACATCGCTATTTGTCAGGTTTCACCGAATCAATTATTCCGACCTGCTTCATGGTAACAGTTAGCGGTTTCTATACCCAGTCAGAGCAGGCTCTACGGCAAAGTTGGTGGTGGTCAGGGACTGCCTGGTTCACCATTATAGGTAGCGCCATTAGTTATGGGTTCGCCCAAGTGGAGGGCTCCTTACGGCCGTGGCAGTATGTCTTCATTCTTGCTGGAGCGTTGACGTTCCTTTTCGGGATTTGGTGTTTCTTCCTCCCAAATTCGCCTGTTAACGCATGGTTCTTGGACCCGGAGGAGCGAATCGTGGCCACAGAGCGGCTACGAACTGGTCAAACTGGATTGAACAACAAGAAAATCAAATTATCACAGATCAAGGAATCCGTGTTGGACATCAAGCTTTGGCTGATCTGCATAACAATGATTTCTGCGTGAGTCAGACAATCCGGCTATTGGGTTTTGGTCTAACATGTAGAAAAAACAGATATACTGTGAACGGTGCGGTATCCGGCTTTGGCCCACTGATCGTGTCAACATTCGGATATTCTACCTTGGAAAGCATTCTGTTCCAATTTCCCCTGGGTGGAATAGCAGGAATAGGAATCATTGGGACTGGTTGGTTATGCTCCAAGTATCGTAATATCAGAGTATTGTCCTTGGTTACATGCTGCCTGCCGGTAATAGCCGGATTCATCATGATCTGGAAATCAGATTGGGGTTACAAACCAGCTGTACCAGTCGCCGGTTATTCACTGCTTGGGTTTTTCGGGCCCGTTGTGGCTCTCACCATCTCGCTCGGAGCTGGAAATGTTGCAGGTAGCACAAAGCGCAGCTTTACTGCATCGGCTATATTTGTGGCCTATTGCGTGGGCAACATCATTGGTCCCCAGTTGATACGCAGCCAGACCAAGGATCGGCATTACCCAGAGCTATGGACCGGTTTGATTATTTGGTCAGTTATACCATGCGTTACTCAATGTATACTTCTATTGATAAACTAATATTTAACAGCTACTGCATCACAATAACGTCTGCATCTCTTCTCTATGTTGTTTGCTCGCGCGAAAATAAACGTCGGGAGTCACTTGCTTTAACAGAGTCCGAGCGGGTGCGATTAGGCTTTGAAGATCTGACGGACAAGGAAAACGTTTATTTCAGATACGTGTACTAAGTTTGTTTGTTTCAAAAGCAGATTTCATGTATCAATATAATTTGTTGGTCTTGAGCTTCTCTTCCCAGCCAGTATAGATCACTGTCCATTGATAAGATTTTCAAAAACAACTCTTTACTTAGATGATTGCTTATGACCGTGAATTATTTCAATTAATTGATGCTCGCTACTAGTAGTATGCATGACGTTGGAATTAAGTGAATTTTTATAGTGGAATGCCAGAATCGAAAGCAGGGAATGTAGATCGTGATACCCCATGAATTAATAAGAAGCCCCCACGGTTAGTGTAGGTGTGTCGAACAAACCTCTTATACCGGAGTTTTTCTGCCCGTCAAGCCTCATTTCCAGAGGCCTTGGTGGCTCTCGTCATGAATATTATCAGTATTGCCTTAATCGCTGCCCTCACGCTTCTCACAAGCGCCGCATCCACGAACTCGGGCGCCCAATTCAACACCCACAATCCGCGGAGACTCATGTATGGCAGATATACTACCTTAAAAAGAAGGGAGGAAACGATTTTTCCAAAACCGAGTCGATTCCTCCGAGTCAAAACATATACTGAAACAACTATACGATACAGTTAGTGAACCCTGCGAGGCGGGCAACGAGTGCTGCAGGTGTGTCAATGCAAAATGCAGAGCGGATAATAATTAAGACACTCGCTGGCTCCAGCTTTCGAATGTGCAATGTCATTAAATTAAACTTATCTCAGATTTGCTCGCCTTAAAATCCTCCCTAACCGACGAACTTCCTATGTACCTCGGCATCATTTGATAACTGCTGACTAATCACCAAATGCGGGGATTCGGCTTTCTCCAAGCGTACTCGGAATGATGAGTGATCTCCTTTCCAAATTATTCCCTGCCAAATCAGCATTGCGAACCATAGCTCTACTCTGGCGCAATCCGATCTTAAAATGGCAGTGCCACAGATTACTCTTTATGTTGACATTGTCAGCCCCTTTGCATACATCGCGTTCCACGTATTAAAGGTAAGTCTTCTTCTCCTCTCCAACTTCACACCTCGGTTTGAGTATGACGTCTAACGCGAATAATTAGAACTCGTCCACATTCGCAAAATGCAATGTGACTTACGTCCCGATTTTCCTTGGGGGGGTTGATGCATGCTTGTAACAATACTCCTCCTATAAATATCAAAAGTACGCCTGGTTGCCAAGCCCGGATTGTTTCTCTGTCTTGGAATATTTACCCCCTTTGATTATTTGTTACTAACAGCTCCTACACAGACAAGGATAAATGGATGGGTACAGAGCGCATGCGATGGGCAAAGTATTTCAACGTCCCGATGACAGAGAAATTCCCCGAAGGATTTCCCCCGAAAACACTCGCGGTCCAGCGCGCTCTGTGTGCCATTTCGCAAAAGTTCCCCGAGAAGCTTCCGGCTGTCATTGAAGCAGTTTACCGTTCGTTCTGGGTCGATGAGAACACCCGGATCGGAGATGTTGAGGGATTTGCCCCCGTGTTTGAAACGGTTCTTGGTCAAAAGGCGACACAGGAGGTGCTGTCAGCGGTAGGTTCCTCGATAATTGTTCTATGATGTGGTTATGTGGTTTTTTTTGTTCTAACGTTGTTGCAGATGACCCAAGGCGAGGTTAAGGCTGATTTGACTGCTAATACGGACAAATCTTTCAAGGAGGGCGCATTCGATCTCCCGTGGTTCCAGTGCACGAATGCTGAGGGCAAGACTGAGGGATTCTGGGGTATTGATCATCTTGGAGTCGTGGCTGACTTTTTGGGATTGGATCGCAGTCGTGAGTCGGGCTTTAGGGCTCTTCTCTGATTTTGGTGTTTCAAGTTGTATAGTAGTACCATCAGTGGCTCAGTTTCTTCCGATACTTTGTACAAGTGTCAAAATGTTATATTGTATACATTCTCAAGAAGTAGAGTTATCCTACAAAACCAGTCCCAAGATCGCTCAGCGAACTGAAGTTCCATCCATGCAGGGACATCATATATTTATAACCGAGTTATCACAGAACACCAACATCACGCCTCGCTATACTTTAATTTGTCGAGGGCGGCGGCTTCGTACTCATATGTTTCTCTCGTAAGAAATCGCAAATGCGCTCGGTGTCTAACTGGTCAACTCGCTGTTGTTCAGCTGCGTCCACAGTGGGATCGATAGCTAGAGAGAGAGAAAAAAAGTCATTAGCAATGCGAGACTAGGCTATTCAAAGCAACAAAAAGGTCTCATAGTGTACCATTCCCGTCATTTTCATTCGTACCCCCGCCAAAGACCGTATTTGCGCTTGTACGGTGTGAATCGCCTCCTCCGCAACAGGGAGGACAGTTTCCTTCGCGTCTTGAACCTTTTCGCTAGCAACAGATGAGACTTCACTGCCGATTTCGGAGATGGACCGGCCACCCGTGACGGAGTTGAGTTGTTCTTTCACGTTCGCAAGGACACCTTCGGACCCGGATTGATGCGACTCCGAGTCAGCGTGCACGACGTCATGATTTCTCTGTTCGGCGGGGGAGTTTGTCGAGAATGAGTCGCTCGCAGAGCTCATAATGGTTCGGATCGTGATATATTGGTAAAATAAATTAAAAGGAAGAGAAAGGAACGCCGCTATCCAGGAGATGCAGTCAATGCTAAGGCGAAAGGGGATGGTAGGGCTGAGCCGACGTAGGGCTGACGGAGCTTTAGTAGGGTGTAGGCAGGGTTGGGGTTATGACATCGATGCAAGGCGTGGGCCAGGTTTCGCGACGATCCAATGATCCAATTACCAGGCAGAAGGAATCACTCATCTCGGCTGAGATCATGGCGCATGTTTTCCTAGGAAGACGTGGAGACGAGAGGATCTTGCAAGGCCAATGTGCCTGGTGATGACGTCGTTGGACCCATCGGAGACAGTCTGTGGTTCAAAGGTGGCCATGTTTGTGAAACAGATCATCTGCAGTCGTGTGAGAGTCAGGGAAATGAAGTGAGGTCTATTTACGAGGACGAGGGGGTGGAGCAGTTCATCTCCATATGTTTCTGGTTGTGTGGTGGTTGATGCGAAAGAAAGGTTTCAATGCCATGCGGGCAGAGGAAGAGGAAGAGGAAGAGGAAGAGGGGCATACAAAGAGAAGGCTGATATATCCACCTTTGATTATTACTAGCATTCTGATATGAACTATAGTTCTGAATGCTCTCGATATATTAGCTCTCTACTCTATACATTTATATTCAATTACTCCTATATCAACAGCCCCAACACTGCCTTGTCCTTCTAGTATACTTTTGTGCCCCACCGCCCCCGCCGCCAATCCGTCCCCGGTGTATTTCTGCATTTCTGCATTTTCAACCTCCAACACTCCTACTCACTCCTAACACCCATCCTCCTCCTCAACAATGGCCCCCATCCCAGTGACAATAGTCACCGGCTTCCTAGGCTCAGGAAAAACAACCCTCCTCCTAAACCTAATCCCCCAACTCCCACCCACCTACCGCCTCGCCCTATTGAAAAACGAATTCGGCGACGTCGCCGTCGACTCCCAACTAGCAACAGCCCAATCAATCTCCGGCGTCCGCGAACTACTCAACGGCTGCATCTGCTGCAATCTCGTCGGCCAACTCAGCGATGCACTCGAACAATTACGCACAGAGGTCGTGCCAGACCGAATCGTCATCGAAACGAGCGGGAGCGCATTCCCCGCTACCCTCGCTATGGAAGTGAATCGGCTATCGCGCGAGGGGCCCTCGGCAGGACAATTTGTACTTGACGGCGTGATTAGCGTGATTGATGTTGAGAATTGGGAGGGGTATGAGGATACTTCGTATACGGCGAAGATTCAGGCGAAATATACGGATTTGATTGTTTTTAATAAGTGGGAGGTTGTTCCTGAGCAGAGGTTTGATGTTTGTCTTGATCGGGTTGGGGATTTGGAGATTGAGACGCCGTGGGTCAAGTCTATCCGCGGTGTTGTGGATAAGGAAGTTTTGCTTGGTATTGATGGGGCGTTGTTTGCGAAGGAGAATGGTGAGAAGGATGCCGTTGCCCAGAATGGCGATGGCCATGGTCATGGGAACGAACATAAGCATGATCACCAGTCCGAGGTGGAAGTGTTGTCGGTTCTTTTGAAAGGATCAGCTCCCGGAAGAACGATTGATGTTGAGGCGTTGGAGAATCTGCTCTCCGCCGCGCCGAGGGAGGAGGTTTATCGCATCAAGGGTATTATTCGCTCTTCGGGGCGAAAGCCGCCGGCTGAATCTTCGGATGATCTCCAGACGAGGAATACGGGCGATGAGGCTAGTCGGTACTATATCCTCAACTGGGCGTTTGGGAGGTGGACTGCGACGCCGTCGACTGTTGTTGCGGAATCCGCTGATGAGACGGTCGTTGCGAGATTGACTCTCATCTTGGCTCGGTATGAGTCTACTAAGTGGAAGAAGAAGCTTGAGGCTGGGGGTCTGGTTAAGGCTGTTGAGGATGGAGAGGCTGAGTTGGTTGTGAACCGATTGGTCTGAACTGGAGCTGGCTCCGATTCGCATTTACGTGTTGGACAGGTTGATGATACTAGGTTTCTAGAATAGATGATAGACATGATGATGATGTATAAAGACACGAAGAGATGGAATATAAGAGAAAGTAGGCCTGTCGATAACTAGGCCCTCTATTTGACATATACCCCCAGGCTCTCAAAATAGGACAAAGGCGAAAGAATGCCCAGGTGCTCCCTACAACCTTGACGAGTCTAGCTGTTCTACTAGTAGGAAAGTTTCGAATCCATGGATGCTCTACGCGGAAGCGAATGACTGGCGCTGAAAGAGTAAATTCTAAACGCAGCGTAGAATCTAATCTATCGAATCTCCAGGAATGTTTATGGAGGAGAAGCAACGACAACGCTGCGGTGGACGCGTAAAGCAGAAAATCAACACTTGATTAACAGCGTTCGGAGATATATCAGAGCCAAAATGATTTCAGGCCAAAACATGGATAGCGAATGAATGACCGCAGTAAATGCGAAGGCAGAAACGAAAACAGACGAAATGGAGATGGGAAGCCAAGGCCAATTCAATTAGATTAGTAGTCGAGAAGCGCTGAGGCACCAGGCTCGCTCGAGATGTAGATCACCTCGTGGTTGTCGGAGAATCCATTGAAGCGAGTGGCACTGCACTTGGTGTAAGCACCCATCTCCTCGAAATACAGCCAATCGCCGGTGTTCAGTAGACCGGGCAGATCAATGCGCTCGGTGATGACATCGATGCCGTCGCAGGTGGGGCCCCAGATGGAGTACGCGATGGTCTCCGAAGTCGCAGAACTCGGAGAGGCGTTGTTCGCGGACAAGAGGACCTGAGCAACCGGGTGCTGGTGGTCGAAGATGATGTTCGAGAAGTTGCCGTACACACCGTCGTTCAGGTAGAGCATGTAGGCGTCGCGTGAAGGGTCCGCGGGGTCAGGAACATCACGACGGGCGATGACATTGGCGGCCAAGGTGAAGGCATTCGCGACATAGTAACGACCAGGCTCCGCAATGATCCGAATGTTCGGCGGGAAGTACGTTTCCAGAGCGTCGCTCAGGATACCAGAGAACTTCTCGAAGGTGTCACCGCTGAAGCCACCGCCCACGTCCAAGGTGTGCATCTCGTGGCCGATGTCGGAGGCTTGGTCAAAAACCAGGCGGGCATCCTCGACAGCTTTGAGGAAAGCACGCGGATCCTCGGCACCGGATCCGACGTGGAAGCTAACGCCGACGACCTTGAGTTCGAGTTGGTGGGCCAGCTCGAGCAGCTGGGGGGCGATATCCATGGATGCACCGAACTTCATGCTCAGACGGCACAAGCTGGTGGAGTCATCGGTCAGAATACGGAGGTACAGCTCGGCCTCGGGGAACGTGGCCTTGATCTTGTACAGCTCGTCGGCATTGTCAAAGGTCATCTGCTTCACGCCAACCTCCTTGGCATAACGCAGGTAAGACTTAGTCTTGCAGGGCTGGGCGTAGATAATTCGGCTGGGATCGATGCCCGTCTGGAGGGCGAGATCAATCTCCGACTTGGAAGCGCAGTCGAATCCATTGCCCAACTGGGCCATGAGACGAAGCACCTCGGGATCCGGGTTGCACTTGACAGCTGGAGAAAGATGTTAGCGAGAGGAGTTCGGCGACAAATGCATCAAGATGTGGCAAAAGGGTCCTACCATAGAAAGGCTTGACACGGCCCAAATTCATCTTCCAGCGCATATGCTGGCGGTAGACCTCCCCCCATATCCGCCACATAAAACGCATCCTCCTCTCCAGGGTCGCAATTGTCCACATCCACCTCGGCGGCCCTCTTCTTCAAGATTTGTAGGACAAGATCCTTGGCAGTCAACTGAGATTGCAACACATCATCCCCGCCATGATTGACGAGGGCGGAGTGATCACGACGAAGGTCGTTTTTGATGGTGCATAATTCAGCAGGGGAAACACACGCGGTTGGTGCCATCACCGTGCAGCTGTGACTCAGCACGATAAGTTCTTTTTATTAAGAAAATAATAAAAGAAAAATTAAGTTTGGTAGGTTTCAACAGTAACACAACTGCGTGTTTTAGGGAGGACGAAAAGTGTCACAACCGTAGTTGACTGGACCAAGCCTCCTAGACCCTTCCCCCTTAAGAGGAAGAACCTGCGAAGAAGTCCTATGCGGCAGCTCAAGAATTGAGGGAATAATCTGAGAGGGCGTCAAGGTGACGGAAAAAGGCGCACCGGACGGAAGTTTAGGAAAGGCAAGCAGGAGGTGGAATGTTGTTAAGAGTGTCGCGCTGACGTCGAGTGGAGACAATTTGGCTGAGAAGTAAAAGCGAGGCTGCGGGAGCCGTGGTGACCTTGGAGTGCCTTTGAAAAGACCAAAGGCAAGGTCAAAGCTAGAAAATTGGATGAAGTCTAGTAGTCACCGGTCCGAATTAGCACCAGAGTCACAACCAGACGGGGGAAGTATGAGTGAAAAAAATGGACGGTTGAGGGGGAGGAATTGGGCTCAGAGTTTTAAGTTGGGGGGAGACGAGTGCTTATTAGGGCACAACGTCGTTGGTTGTGGAAAAAAGGCGCACGGGCACAAATTCCAATTGAGGGAATATAGCAGCAACGACGCCAGCAGCTAGAACAAGAAATCACTCACCTGGGGAAACCCAAAAGATAGCTTGAGGGAGAAAAAAGAAGAGGTAGAGGGGGGGCTGTGGTTCTCCGGGGAGAAAACGGTGCGGGCTTCGGGCGGTGAAGAGCGGAAGAAAAAAAAAAACCCAGCAAGAGCAGGCCAGGCCAAACCCGAACTGTGACTAGACAGCTGTGACCTCCGGACTAGTACAAGAATGTACATCCCGCGGCCTAACCTTGATAATATGCGCGATTTCCAGGTTCCAGCCATACTACCGAGTAGCCTAGTTTTTTAGGGTTATTTTTGGACTTTTGCATTTGATATGTTTGCCCCTACTCCGTACAGCTTTCCCCCCCTGCAACATGCATGGGATGCGGCAATTGTCCCTGCGGATCACCAACCATACATCTATCTTACATAGATAGTGGCCAGTTTCCTCAAGGTTTCCTTTAGCTGATTGCCTCGAAATATGCGGTGTGGTGGCCTCACAGCTGTCGGTGGCGCAGGTCAGTCCCCACTCAATCAAAGGATCAAGCCCTCTGGATATGATACTCGTTCTCTTTTTCTTTCCCCCTTCCTGTCAAAGCGGACCGTACTGCAATCTGCGGCCAAATTGGGCGAGTAAGTGGTTTTGTGCCTGCAGGATCGGCAAGCTGGAAAAGGCCCCCGCGATGACGCACGAACACAATTCCGTGCAGCACGGACCAGTCACACGAGCCTGTCGCTTGTCCCCCAATGGTCACCGCTATGGACCCCCCTTCCCATTCTATTATCCACATCTACTCGGCCCGGCGCCGGTAGCTGTACATTTGGATCTCGTCCGATTCATCATGTTGGGCAGGCAGTTTGACATTTGCCTGCTGGGAAACAAAGCCGGCCTTTGTCATTAAATCGAAAAACACAGCCTCGCTCTCGTGTCGACGCTTTAGAGCCACTAGAACCACTGCGTCCGGGGAACTCCGGACCAGTCGCTCTAGACAGGAAACCAGGGCTGGCTGGCTATCCGAGTTATAAGTACAGTCGGAGACCAAGATCAGGTCCAATGGCTTGTCGCACAGCTCGGATGGCGGCTCAGCCCAGTCGAGAGTCTGGAATTTCGCGACAGAGTTGGCCTTGGGCTTGGATTGGTCCAGGTTCCGCTGAACAATCTCCTCCGCCTCAGGCATATCTGTCAAGAGAACTTCGCAGTTTTCTATCATTGTAGTCAGACCTATACCCACCATTCCGCAGCCAGTGCCCAGCTCAACAACCTGGAGTGGCGAGCTTCGAGGGCTGGTGAGAAGCTGGCTGAGGGCAGACATGCCAACATCAGCACCCTTGGTCACATCGTTGAGGAACATGATCGAGGCGAGGGCCGCATCCCTGATTCCGTTTAGTTGGCGAACAAATTCAAACAGGGATATTTATACATAGTTATAGCAACTTGAACATAAGTATGTAGAGCTCAGCAGAAGAGATAGCTTACCAAAGGTGTCGCGCAATGCTATTACCCGTCTCTTCCCAGATCTTAAAACGAGTACTCCGCTCATCGCCAACATAGAACTGGCGCTCAACCAACTTCGGCGCACCCTTGGATTTAGAAAATGGCGCACTGAATCCCGCAACTACCAAAGGAGCTTCATTGGTCTTGAGTCGATCTTCCCCAATCTTGAGAACCTGGGCCTTGAAACAGGACTCGCCATCACCGACCATGTTGGCCGTGAATGGACCCATAATGACAGGCAATTGGCGCGAACCGGCCTCCCATTCATCCAGCTGCTGGGCTTTAATTTGAAGCTGGGGATGGCGCACCCATGTGTAGCAAAGCTCCACATCCTCGGCGAGAAAGTCGTTGCCCAGGTCATTGGTGATGGTGATCAAGGTAGATATGTAGTATTCGTACCCGCTGCCTTTCTTTTTCTTCTCCCATTTGGGCAGCTTGAGGTATCGAACGTAGTAAACCATTTTGGTGGGTTGGTTTGTGTTTATTTCTTGTTCTTGGATCGCGGAGTTTGGGTCCAATCTGTATTCCCCTTCTGGACCCCCGCGGGCACGTGCCTCGCCTCCAAAAGCGGGACGATCACGTGACTATAGAGTATAAGAGAGTTGATTCTTACATCCTTGTCAGTTCTTTGGGTTAGATGTTCCAAAGTTGTTGGTGATATGTAATAATTACTAATAAATTCCATTTACAGATTTTTTTGAAGTAGTATACTCGTAATATTGGTTATTGTGATAGAGAAAATTTGTATCTGAGCTGGCGCCCAAACATAATTATTCCGATGCCGATGACCGTGTTGTCTTTAGCAGAAAATGTGATAAGTTCTCCACCAGATAGAGCGTTTGTGACGGTCGGCAGCCTCCTGTTCAAGTAAATCATCGACATGAAAAATGCGACATCCAGTGACCAAATCCATTTCATGCGCTTGAACAATCTTGGTTCTGTACCAAAACTTGTACGATCCATAGAGAAACAGAACCACAGGCGCAGCCAGGTAATAAGAAAAAAATGTACTTGCTCGAGAACTCGCAGTCATTTCACCATAACCAGATGGCCAAGCCGCAGTCCAAAATTGTGCGATCAGCACGAGGCAATTAAAGCCAAATCCAACCCAAGATCCAATCACACCAGACTGAGAACGAAATGGCAACTCATCCAAATGCCGACCCTGGTATTTCCAAGCCTGGCGAAATCGAACATGGCACAGGCAAATCGAGCCCCAGACAAAGATCTCACCCAGGCCCACAATTGCCATTAACCACTCGAAGACAAGTGTCTGCTTATCCGATGCAGCGAGAAAGCAAAGTAATCCAAAGGTAGATGTCAAGGCTATAGCCAAGATGGGGCGGCCCTTTCGGTCAATATATGCAAGAAAACGAGGCGCTTGGCCCTGTTCCGCGAGAGAGGATAAGGTGCGAGATGCGCCGTAGACGGAGGAATTGCCAACAGATAGGACGGCAACTAGAATTACCACATTCACCACGGACGGAAGACTAGATATACCTATCGAAGGAGTCGAGTTAGCTTTTTCTTCTTTAAAAAAGGGGTTAGAAGAATTCATGTATACATACCCGCATCCTCGATCGCAATGACAAATGGAGAGGCATGCGCATCAGCACTAGAAGATCCACTAACAAGCCTTGAATCGGTATATGGAACCAAAAGCCCGATTATAATAAGTGAGACGATGAAGAACAGCAATATCCTCCAGAATACTTGCTTTGTAGCCTTTGGAATGGCTTTACGAGGATTTTCGGTTTCCGCAGCTGTAAGGCCCACGAGCTCGGTGCCTGCGAAGGCAAATGCGGCCGTGACAAAGACATTGCAAAGACCCTTGAAACCGTTATTAAAAGCCCCAGGGTTATGCCAGTATTGACCACCTATATAATGACCCTGAGGCCCACCGCCGCAATTCAGAATGATTCCAAGAATTCTAGATAGCATTAGCCAGGCTCATGGTCAATAGTAATGGTTAGTGTTTTTATACACTGGGATCTGGAAAAAACCCACATGAAACCAATGATCGCAATGATTTTAATTATCGAAAGCACGAATTCGGCCTCGGCGTATCCTCTGACGCCAAAGAGATTGATACTGATAATCACCAACCAAAATATAGCGGCCCACACGGCACTGGAAACACCCGGATTCCAGTACTCGATCGTGATTGACGCGGCGACAATTTCCAATGGCAAAGTAACCAACCAGGAAAAAACATACATCCAGCCCATAGCGAAACCCCAGGCCGGATCCAGAAATCGGGTGGCATATTGTGCGAATGAACCGCTGACAGGGAAAATAACCGCCATCTCGCCAAGGGCATTCATCATGCAGAATAGCATGCAACCGATTAGTGTATAGGCGATGAGGATAGAAGCTGGTCCTCCGGTTGCTAACGTACTACCAGAGCCCACAAAAAGACCAGTTCCTGAGGCTAGTTAGTGGGCTTGACGATGGAGAAAGGTGGCTAGGCTTTCTTTCTTACCAATGGAGCCGCCAATTGCAATCATTTGAACGTGACGGGTTTTAAGACGGCGTTGGAGCGGCGGCTCTGGAGCATTATGTGGCCCATTTTCAAGTTCATGAGACTCATTCAGATCTTTTGTGAATGATTGGGGATCTCTTTTAAAACTGTCGATAATACGTTGGCCGAATTGTGGTCGGATTGATGAAGAGTGACCCTCGGTAGCAACGACAATGGCGTCTCCTGAATTTATTTCCGGCTTCGAACTTTTGTCCGCCATAATGGCCGGTTTGGTTATAAAGTATTGAGTGAACCGTTGTGATAGTATGATTTGAAACAATGAAATATGACTTGAAATATTGATTGATTATATGGATCACTCATGGCAAAGTGAAAGATCAAATGATAGCAAGACCCCCAAAGTCCTTATAGATTGGGGAATTTATTACGCAAGATATCGGCAATGAAGATGAAATCACTTGACCCCGCATAAGATAAAGCTTACGCATTCTGGACTAGCACTCCGCATTTGAAGCTTTAGCGCATGTAGCACTCGGCTATTTCCCGCCGGGCAGCGCCTTATTGAAGGGCCTGTGCACCTCAATAAAGCTTCCAGCAGCCGGATTGTGACTCAAGAGAACTATATTAGGCACTAGAAGGTTGTCAAATTTATGATTGTTTATCTTTGTATCTCAATATGGAATAAAATCTAGCCAATCTGCACTATCTACCTCGTCCATAGACCCGCCCATATGCTCGCCAACTTGACCTGCAATTGAAGGCCTAGAGCGATCATAGACCTCCCACCGCCGTTCCAGAATCTCCAGTGCTCTTATGATGTTACGAATATGTAGAGTAAAATACAATTCCTGGAGGAGCTCTTTAACGAGTTTTCTGTCCTGCCCGACGGCCTCGCAACTGCAAACCCCCTGATTAGCATTTTATGTACGATACTCAAATTGGTCTCGCTTGTATTCGCAGATAGGTCACTTACCCGGCAGTAAATATAGGGGTGGTAAGAAGAATCCAAGGTGAAAGCGTTGTAACCGGAGTGATCGCAGACACAGCATCCAAAATTGCTCTTACACAGCCCTGAACTTCAGAACTGAACGAAGGAAGAGATTTTACCCGTCGGTAAAGATGTATGAGACTTGCGTATTGATAGGCAGTATTGCAAGCTTGAAATTGAACAGTCATATCAGGATCGTGCAACACATCGCCAGGAAACTTGAGGCCAAAGTCTGCATCGCGGCGAATCATGTACTTGATCGAGGTTTCGAGATGATCCGACTTCTCCTCCACACCATTAACAGATTTCCTTGATTCAGTATCGAGATCAGCAGCCTCTTCCCGATGCATCAAAAGGCCAATCTCCATAAGTACTATATTGAGATCTGAGGAGTACCCGGTATACGTATCGAAGAAGTAGCTTTGATCGTCTTCTCGGATGACGGAATTCGCAGAGGCCAGCTCCGACAATTTCCCAACCTCGGTGGTCGCAGTCAAAGCCTGTATTGACCAGAACCATCGAGACCAGAGCCAGAAACTGTATTCCGACTCGTTGAAGTTTATCCTCGATGCAATTTCATTAAACATAGCCCCTGCACCGTTGACATGGACTCGCCAGGAGGAATTTGCGCGACCGGAAAATATTTCACAATGGCATAATGTCCGGATTGTATGGAGGAGAGGTTGGACTGGATAGCCAGGCGTTTCAAGATCTCGACGTAGACTTCGCATGCTTGAAGCAATCAAATTTGCAACGAGGTCTTCAGGCATAAATTGAGCCGGAAGCTCATTCAGCAGGGTATAGCGATGGAGAGCCGCGAATGCCATCGTAGCATAGAGCAACGAGTCCGATTGGTGAGTCATGGGGAGAATGGTCTGACATATTTGATCCCGAATATGGGCGGAACTTGATATCTTTGATGTTTCGGTGATGAAGTGATGGAGGAGTTGTCGACTTGTTTTAGTCAATGCCGGGGAAGGTTGTTCAAGTTGTAGGTTGAAAGATGGAGTAGAGTTCTTGTGTCCCCAACTCTGCTTGGGTAGTAGTATGGACTCATACTGAGAAGATTTTCCAACGCGGCTCTGCAAGTCGAATGTGAATTCATCTCTTCCTGTTTGAGAAGATGACTTGCTCTGCCTGGGAACGCGACCGTTCCATTTCAAGGTAATTTTATACTCGCATGAGATTTTGGCATTCAAACATCGCCCGCAATTCGGTTTCTGCTCATCGCATTTTTGACGACGACGTTTGCATCGAACACATCCATGATATGAACGCTTGACTGGCGTGGTCATTTTCAGGTTAGATTGGACAGTCCGATAAAATCTGGGCCATGCCCCGCGTGCCCCGCGTAGCTCGTTATGCACGAGGTAGTATCGGCAGATAAGCGGAAATCTGCGATGAATAGGACGCTTAGGGTATCCCGAGGAGAAACAGTGAGGGGTGGAAGGGTTGATGGATTGTGCGAGAATCCGACTCGAGCATATCGCCCTGGCCTACCAAAGTGGGCTAGACAGAATAGACTAAACTTTAGCCACAATTCTTTTTGTGACCAGATCGATAATGGGGAGAGGCCGGCAGATGGAGTCCCAAGGCTGTTCCTGCATCTCCTCGACTTCCTAAATTTGGTTTAGCGTTATCGGCGTTGTGCGGAGTCGGCCGGCTATGAGTAAAGAAAGGTAAAGAAGCGTAACTAAAGGATTGGTGGGTGATCGCCCCCGACCCCAAAGCATTTCCGGCCAGTAATGAATGCCATTATTCATTCATCACACACTTATCGGCTTTCGAAAAACCACCCTCATCTCCATCACCTGCCATACAGGGTTTAACCATCAATGGATGGGTCCTGACCCGCCGCACCAACTTCCCCAATATTGTACGCTGCCTTGTTCTTATCAATGGTATAAGATGATGTGTTTCCTTGAAATATCTGTAACTCACTCTGACACTTCAAAGTACATCTTTCAATAAAACACCCGCGACCATGTATACACTTTACCTATTGGTAATTGCATGCATTGTTTATCTTTTCTCAACTACATTTAGAGCCATCGCAACCAAGGTGCCTGGGCCATGGTATACGAATCTCACTAGTTTTGTGCTGAAGTACTATGAGTTTCAAGGGAAGCGTCGAGTCTGGATTCACAGTTTACATCAGCGCTATGGACCTGTTGTTCGCCTAGCTCCCAATGAGGTCGCATTTGCCAATTTGGAAGGAATGAAGGAAATCTACCAAAGTGGTGGAAGTGGCTATGACAAAACAGAATTCTACGATCTTTTCAAGCAGTACGGTCGGCGGTAGGTTTTGTGATACCCATGAAGCAACATTGATGCTATACTAATCAGCATCTAATATAGACCCATGTTCGCACTCTTGAACAAAAATGAGGTACGAACTACTACCCCGAAAAAGACCACATATCAGGACGAGTACTAATATAAAGTAGCATTCGCAACGAAGAAAGCTATTTGCGGAAAGATATGCCATGACCAACATTTTGAATTCCACTATTATCCAGGGAATTCAGCAGAATGCTGCCAAGGTTGTCCAGAAATGCGTTGCTTCTGCTGGTAGTTACTTGGACACTTATGTCGGTGATACTGAACATCTCCCAGAATCAGATTCCGCGTTGCTGACTAGTAGTTAGACGGTACTTCATTGCTATGCCCTTGACTGTGCTTCGCATGCCCTCTTCAATCCATCCGGCACAAAGTCCCTTGACGAGAAGGAGGATTATGTATTGATGGAGGATCTTTCATACGATGATCGACTCCAAAGTAAGGACATGACCATTACAATTCAAATTTACATGACTAACTTGAAACATTTAGGCAGGCTTGTTCAGCATCACTGGCCCGCCCTGGCATCTATTCGGTCTTGCTTCACCCCTAAGCCTACGATGTCTCTGTCCCATACATTTGTTCTTAACAGAGTATCCAGCTCGAAGACAGAAGAGTCAGCTCTGCTCCATAAGCTGCGAAGCAAGGCCAACAATATTGAGGAAATTCAGATGGCCGCAGAATGTATGGATCACTTGGCTGCGGGGATCGATACGACAGGCGATGCGCTCTGTTTTCTCATGTATGAGCTATCCCTTCCAAGGTCACTGTCGGTCCAGAAACGTCTCCACCAGGAAATCATCGACAACCCGAACGCCAAACTCGACGATTTACCATATATGGACGCTGTTATCAAGGAAGGGCTAAGGCTTTTCCCACCAATCCCAATGAGTCTGCCTCGATATGTTCCCAAAGAAGGGAGAGCTATCAGCGGATACTCACTTCCCGGAAACTCGATTGTTAGCTGTCAAGCCTATTCGATGCATCTGATGGATACATCTGTATTTCCTAATGCGTCGGAATTCCTTCCGGAGAGATGGCTCGAGAAGCAAGGGGAAGCGGAGAGAAATAGACTTTTCTTTGCCTTTGCTGCTGGAGGTCGAGGATGTATCGGAAAGAAGTGAGTGCCCGTTTTCGATTGAATATGTTGCACTATACTAATTTGTCGCAGCCTTGCCCTTGTCGAAATGAAGACGCTTCTCCGAGACATTTATGGCAGGTTCACGACAAAAATCGCACCCGAGATGTCCAGTGACATGTCTATTGACGACCAGATTATCGCATCACGACCAAAGGACCAAAAATGTCTTCTCACATTCAAAGAAGTATGAGTTTAATGTTGTGTTTATTGTTTGTGTGGGGCACTGGGGCGAATAATGCAGATAGATTGTCGAGCAAGCATAGGAAAATAAGAACCAAAAATCAAGCAATACTGGAGCCATAGCCAGCAGGCTGCTTAAATTGTACAGTAGACTGCTATTGAATAGTGCTTCCGCATTTTATACATCGGCTTTCCCTTTTGGGAAGCACCCAGCTACCCCAGTTTCACGTGCTCGCTGACTAACAAAATGACATCGTCGCCAGCCGCTTATTGCTCCATCGCTCACCCAACCACCCAACGCGCCGATGAAGTAAATCCCACTATACCAGACCCTCCGTCCCTGGTCATCTTAGAAGAGCTTCAAGATGATGCGACCGCGTGATCCGCGCTTTCGGCAGCGGATCAACCAACTCTCCCACAACTTCGAAACCGCCAATGAAACCGCCCAAGAAGGACTCTACACCTTTTCGCAGAACTACATTTCCCCCTGCTTGGCCGCGGTCGGCAATTGCGTGCAAACTTGTACAGACCCGTGTCTTCCAAGTCGAGACGACCATCTCCGTCGCCGGCGACGAGGGCGTGCCGAAGACAACTTCGATTTCTATGATGATTGGGACAACGAAGAGACCGACGAGACGTTACTAGGATGGGGCACCGGCGAGTTGGATCGTCTCCTAGCTGGTAGCGGTTTGGCCAGGGGGAGTGCGGAGCAGCCGCGCCGCCCGAGGCGTATGAGTTATGGTACACGTCACACAAGACGGAGGAGCACGGTGCACATTCCAGATAATCGCAGTGACCCGACTGTCATTCCCAGCTCGTCACTGATTGGATTCCTTGAGCGCTTCCCCTGGAGGTTAGGTGCGAAGGGCGTGAAGTATCGACCGTCCGCTGCGGATCTACAGGAACATCCCGGTAGCTTGAAGCGACATTCCCAGGAGGATGAACCTTTGATGGAAGCTACCGAGGACGATGGTGATCAAATAGCCTACTCTTGGAATGGGCGCAACCGGAGCTCTACGCAGTCCTCGAAAAACACGGCGAATTCTTTGAGCTCGCGTGGTGATTTATTTCCTAGTGACGAGGAGGAAGATGCAGTTCCACTGGATGATGAATTTGCGCTCGCCTTTGGCCGTCGGGGAACTGGCCTGGAATCAGATGACCAGTCTGGAACAAAATCAGAGATGGTGAGGTCGGCGTCAGGAACGTCCAGCCTTGCCGAGGCCTCTTCCAGGAAATCCAAGAAGAAGAACAAAAAGAAGAAAAGGCGGTCTTCAACTAAATCACCAACAAGTCCGGACTCTGGTGTTATTCACGGCGTCAATGCCTTGTCGATGGATGATCTGAAAATGGAAGAGGAACGCGCAAGACTAGAAGAAGAGTCTGTGATTGAAAGAAAGCGTCTAGCTGCTCAAGAATTGGCCCACCAACGGGGTCTTGAACTTGATGACGCTCATATGGTAAGAGCTACCAAGATTGTTTCCGAATAGCACTTCCTCAAAATGCTAACCTGATCCGCTAGCCTGCTCAGCACTCTGAGTTGATAGTGCAACCATCTAACATCCCCGAAAGGCAAGCCTTCTATTTAACTAACGAAATCAAAAACCCCAAAACTCGTACTAGAAAGTCAAGCGATTCATCCGCTCGCCAGTTGTCGGACGACCAATGTGAACCATTCCCTGCATTCGGGACAGAAAACCCAGCCACTGCAGAATCTCCGGTTGATACAGGTACCTCTCCTCGTCTCGGATCAATGAACGCATCAGATGTGTCTCTGGATTTGGCCAAGAAACCGCATCCTTGCGATGCAGACACGCCGAATTGATCTTTGGCTTCGCGTACTTGATGCTGCTTGCCTGACAACTGCCATACTGGCTGCACGATATTATGACTTCTTTTCTCATGTACCTTATACCCCGTCGATAACGATTTAATGGACTATCGACTGCGATCGTTTAGATGCGAATACGCGTTTGCAGTGTGAATTGATAACGCTGTGATGTGTTGGCATCACCTGGACCATACACTTTGCCTCAAGTACTAATAACTATCTCGGCCTTGAATATATTTCGTAAAAACATCATTTCATTCAATTTTGTATTTTCATATTTATGCTACCTATATTCCATCCCGGCATATTCCGGCGAGCGTAAATAGTATTCAAAGCTGCTAGCTAGTACTATCTCCGAACAGGATCCACCCCGCTGCGGGGGCTTTGTCGTCAGCCGTCGCCGACACCCGGGGTTTTTGGAACAGGCCAGCATTGTATCGTACAAGCTCCCGAAGATCCTATTATACAACTTGAATTGTTGCCATCCATCTATCATACCTCACACCACCAGGGTACCTTACTCCGCCAGCAATTGCACCATGGCAAAGGCCGAGAACGATCTCCAGAGTATGCTCTCAAAGGGCATGGACCCGAAAGAGCTACCCTGGTATGAGCCGACAATCGACGAGGTTCCAGAACCGGCAAAGACTATACTGGAGAAGTACAGCAACATCCCGTCGGATCAGGTTCTACAGCATGTTGTGGACGTGGTGAGCTAAAGAAGGACCGCGATGTGCGTATCGTCCGAAGTGCTAACATATGGTCTAGAGAGAACGTGCCTATTCAGTTGTAAGTTTTATCCTTCAAGTTGCAAGAAGGAATTTTTCTTAAAGGTAACCACCTAAAGAAATCCTGTGGTTAACAAAATCTAGTTCCCCTACCCTTGCATTGGTTCATTCCGGTTTCTTGATCTGAGCATCCCCCAGTCTCCAGTCTATGCCGAGGTCCTTCAGCGACTCAAGTCCGGCGAGAAACTCCTTGACATGGGCTGTGCGATAGGACAAGAGCTTCGGCAGCTAGTCAGTACCAGCTACGTCTAGGGTTGTCGGGGATAATTCGAAGCTAATAACGGTATCCCAAGGAATAGGTTTACGACGGAGTGCCATCAGAAAATATTCACGCCTCCGATCTACGCCGAGACTTCTTCGAGATCGGCTACGATCTATTCGCCGATCGCGATACGCTGAACTGCGACTTCATAGTTGCAGATATATTCGATTCGAACTCCGACCTGGTGAAGAAACTTACCGGAAAAGTAAGCATTGTCAATGCAGCTTCATTCTTCCACCTCTTTCCCTGGGAAAAGCAGGTCGAGGCTGTCAAGCGAGTTATTACTTTTCTTCGTCCCGAGCCTGGGTCGCTTTTAATTGGGAGACAGGCTGGGAGGACTGATCCTGAGGACCCTGATGATAAAGAGAATGCGCCGGGGAATTACCGGCATGATCTTGCTACGTGGAAGAGAATGTGGGAACAGGTTGAGAAGGAGACGGGGACTAGGTGGAAGGTTGATTCTTGGAGAGAGGATTGGCAGGGAGTTGATAAGGGATTTGATAAGTACCATGCGAATGTTGAGTCTTTTAAGCTCCGATTCGTGGTGAGGAGACTATAGAGTGGATGGAGTTACATTATGAGCTAAAAATTTAGAACGAGCTACTTCAACGCCACATTTATCGGATTTCCACTGGCAACAAGAACAGTGGATGTGTAGTAGTGTGGGAGGATGTGTATGAGATGCATATATTCGTGGAAATGGATATGTACAGATAAAGCTCTCCACTATCTACATGAGACCACTGTTATGTGATTGATGAGGCTCATTGCCGAATATCCGGTTAAGAGTAGACGGCAATGCATCCTGCATGGCCTCTGGAGGTGTCCCCCACTGGGCACTAGCCGCGAACTGCTGAGCCGGGGTTGGCATAAGGCCCGACCCGTAGGCGACGGATTGTAAGCCGGTCTGTACAGGCTGGACTTGATGGGTTGGAGATTTTTGACTGTGGGGAAATGCGGAGTCCTGGAAGAGCCAGGGTGGGTTTGCGAGGGACATGATTTCTTGGTCGAAGATAGCCCAAGAATCGTCTGCGTTGGCGACTGGGAATGCGAGGGCGGAGGTTGTGTCTGGTGGAGTGTGCATGGCTTGCATGCTTGATTCAAGACGTTGGGAGAGAACGGTGTGGACGCTTTCGGAAGATTGGTAGGGTCTTTCTAGGCTGCGGAGATGGGCCTGAATTAGGTGGAGGTCTACAGAAGTGTCAGTCTCATTCATTATCTTCTAGTTATAGATGGGGATTATTACCGTCTTGGTGTGTCATGCCGTCTTCCACGCCACGGAGTAAGAGAATAGCAGCCCAGGTGATCATCTAAGATAATTAGCTTGTGATATACCAATAAAGAAAAAAGACAAGGATGCTCTTACTATCAAATCCCAATTCGACCAGATGCTGGCATCGTCCTGGCGTAACCTCAATACTGCACGCGCTGATACGAGCAGCTCATGTCTTTCGACGGGAGTGATATTTGCCGAACTCAAGTCAAACCCTCGAGCAGGGTGATAGATAGACAGAACGTATAGTTTATGCAAATGATATTGCAAAAGTATCACGATACCTTGTCTATCTGATGGAGATGGCTCTAGGACAGTGCGTTGAGAGATTAGACCCGAATTTCCAGTCATTAAGTAGTCAGTGTGGTAAAAAGGAACTTACGGGATGCCCCATTATATTTAACAAGCCAATCGTCAATCTTTCGAGCCCAAAGGCGGATAACTTCAGAATCCTGTTCGGTAAATGAGGTCTGAATGACAGGACTATCGGGGACATCGGCATTGATTGAAGACCAGATAGTCGGTAGTCCCCTGCCCACAAAGTGGCTGAGACCGTAATGCATCATATCAGAGAGACTCTGGTATGCATTCCCCTGATGGTTGTCAACACGCTGGATACCTGGCGTTGGAGGTTGCCGGGGCAGCATAGGATAGGACATATGCATAGATGCATGTTCGATGTCGATAACCTGAAGAGTCAGTAACCCTTCAATAAACAATAACTACCGCAGGTTCCATCTTACCTGAAGGCCAGAAAATAAGCCCCGCCATTCTGGAGTAGTAGCATCTATTTGAGACGGGCAGTGATCCAGCCAGAGGCGGTATGCCATCGCTATCCACGAGCCAGTGGCATCAATATAAGCTTCTGAGCTCAAACTCGCCATGATAAGGCCGAGGATATCGTTAAATGCTCTTCGCTTCGGAGGTAAAGATTCGGCGGAATCATCAGTTGTATGGCTTTCCCGTCTGGGAGGAAGACCAGGCCTAAAGCTTGGTGTAAGTAGTTCATTTATAGCGCTGCAAGTGGCTGCAAAGTAACCCGCATCGAAAGAGGCCAGCTCGGATGATCGGTGATGAAGAGCAGAAATGTAGAGAACAGATGCAAGCAGTAATGGTGTCGGGGATACGAATGCATCCCGGTCGCTTAGAAAATGCAGAAGGGGCAAATTGTTAAGAAACCTTAGACACATGAATTAGGAGTATGTCGGGGCTATAATCATGCATGTCTGGAGGAATACTTACGAGCTCCAAAGCTTCTTGATAGTGGGACGTGACCAGACTTTCTCATCTGGCACCGGCCGCGTGATAGATCTCAAGTGGGCGATAGCATTCCAAACGCCCTGCAATGGTACGGATTCTAGTTCTTCATCGATGCTCATATCCTGAGAGACGGATCCTGTCTCGGAGGCGTCTTGGGTGATGCCAAGCGCAGCCTCGATACGATCCAGGCGATCGAGGATAGCTTGCTGATCAGGTGCTGTTGACGTTCTGGTGACCAGCAGTTCATTCTGTGCCTCATCGAAAAATTCATGAATGGCAGAAGCCTTGAGAGTTGGTTAATTCAAGTTCAAGTTGACAACGTGCGAGGCATTGCATTGCGGGGCGTAATGATAGAAGAAGAAAAACAAACACACATTGGCACGAGGCTTAAATACACAAGCTGTTTGTGTATGCCTACATCGGCGACACGGCGGAGCCCCTGATACCTCACATTTCATCTGTGGGCGGTCAATCGAAGATCATCCCAAATCTTATGCAATGCACATCGTCGGGCGCATACCTTCAATCGCCTACAATTGACTGGTCCCACACAATCAGTACCTTTCCGATCCGCATGATAGAAAAGGGGAACTCACCACATGCCTTGGTAGGCTTGGGGCCCAGGACCAGGTTGGCCTGCTTCTCCATAGCGATTGGAGATCAAAGGGTCGCATCTTCCGAGATCCAGGAGAAACCCGAAGTTGAGTCGGTCGTGATTAACAGAGGCACGTGATTAAGGCTGGAGAGGCACGGACCGATTTTCCGGGGAGATCCACATGGAACTATGGAACTATGGAGATATGGAGATATGTAGATATGGAGAAGATATTTATTATTACCTAGGTACGGAGGAATAAATTCATTTCTACATGGTACTGGTACAGCTTGAACTATCCAAAGCATGATTTATGTTCTCACATTTTTAGTCCGTCCTGCGTAGGCTGAAAAGTCCAGGGCGGTTCCGAGAAACGGAGATTGAAGTGTGCCTCGAGGGCTCACATTCTGCTGTTCTTGCGCTGCATCCCCCGTGAAGGGAATAGGATGCCACCGCTGCAACCAAAGGAGGTGGCTAGTTGCAGATGTGAGGAGCTCTGGTGTCATGGACACGTATAGATCTTGAAGCGCGGTGTATATGGGAGAGGGGAAATGGGAGGCGAAGAGGGACAAAAGATGAAAAGGAAATGAAAACCGAAGAAGAGAAGACCGGAGATTCATAGACAAACCGGACAGATAGTATACATATATGTACAAGGGGCATGCATAGATATCGAAACGTGCCGCAAATGCAAACTTAATAATACACAGGGGGCCTGGGTGGATATGAATATCCACTAAGCCGCGGGAGCCGCACCTTCCTGCTGACCCATAGACAGCTTGCGTACCTCCCAGCTAGCGTCAGCCCAGTCCTTCTTCTCGCCAAGGACACAAGTAGACTTCTGCGATCCATTGACAAGGAAGCGGTCGGCGACCTCATTGACATCCTTGGCGGTGACATCCAGGACCTGTTCTCTCCACTTCTGGTCCATTTCATGGGTGACACCGCTCAGGAAGTAGCGAGCGCCTTCATCATCGACACTCATGGGGGCATCGAGGCCTTGGAAGATACCAAGCTTAGCCTCCTCGATTTCGCGTTCAGACCAGGCGCGGTCTCTAGCGAAGATTCCACTGTTCTGGAAAACCTTGAGAGAGTTCATGGGGTTGGGATCCCGGTAGCTCATAAAGGTGAAAATACCCTTGATGGGTCCGTTGCTAGCACCGGCACCGTATGCACCGCCCTTCTCGCGGATCTCGGGGTGCAAGTAGTTGTGGGTCAAAAGTTGGGAGAGAACAGTAAGGGGTGCACTAGATGAGTCGACGAATGGCACAGTCTGGCTAGCCTGGCCAGAGTAGTAGACCTTGTAGGGCAGGTCATATAGTGCCTTGTCAACAGACTTGAAAGAGGAAGCAGATCCAGATCCACTTGGGGAGAAAGACTTGGGCAGCCCAGACAACCACTTCTGCAGAACAGACTCGTTCCGAGTAGCGCTTTCGGGCTCACAAACCATACGCACTCGTAGGTTGGAAGTCTTGGAAATGGCAAACGCCTGGATGAGGCGAAGCTTCTCAATCAGCTCCTGTAAACGCTCTGGGGAGGACTCAGCGTCACGGAGAAGGTTGGCTGTGGCTTGTAGTTGTTCCAGACCAGATTGCTGTTCCTGGATCCACAAGCTACGAGACAAATTAGCGGCGGCTGCATTGACTGCAAATCGATGGCCAGTGCCAGCAACAGAATCCAGCGCTCCGTTCGTAGTCAAGCGCAGGAGCTCTTGGATCATTGCGGGGGCAGCAGGGCTAGTAAAATCAGTCTCCATGACCAGAGCCGAGAGCATTTCCAGCATCTCGGGGATGTTCTGGTCTAGAGCGTAACCGGTGAACTGCAGGCCCTCCTTGAACTGATCCAAGTGAGTTGGGGAGTTAACAAGGAAAGAAGAGGTGGAAATTCCACCAGTCTTCAATTTGATCAGGTCCTCCCATTGCTCCATGGATCGGCTAGCTGTGCCCAAGCGCATAACGCAATCATTGAAGAGGGGCATCAAAAGGCGAAGATCATCAGGAAGGTCGTCAAAGGCGTTGACAGCCTGGAAGTAGGTCAGACCGTTGGTCGGGGCCTCGCGCCATACAACTTCAGTATCGTCGACCTTCGACTCGCGCACAGGCTTGCGCTCCTTCTCCCGCGAGATATCCTTCACACGCACTGTCGGAAGGCAGCTGAGATCGGCATTGTGTGCATCTTCTTGTACCTTTAGGAGTTGCAGTTCCTCTTCGCTCAACTTGGCAACGGCATTCTCAACCGAGCCATGCTGTTCGATGAGTTGCGACAATTTGGTTTGACGGCGAACGGCCTCCTTGTCATCCAAATCCTTGTTGAAGGTAGGAGTTCCCACCATGGTAAATGTCATACACTGGTCATTAAGGAGGTACTTCTCAACCAGAGACTCGAGGTAACCAGGCTTCTCGTAGCGCCTCTTGAACTCTCCAATGACCTCATTCCAAGCCAATTCTTTCATGGGGTTTGAGCCATTAAGCCAAGACGAGATAGTCTTCTCCATTACGCCAATTCCAAAGTTGGCGGTCTTGTGGCGCAAGGAAAGCTCAAGCTGGTGCAGGAAGCCGCGCACCTTCTCCCCGCTGAAGCCCGCGGAGACGGATTCGCGGAATGCATTCTGAACAGCTTGTTTCACAGCAGGAGCCTCTGCCTCACTCACACCGGTGACACCAATGGAAAATACAGGGGTCTTGCCCGAGTTATCCAGACCGGTATTGGGGGTGAAGGACGATCCCAGGCCGCTCTCGATGAGCGCACGATACATGGGAGAACCATATCCATCAAGGAAAAGCGACGAAACTATTCCGACAGAGAAAGTCTCGACAATGTCGGTGGAATCACCCATGTACCATGAAGTGGATGTCTTGTGCTGCTTGTCCTCGCTGGAGAAGGTATCGATGGGACCAGGCACAGTGACGTTGACGGGGCCATTGCTAAGGCTCACGGGTTGCTTGATATCGGTATCGATTTGACCCTTGTCAAACCCATCCAGAACTGCTCCAACCTGTTCCAAATGACGCTCCAAAGGCATGTCTCCATATGTCAAGATTTTGGAGTTGCTTGGGTGGTAGTTGCGCTTAGAAAAGTCACTCAGCTGCTTGTGTGTGAGATCAGTGATGTATTCCGGATCACCCCCGGAGTTGTTGAGAGCCGGGATGATGTTCTCTTTGAACTTGATGTAGTACAGGTAGTTGGCATCCGAGATTTGACCCTTCATCTCATTGTACACAACACCCTTGAAAACGATATCATCCAGTTGCGCCTTTTTCTCGGCTTCCCCGGGGGCCGATTGTAGAGCGCGTGGGTCCTCGGGGCCAAGTCGCCATCCTTCCTGGCGGAAATCTTCCTCCTTGAGAAGCGGGTGCAGGGTCGCATCGAGATACACGGACAGGAGATTCTGGAAATCTTGCTGGTTTGTCGTGGCGAAGGGATATGTGGTGTGATCAGAGGCGGTAAATGCATTCATAAAATTTGACAGGGATCGTGGAAGCATCTTGAAAAATGGATCGCGAATAGGGAATCTGATTGTGGAAGATTGCCAGTTAGTCTCTCTGGAACACCAATATCCAGGTAGATAATAGTACTTACTTCTCGCTGCCGCATAGCGTTGTGTGCTCCAGAATATGCGGGACACCAGTGGCGTCGGGAGGATTCGTTTTGAAGCCAATACCAAAAACATTATTCTTGTCATCTCTCGCGACATGCAAGTAGTCGGCCTCGGTCTTGTCATGAGTCAATCGGACTGCGGTCAAGTGTAGCTCTGGAACGTGCTGTTTCTCTCGAACAGTGAAACCATGGAGCTTCTCGCCAATCTTTGGGAAGCTGTCGATATTTGTCACGGTCGAGGCCAATCGAGTCGCCTTGTATATTTGAGGGATCGCAGAGTTCGATTTCAAAGCGCGACTGGAGATCGATTGGCGCAGAGCTGGAGCGCGGGCTCTGCTCAGGCCCATGTAGGAGCGCAACATGGTGTCTGGGGGATTCGACCAGTCCGGTCGATGGTCTATTAACGAATGAACGAAGGTGAAGTTTTCCCTGTAGTGCAAAAGAAGAAGAAAGATCGGAGACAAAAAGGATAAGGATAAGGATGAACTTTGGAACTTGAACAGATCGGCCCGAAAGCCCCGGAGAGAGGCTTATGTCATACACGCTAGACGCTCAACCCTCGTGATGGTGCATTCCCACGTCGGGGGGAACTTGCGGACAGGTGGAACTTGCTGGGATAGTCTAAATAGCTTTGGACAGACTCTCTAATCCCTTTACAGTCTGAATTCTTCCGAAACAAAGTTCCCAGCAGACTATAGTGTACGATAGTATACTATAACTAGTACGTGTGGCTGGTGCGGCTGGATGACTAACCCCCCCTCGTCGATTCTGCCTCCGACGAGGAAACCAGAGGAAGGCCGCTTCTCCAGGAAAGCGCTGAGTTTCCACCTTTTACTCTTCAAACGACCCCAGAGGTGATCTCTTGATTGATCCCGCCTTGCCTCTGGGTTCTCCCGTTGACCGTCCCTCACCCGCTACTCCGATTGACCATCCCGCCATCCTCCTAAAGTGCATCCCGTTCTTGCACAGTTTTTCGACCTCTGACTCCCCGCACGACTGCCATACGCCTCGATCGACAAGTTAGTAAAGCCTCAGCCGCGGCCGGCCCATTTCTCACCATGTCGTCAACCACCATGGCCAAGAAGAACAAGGGGAAGAAAGTGGCCGATCCGAATGAGACCTCGAAACTACTCGCCGCAAAGATCTCTCAGTTGGAGCAAGATGCTGCTGGTGAAAAGGACCAAGAGCAGGAAATCGGTGCGTGATGGTTACCTCTGGAGAAGGCTACCGCAGTATCGAAGGATATGCGGGGGTTTCCTCGGATTCTATATACCGGACATGGGGATAGAACGAACTAACATGAACTTGAAACTATAGAGCGCGAAGTGAAGAAAGCCACCCGAGACCTCAATCAGCTACTGAACAATATCGAATCTCCAATGACTCGTTTGGAAACGGTGCACAAGAAGTATATCGAGCTACTATCGGATATGAAGAAACTGGACCGTGACTATGCGAAGAGCAAAAAGCGTGCGGACCAAGTGCAAAAGGACCAAGAGAAGGGGAAATCGGAGTTGAACAAGACGGTGACCATGAAGGACAAGCTGGAGAAGCTGTGTCGCGAGCTGACAAAGGAAAATAAAAAAGTCAAGGTAGGCCAAGGTGTTCCGTTATTAGTGTCCCGTTTCAAGCTGACCGTGGATTTCTGGGTAGGACGAAAACAAAAAGCTCGAAGATACGGAAAAGAAGGCACGTCTGATCGTTAACGAACGACTTGATTCTCTCCTGTACGACATTCAAGATGTCATGGCTGCCAAAGGGAACCCTCGCAACGACAAGGTGGACGTGGATCTGGACGATGCGTATGCAACCATATCTAAGCTGTAGCTGCCCTTTGCGTCTTCTCACATCGACTAACATGATAGCAGTCTCCGCGCGAAGCTGAAGACGATCAGCGAACAATTCGATACTCGAGAACTACACTACAAGGGTCTCCTCCGTAGCAAGGACTCCGAGATCCAAAGTGTGACCATCAAGTATGAGGAGCAACGACGAACTGCCGATAATGAGGCCGCTCGAGGTCGAGCATTAAGCGCTCAGGTCTCCACTTTCTCACATACCGAGGCAGAACTGCGAAGCCAGCTCAATATCTACGTAGAGAAGTTCAAGCAGGTGCGTTGCCTCCATGCGGATATGGGGGGGTGATGAAGTTCTTTACAACTAACTTTGCCTCCAGGTCGAAGATACTCTGAACAACAGTAACGAGCTTTTCCTGACCTTCCGCAAGGAAATGGAAGAGATGTCGAAGAAGACCAAACGGTTAGAAAAAGAGAATCATACTCTGAATCGCAAGCACGAGCAAACGAACCGGAATATTCTCGAAATGGCCGAGGAGCGGACTCGAAACCAAGAGGAAATGGAACGATGGCGCCGAAAGTGTCAACATCTAGAGACTCTATGTCGTCGGATGCAGGCCCAAGGTCGCGGCGAAGGACTGCCGGAAGGAGATGAACACCTGGACCATGACGACGAAGGCACTGAGAGTGAATACGACGATGATTATGAGGACGAGGAAGAGTTAAGTGAAGAGGGCGATCTGGATGAGCCTGACCGCGACATTCCCCGTGCAGACACATCTTCGCAGAGACCGGTTTTTGGACCCCCTCCTCCGCCGAACCTGCTAGAGGCCCGAGCATCGAAGAATGCCGCCGTGCTTAATGGTTGCCATTGATTTTCTTGCACATCTTCGCTACAGTCCCATAGAGAGCAAGAATTGAAATTGCTCCACTCCCTCTCATGGTAGAGGTCTATGTCTTTTTACAAGTTTTGAGAATTATTGCCGATATTTCCTGGTTCTGGTTTGATTGTGGGCTAGCGCATCCTCTCTCTGGTGAGATGCGAGATGCTCGAAGGTCGGAATAGGACGTTCGTGGTAGTTGATGTGGTCCGCAAGGCCATTTTGGTTATTGTTTGGAAGAAGCATGCATATCTAGCCTAGGCTTTTCCCGCATGAGCTATGTTCATGCTCCCCTTTCCTCAGTAACTAGCTTGTTACTTGCAGCATCCAATCGAGGGTTATTATCGGTTCATTGAAGTTCATCTGGTTCTGTACAAGTACATGTCATATTCACAACGAATAAATCCCTCCCGGGGTGATATTAGTACTACCCTCACAGCCAGTTCCAATAAAGGTTTATCTATAGTTTGCTCCCCGGGCCACTGCCAACGAGGTAGGAATTATTCTGCTTCACCACCGCCACGGCCTGCTGAACCATCTCCTTGACAATATCCCCGGCTGGCTTGATCTCCTTCACGATGGCAGACACATCACCCATTAAGAAAGGCATATCGATGTCTTTATCATTCTCCAAATCATTCATCATAGGCACAACACCCTTCCCAGTCATTGCAAGAATATCAGCCGGTCGACTCTCCCACTCCTTAACGTAGTCATTGGGCAACATGCGCAGCGGGCGACCAGACACAACAAGCGTCCGCTGAGTCTCACCATACTGAGCCCCAACAACAGCCTCCTTATGTAAACGACTAGCACCACTCTCCTCAGACGCGACAAACCGCGTACCAACCCACACACCCGCAGCACCCAAAGCCAAAGACGCAGCCAGACTCCGGCCATCATTAACTCCGCCCGCCGCAACCACAAGCGCAGGCTGACCAGTCAACGGACTCTTATATTTGCGCGCGACATCCACAACAGCCGGAACGAGCACGGAGAAAGGAACATCACCAGTATGACCACCACCCTCACCACCCTGCGCACAAACAATATCGACGCCAGCCCGGAAAGCCTTCTCCGCATGCTTAGGTGCTCCGACCATATTCATAACCAAAATTCCCGCATCGTGAAGACGCTTGATGACGTGTGCGGGGGGTACACCGACGGCCGAGACAAACAATTTCGCGCCGTGCGAGATGGTCACCTCGATTAATTCGTCCAGGTGTCCGTGTGTGTAATCATGGTTTGTAGCGCGTGCTGAGCCGCCGACTTGTGGGAGGGCGAGATCCACACCGAAGGGTAGTGAGGGGTCCCTTAGGAGAGATTTCAATTCCGTGAGCATCTCGGCCAGTTGCTCTGGGGTGTAACCCAGTCCGCCCACTGTGCCGAGGCCGCCGGCGTTCGAGACGGCGGCGGCGAGGGGAGCGCTGGATGCGCGCGCCATTCCTGCGAGCAGGATTGGGTGTTGGATTTTGAGGAGGGAGCAGAGGGGTGTTTGGATAGACATCTTGTGTGGAATGCACGGTGGTTATGAGGTGGAAGGTTTTTGTTGTGGGGGTATGTAAGGTGGTGTCGAGGGTATATATGGACAATCGAGTGTCCGAGGTGGTTATTTTAAATTGGAACAAGAGCAAAAGGTTCACAGTCACAGCGCTAGCAAGGATATGAGACTCGGAGTGTTGGTTGATATCTGCAAGATATATGCGGAGTACGGAATGCGGGGAAGAGTTGTGCAGCTCGGACGGACCGAGGCATCTGATTCTCATCGGCTGCCGTGGCTTATGAACTGCGCATATTTTATACACGGAGGAGCCATCATTGATCAATGGGGTAGTAATCACGGATCCTAATTTAAAATAATATTCCAATCGAGAGAGAAAATGATTATCTATTTTCGAAGGATACTAGTAGTAGATTTTTATGCTTGTCATAAGACAGTTTTATGCGCGCAAAGCAGACACTCGGAGCCTCCTATTGGGGAACAATGCACTTCTTTGTACTTCCAAGGTTTTCCAGGTGTTAATTATCTTTTTAGCCATTTCTTGACGGCCCTGAGGGTATCATATCTAGCAGATTTGTTATATCTCGGTAGCTTTTTGACGTATTCAATGGTATAATCGTGTAGGGAAGATGAAATGGAAGTAATCACGGTTAGTTTCTGGCACACCCACTCACTGGGCAGTAAGACATAGTTAGCTCTCAACGTGAAATTACACCTTCCACCTGCTAACCCACCTGGGCAGTCGTGGACCAAATCGTTTGAGCCAAATTCTGGATACAAATAGGGCCAGATCCTCTGGCTTGAAGAAATCATGAATGACAGATGTCTTCCGATTGCCACAGACGATTATTTACCAACCACGGGCTTGAGACCGGATGATGCGCGCATGTTTGTGATTTGTGATCTGGGCCTCTCATCGATCTTTCCACGTCCAACTCAAGCTTCATCTACCTTGGGCCACGCCAGTCTACTGACGTCATTCACCACCACTTCTTCTCGTTGAACTTGGGGTTTGTCAGAAGTTAGTTATGACATGCACGTCGCGTGAGCAAAAGTTATGTTCGGTTACGAGAGAGCGAGAGGGGGGGAAATACCTCCGCATGTTGGATTTTGCGCGAGCTTCGCCCACCTTGACCATCACTTCTCCAGAACGTCAATCTTGCCATATCTTCTAGTCACTCCACACACACTACCTTTCAATCATGGCCGCTGTTGTAGCGCCGCCCCCTGCACACACGTTCGAGAGGTTGAACCTCGTTCGTTCGCATACTCTGTCATTTAAAGATACCAAGCGACCACCAGATGGCCCTGAAAAAGTGCGATTTATACACGATGAGGGGCTGGATACTGGCGCTCGTATTCTAAGTAAATATTATTCCGGTGATATTGGCCTTCCGAGTTTATTGAACTAACTTGATCACGTCTTATCTTAGGTGATGGCCGATTAGATATCCATATTGACCAGCATAAACCGAGCATCGCAGGGCTATTGAACCGCATCCAACGCCCGGATGTACATCCTGACCAAGATGCCGAACAAATCGCCGAAGAAGGGAAGCCCTTCGCAAAGGATGAGCCTTATCCACTGCACTTGAATATCGTCATCCAAGTAATTGGCTCTCGGGGCGACATTCAACCGTTCGTTGCGTTAGGGTGCGAACTGAAATCCAACGGTCACCGAGTAAGATTGGCCACACATTTAACTTTCCGGCAATTCGTTCTCGATAGTGGCCTCGAGTTCTTCAATATCGGAGGAGATCCAACGGAGCTGATGGCTTTCATGGTAAAAAACCCTGGCCTTTTACCGGGGTTCAAAGCAATACGCAGCGGAGAAATCCAAAAGCGTCGGCGTGAGATGAGGGAAATTTTCAATGGATGTTGGAGATCTTGCTTTGAAAAGGGTGATGGGACTCATCTTCACCAGATCAAAGAAGACCCATTCGACAAAGCTCTGGATTTTCGAGAACGGCCTTTCGTGGCGGACGCTATTATAGCCAATCCTCCGAGCCTAGCCCATATTCATTGCGCGCAACGACTAGGAATTCCTCTCCATATTATATTCACGTGAGTCGACCCTTTTATATACTATTTGCAAATATATTGAGTACCTAATGAATAATAGGATGCCCTGGTCGCCAACTCAATCATTTCCCCACCCATTAGCCAATGTTCATTCCCAGAACTGCAGGCCGACCATTGCAAATTTCATGTCATATAACATTGTAGATGTGATGGTATGGGAAGGACTGGGAGATATTCTGAACACACTTCGCAAAAATACCCTATCCCTCGAACCTATGGACACAATGACCGCCTCGAATATACTCCACCGACTACAAGTGCCGCATACTTATCTCTGGTTAGTAGGAGCGTCATCCTGATTGACAAAGAACCATTCTGACATTTCAAAAAGGTCTCCTTCGTTACTACCTAAGCCTCCTGATTGGCCTGAGAACATCGATGTCTGTGGCTTTGGCTTCCTCATGCCAGAGAGCAACTACACGCCACCTCCGGAAATCGCTTCATTTCTTGCTTCAGGACCAAAACCAATATATATCGGATTCGGCTCCATCGTAGTTGATAATCCTGCCAAATTGACAAAGATTGTATTTGAAGCAGTCAAAAAAACCGGTCAGCGGGCCCTTGTCTCGAAAGGTTGGGGAAACCTCGGAGCAGACGAAGTGCCGGAAAACATTCTCATGATCGGAAACTGCCCTCACGATTGGCTCTTTCGGCAAGTTTCATGTGTGATTCATCACGGTGGCGCTGGCACTACTGCGGCAGGTCTAGCCCTAGGCCGACCGACGATAATTATCCCATTTTTCGGAGACCAGCAATTTTGGGGAAGTATCGTTGCGCGGGCCGGAGCTGGCCCGGCACCAATCCCATATAAACAACTGAATACCCAGAATCTCTCAGATGGGATACGGAAAGCGCTGGAGACGAGTACAATGGATAGAGCACAGGCTATTGCGACGAAAATGGAAGAAGAGTCTGGCGTGCGCCATGGGGTGAGAAGCTTTTATCGAAATCTTGATCCTCAACTATCCAGATGCGCTATACTTCGGAATCACCCAGCTGCTTGGCATCTCAAACATACTGACATTAACTTGAGTGCCTTTGCGGCAACTCTCTTGGTGAAATCTGGGAAGCTTAGTCCGGAAATGCTCGTGCTGTAAGTATTGTCTAAGTAACGCCACCAAAATTGGTAGATCTTCCTTTTGCTGATTGTCTCCAGTCACCGTCCTATGGAATACGATACATTCATGGACCCCGCTAACCCACTTTCTGCTGGTGCCCAGGTGCTCTTTGGAGCCCTTACGAGCTTCATAGCTGGCTTTGTTGATGTTCCAAGAGAGATTGGGAGTGATCTTGTTACTGCTTTTCGCGCAATAACTCACCCCCGCCAAAATTATGAGCGCCGCGCAGCATGCCGGGCAGCAGCAGAGTCGTCACTGGATGCAACAGTCCCAGATGACAGTATTGGGAACGAAGAAACAAGTACTAGTACTAATACTGAAAATGAAGTCCAGCCATCACGAAATGAGAATTATGAACAGGGCCCTGGAGAGAGTCTAGATGAAAGTACAGGGGAAGACACTGGTGATGAGAACGATGAGGACGGTGGCGGAGGCCATGTCAACGAAATCGATCGAGGTCAGAGCAAGGAGCGCAAAAGGTCTCTTCAACTTAAAACGGCGAAACCAATGAGCAGCACATTGACACCCTCGAAACCACCCAGATTCATATTTTTGCACGAATCTGTGCTGCAAGGAAAGAAGATGTCCAAGAAGTTTGCGAAGGTGGTTATACGGTTACCAGCCGATTTTTCATTGGGCATGACCAGAGGATTCCACAACGCTCCCAAGTTATATCACGATTCGACAGTAACTGAAAACCCCCAAGTGGTCAGTCTTCGAACCGGGTTCTCAGCGGCAGGAGAGGTAATATCACCCATACCAGCCAGCGGCCATTCTAGGACCAGTCATACTGATGTAAGCGCAGGAGCTCCGAGACGGTTTCTATTACAGTATCAAAGGCATAGGAACTCATCCACGCGATGGTTTCAAGAAAGAAGGTGTTAAGGGGATTTTCAAGGGGGCCGGGAAAGCAGTGGGAGGGTTGTTTCTCAAGCCAGCAGCAGGTATGTTGAAAATGAACGCAAAGTTTTCGTGGTCTTATATATTACAAGCTAATTTTAATGTTAATTAGGGCTATGGGGTATAGCAGGATATCCATTGAGTGGGATGCTTCGAGACATCAACGACTCGCTGGGCAGACATCAGAAATGCATGATTATCCTGGGTCGTATTTCACAGGGAGTCGAAGAAATGCGAGAGTCCACGGCCCAGGAAAGGGCAGAAGTATACAAGGCGTGGGTTCAGATTGAACACGACTTGAAAAAGTCGAATACTAAATGGCACGCCCATGCTGGTGTATCTGCTACAAGTACCTAGGGGACTCTACGTGCCATGTTTCCCCTGCAATGCTGGGCTTTCCTATTCTAGGTGCCGTCGCTTTAATGAGGGCGCTCAGAATCAGACTCACTGAGCAGCTCTAAGTAATCAGTGACTGCTCACGATTGCTCAGTGGTTACTCAGAGACTGGCCAGAGGCCTCTATTGAGCCAGTCTACACTCTGCCCATGCCAAAATTGGCATTCGGCCCCACAACAGTGCTTAAGTGAAATGCTTTTTGATGGTCTTCTGAACTTCAGCTTCTTGAGGTGTTCTTTTCCATTCCCAGCTCGGCCCACCTAGAGCAGACAAGAGAGTGATATGACGCCGAAAAAAAATAAAAACAAAAACTAAGATTTGTGCTTTTTATATAGCGCCAAAATAGTAACTTCCCATTATTAGTTTTTATCTATGGCTGCCTCAAGAAGTAGAAACATTATCCCTCAACCACCTGGGCACCTTCACGCCAAACGCCATTAGAGATCAAATTCACTTGATATCATTTAAACCGATACTCGAACATTCACCGAGTGGCTGGGAACGCCATCTTTCAGGACAAAGAGCATATAATACCCGGGCTGGGCGATGCCTGCCTCAGGTATCTGGAACTTGTACTTATTGGATCCGTCCTTTGTCAATTTGACAGCAAGGCGTCGTTGGTCAGTGTTGACAGTGTGAGTAGCCGAGCCATAGCGGATTATCGACGCTCTCTCGTCAACGTCACCGTCAGTAGTGACTTCGACGGTATCGCCAGACTTGACCTCCGGTGTTGCATTTTTGATCACAGGACGGTCTGTCTTCACGGTTCCATCATCGTTCAGCAGGTATGGGGGCGTGTAAATTTGACCGTCGAAATGATTGGCGCTACAATTTCCACACAAACCGCCGCCACCAGTGAATACTGTGCCATCCTGAAGCAACAGCGATAGACTGTGATAGACTCGGACGATGCTGTTCTTTTGCTGTTCAATCCACTCGCCTCCGCCATTAGCACCGGGTATGAATCGCTCCGGCGTCAAATGCGCGCCACTTTCATCGAAAGGAAGCCCGACATCCTGGCCACCATTAACAAACACCGAGCCGTCTGGTAAAACAACAGAGGAGTGAAAAGTGCGCTTGTAATGCATTCCATCAACGCCTGCCTTTTCGACAGACGCACTCTCCCCGGGCTGGTCAATCGTGATGATGCCAGCATTGATCGTCGCAGTGCTGTTGTCGTAATTGGGAGAGCCACCAAAGTAAAGAATCTTTCCTTTGTCATACATGACTGCGTTTCCACACATAGCGTCATCATCACCAGTGCGATCTCCAGCAGAAGTGGTGGTGCCGTTTCCCGATGTACCATACCAGTTCATCGCTTTACTGGGACCGGCTTGGAACACAGTGCCGTTAGCCCAAGCGAATAACCAGCCGTGATTATCTTGTCGGTAGGTACGGATGTCGTTGGTAAGCATAGCCGAGACCTTTGCTCCAAGGATCTCAGTCCATTCATCGGCTATAGGGTCGTAGATCTCACCGTCTTTGCCCTGCGCAGCAACACGCTCGCCACCGTCCGCACCACCAACTCCGCCGCTGAATGAACCGCCAATGGCGAAGATACGCCCATCGGATAGCGTCGAAGTTGCCTGGTAGCCACGTTCGATATTCATGGCCGCTGCTTCGAACCAATTTTCAACAGTTGTGTTGTAAATACTGGTCCGACTTTGATCGGTTCCTCCAGTGACGACGATCTTGCCGTTTTCGTCGGTCGAGATACCAGGACAGAACATGTCGTGGTGCGTTTCTTCGACATCTCTCGGGCTTACTGAGTTCTTCTTGGGATACCAAGTAGCTGTCTGTGTATCGCCACCCGGGCTGCCAACGAAAATATTGTAGCCCCAAGCCGACCATGTCACCACCGCGCCGGAAATAGGATCCACGGCCCCAGCGACAGGAACCAGGGGCAAATCAATTGTTGGGCCCCAAGCACCCAAGGCAGGGTTTGGAGGAATAAACTTTGTTTCATAGACTTGCAGGTCTGCAATTGCGATGGCATCGGTAGCAGGAGCAGACAGACGCACGTATTTGGCTTTTTGAGGCTGAAACGACGACATTCGCTGGGCCTTGCCGGTGTCCCACCAGGTTCCATATGAGACCTCATTCCAGTTTTCGCCATCAGTACTGAGTTGTATTTGATGTTTTGTGATGAGGTTCGCCGGTTTCTCATACTCCTCCTTTGTTTCTTGCCTGGGAACCATTGTCAACCCATTCACGACCCGTTCTTGCCCCAAGTTAACAGTGATAGTCTGAGCGTCACTGCTGGCTGCACTCTGCCAGAATGTGTTGGTCGAATCATCAACTGCTTGATCGCAGTCATGACCACTCTGAACCGTTGAACATTGAAGTTGCCATCCAGAACGGTCGATAGGCTGGCCTTGTGGCAAAGCCTGTGACAGTGTCGGAACATCCTGGCCACCAATACGGGCGGTGTCTGGTGTCGTTCCTTCGAGATACAGAGACTCGAGCTCGCGAAGGCTCCTAGCAGTGGCAGTTCCCAGTAGAAAAGCTCCCGCATGCCATCGATACTTCATCTTGGGAGTAGAGTCACGGTGTTTCGGTCGCAAAAAGTAGGCATAAACTGAACAGACAAAGGATGTGGGTGCAGGGAGAGTTGCAACTCAATCCTTTGCAGCATTCAATGCTTTTAAAATCACGAATATGGTGTATGCCCTAGAGCCTAACGATCATTTCGTTACAGCATGCCAGACTTGGCCTGGGAATGAGGCAAGCATGGCTCGTGTAACAAAGGCCAAAGCCTTCGATCCATGTCAGGATACATCTGGAATGTGTCGGCTCAGAACAGAGGCCCTTCTCCGCGGATGAGGACAAATAACAAACTCCTAGCCAATCTCTTCAGTGGAGTCCGGAATATTGTTGAATGCCGTCTCTCCTACATCAGCCAATAATCAAGGTGTACGGCATATAGTTATACCTACTTTAGTTACGTTGGGGATGAGCCAGAAGCTGAGGATCAAAATGTTGACCATGATGAACGTACGAAGTTATTCGTTGAGCCCAAACCATGGAAAGATTTGTGTGACCTATTCCGGCATGCTAGATTGTAAGTGTGGAACGTGGACTAGGACGGTTCAGGAGGTATGTAAAGCCTCAGGGGTAAGCTTAAGCTCAACAGGCCGTATCCGTTACCCGAACCCGCCAGTGCCGGCCCCACAATCTCCCGCAACCCTATTCATCCCTAGCTATCATCACCTAGATCGACTTCCATAAACGGTATCGTTCGAGATGATAAAAGCATACAGGGCAATTTAGCCTAACAAGAGTATATGAGTTATACTTCCCGTCATATTTTATAGCTCGGGAAGTCGACATCCTTTACAGAATTGTTGTTTACAAAAACAGGAAGCAGCAATTGCTGTGATCATCAGTACAGTCCAACTACAACAGGAATGTTAGCCAGGAAGCCGGATCACACTATGCAACGGAACTGACTATCACCCAGTTCAGATCATATTGATTCGGCCATGAACAGTGGGACATGGGCCGGTAATTTTTCTATTTTCCTTTCCAGCGCCCCAGTTGACACGTCAGAGTCAAATCGTCGACCAACGAAATTCAGAGCAATTGAAATTTCTCGCCAGCGTCAACCCTAAATCAGCAGTAAGGGAAACTGTGGGGCTATCTCATTGTAACGCTCCCAGAATTTGACTGCAGTTGGACCATGGTGGTATGTGCAATCATCTACGAAAATGGGTAAATATCCTACTGCGCCACTCTCGCTGACAAGACAAGACTATGACAAGATCCTAGATGAATAAGTCTCAATTAAGCCACCCGTATCAATGATATTGATGATTTTCTGACTTTGATTGTGTAGAATGATGTGGCGGCGATCCCTTCTAGCTCCAGAATACCTATGTTCTTCAGCCATGTCTACGCCCAAGGAAATGGAAATTCTGTGTCCAATCAATCCGTCAAACCAATATTTTCACCATGAATCGTTCTTTCAGTAAAAGGGTATCTTGGCCATCTTCCCGCTCTTTATTTTCATACTCGGGATTACCAAATCACCAGATTGGCATCTCAACGCCCCCGAAATATACCCTCCACATACCATTATGAGGCAGACTAGAAAATCTACCATGTAACACCAGAGTTAAGACCTTCCGCAAGCAGTGTCTATCCCAATGAAGGTAATAAAGGGGCCGAATCTACAGTTACATCTGTTCATGCATGTCATATGCCAAAAGTATGTTTCGGCTGTGACAGCATGTGAGGTGCCATTCGGATGAGGTTGCAGCAAGTCCTTCACGACAATCTATAAAGTGAGGCCCGAGGCAGCACAAATTCAGATATATCTCTATCCCTTCTTCTGCATCTAGTATTTCCCATTCTTTGAACAGAAATTCACTATTGCAAAATGACTGTACCTCCCACTCCTGATTTTGAAAACATCCAAGGCGATATTTGGTGAGACCTTCTGTCAATAGCACTGCTAGTTGCGATACTGACATTTATCTATGAGGCCTGGTCTGACAAAAAAGTACCAAATCTTTTGGTTTTTTCGGATCGAAGATGCCGATGCCTTCAAGCCTAGTCTCTTACAGTTGCTGGATGATAAAGTCATTACCTCTTCTGCGGATGCGCAAGCACACAGGGAGGACATAAAGAGGGCTAAAACCTCGCAGCCGGGTACTTTGCTCCAACTGGCTGCGGTGAACATCGCTTTCAGCTTTAAGGGAATGCAAAAGGTATGTAATCATATCGGTCTTTATGTCTATGGGCTAGTACTAAGTCTTCGCTTTCGTTACAGCTGTCCAACGACATTGACGGCTTCAGGGATGACCCGTTTCGCAAGGGTATGGAGGGTGATATGGTAACTGAGGGTAGAGATAAAATTGAGGAATGGATGAATGAGTTCAAAGCGGAAAATGGTGGTGTTGACGGCGTGGTATTGGTGTGCGGGACTGAATCGACAGTCAAGGCGACTATGCAAGAGCTAGCTCAAAAGTATTTCAGCTCAAAGCAAGGAATCACGCAAATCAAGACTCTCGAGGGAAGAGAGCGACCGGGCGCGAACGCAAAGCATGAACAGTAAGTGATCGAGATTTTCTGCGTTAGAAACTTCTTAACCTAAAACCTCCACAGCTTCGGTTTCCTCGATGCCATTTCACAGCCTCGTTTGAAGGGCTTTGATAAGCAATGCGAGAAGGGGGATGGAAACTACCAATTCATGTGCCGTCCGGGGTAAGTTATTTCATGGACTTGAAAATACTCACCTGTTGACTAACAAACAACAGCCGCATTATCGTCGGACATGATGGAGATATGAACAACGAAGCCAAATCTCAACACCCTCCCTGGGCCAAGGATGGCAGCTACCTCGTTGTCCGTAAACTCAAACAGTTTGTGCCCGAGTTCAACAGGTAAGCCAGCTTGGTGCTCATATCATAGGGATAATTACCTGACCGCTATGACTATAGCTACCTGGAATCCGAAGCACCTAAACTCAACTTTACTGGAGAGCAGTTAGGAGCGCGGCTGCTGGGACGTTGGAAAAGCGGCAAGTCACAGTTTTGTGGTACAACTTTCATTCCACACACTGACACGGGTGATAGGGGCCCCTGTTGAGCTGCATCCCGATGCAGACTGTCCGGAAGACGCAAGGATGAACGAGTTTAACTACCCCCCTTAATGATCACAACAGGTGTCCATTTGCTTCGCACATGCGCAAGACCAAGCCCCGAAGCATAGTCGTCGATAGAGATATGAATGATATCATGCGTCGCGGTATTCCCTACGGACCTGAAGTCGGAATTGACGAGACCAAGACCGAGCAAGACCGTGGTCTCATGTTCACATGCTACCAATCCAGTATTGGAAACGGCTTTCAGTTTCTGAAAAGGAGTGAGTCACCCAAAGTGTATTAGTTGGACCTATCCACTGACTTTTCTCCCAAGGCTGGATCAATTTGGATACATTCCCAGCCGACAAGACTAAGTTTACTGGTGGTGTCAACCCAGGACAAGATGCTATCGTGGGCCAACTCGTCAAACCTATTTTAAAGGAAAAACACAAACGCCTGACCACAGCCCTTGTCGACGGTAATGGACAGAATAGCGAGACCTCCTTCCAACCCTTCATTCAGTCCAATGGTGGAGATTACTTTTTCTCTCCATCTCTAAGCCTTATTGGAGAGCTGGGTGGAAGGCCAATGGTTAATTGACACCCACAATCAGACTCCTGCTGCTGCGGCCCGTCCATTGTCTATCGTCGCAAATTTGATTATTATACCATCGATGGTGTTCCCTGCGCAATCAGCGAAAATATATAGACAATTTTCCTGAAAGGTCAGACAGATGGAGGGCCTATTCATGTCCTGACAACCTTCACCAAAGACATCAGGAATACCGAAAAGACGCCATTTTATGTCCACTCCAAAGCCATTCATGTAGATTCAGGCTCCCGTGCCTTCACAATTGAAGGGGTAACTTTGAAGGATCCCCGCACTATTCCTCCTTTGCCAGCCTTGATGGTACGTGGAGTGAGGATGGCCAGACACTAGAGATGATAATGCGTGACATGTGTGAGTAGGAGATTGGAAGGTATTCCCTGGGCCGCCAGTGATACGCAGTACTCTAGTCCTAGAATAGCATGACCAGACTCGACAATCAGGTATGTGTGATTTACATGACTTGCCGTTCGCATGCTTGATTCAGTCAACAGTTTTCTTCTTCCAAAGCTTTTCTTCTACCTCAACAATGTAGGTGTGCTCTCGCCAATGTGCCCCTACCACTTCCGGTGGTTAAAGCCTGGTTCTTGGACAGGCAACTTGGTCGGGTTTTTTTATGAAGTGCCCTCTTCAGTCATTATCTATGTCCTTAATATTAATGCACGTACAAGAATCCCAGGCTCTGAGCTTACAGACTATGCTTCATCGACATCTCGCTCGGGGATGGTTATCCCACTAGCTTCAAAATCTATGTATGGTATTGTATCCCCTTCGAGAAAATCGCATAAATTTCTGACTCACAATTTGTAGAACTACTATGTAGCTGCTTCAAGTTCTCGTATTTCATGAATTCAATATTAAGAGAGAAAAGTGATTTGGCATGAGTGACGAGAGCCACTGGCATTCATGCCCGATTCAAGTGAACTACTATTTTCCTTTGGGAAAGTTTAGTCCATGCCAAAAGAAACAAATTGAATTTATAAATTGTAAAAGCTTATATTGAACTGGATGGGCTACTATTAGCTGTTAGCTGTTAGCATAGATGTGTAGTAGTAGTAGTAGTAGTAGTAGTAGTAGTAGTAGTAGTAGTAGTAGTAGTAGTAAAGTGGGACCCGCCCAAAGCGGGAATGTAATTAGACGCGCTTCGCTTCGCGTCCGCGTTCCAAGCTGTCCCATCATCAACTTTTCCCACGCCTTGAGGATCGCCCGATCCCCCCTCCCCCCCCCAAAATGACACCAAACGAAGACTTCGGCTTCTTGCGGTCTCCCAGGTATGTCAGCTCTTGCATTAGGCCTTCTTGGTTCCCGGGGGAAATTGTCTTCTTCTCCCGCTCGGACTGCAGCTGACCATTGATCGCAATCCGTTTGGACAGTAACGACAACGAAGACTGTGAACAGGTCTACCGTGCTCCCTCCTACTACAACCCCCTTGAAACTTTCAAATTACCCCTCGGCGGCGAACGACACTATAAGCAGCAATATGGCGACATGTACTTCTTGCGCCTGGCGAGGCTGAAGCCCGCCGTGGAAGAAGTCGCCATAGCAGCCTGGGATGGACTTACCGTAAGGACACTTGAAATGTGACATAGCAAGGAGATTTGCATTGCTCTGACAATCTCTGGTTTTCGTGAACAGATCGCTGGAGAGCATGCGCGTCGCGTGGATCGAGTCCTGGATGTGCGACAGGGAGAGCTGTGCTGGATGGCCGGCACCGTGTATATGGATATGCCATTGAAGCCCAATATTCTGGTGGATTTGACAAAAGAGGTGTGCATACCTCCTCCCAGTTCAAATAGACTATGGTCTATCTAACATGTGTCTCAGAACTTCACATCCGCACCCGCGCCGCGTTCCACCTACACCGATCCTTCAGATCCGTCCTCCACCCAGATCATGCTGGAAGATGAGTCCGGCCGTCTTCGTCTTACTGGAACATTCCTTTCTGCTACACATTTGGTCACAGGCGCCATTATTGCGGTTCTCGGGACGGAGAACTCGAACGGAGACTTCGAGGTGATCGATATCAAGGTTCCGGACCTGCCTCTGCAGCCTCCGCGGTGGGAGAGGGATGGTGGTGCTCCAACAAATACACAAGTCAAAGGCTCAGCGGAGGGAGGTGGCAAGATTGCCTTTGTCAGTGGACTTGGTATCACTGGTACATCAAGCGACACGCTATCCTTGGAGCTGTTAACGGATTATCTTCTGGGATATACGGGTTTGGGAAGTGCACAGAATGGAATTTCAGCAAATGCTTCAAAAATCACACGACTTGTCATTGCAGGCAACTCACTCGGTGCCCCTGTGACCATAGATCCCGCCCCAGGTTCCAAGCCTGTGCAAAAGAAATACGGATACGACGCCTCTGCATACAATGCCCTGCCCATCACACAACTCGACAATTTCCTGGCCGAGATCCTTCCCAGTATTCCTGTGACCCTCATGCCCGGCGATCAAGACCCAGCGAACTTCTCTCTTCCTCAACAGGGAATCCATCGGGCCATGTTCCCGCAAGCCAGAGCTTACTGCGCGCCTCCAGTACCCGGGGACGACAAGCAAGAGCCGGGTTGGTTCGACAGCGTCACAAACCCATGGGAGGGTGATGTGGAAGGATGGCGCCTATGGGGCTGCAGTGGACAGAACGTCGACGACGTATTGCGATATTTGGATTTCGCCGGAGATGATGAAAACTCCGAAACTGATAACTCTGAAGCTCGAATGCGGGTCATGGAAGCTATGCTCCGCTGGCGATGCGGTGTTCCCACGGCGCCGGATACACTTTGTATGTCTCATGCTTCTGATTCCACTTCCAAGTACCCTTTGCTAATTTATTTCCAGGGTCTTACCCCTTCCAAGAAGTCGACCCGTTCGTGCTCGAGGCTTGCCCGCACATCTTTTTCGCAGGCAGCCAGCCAAGCTTCAAGACGACCCTGATCGAAGACATCATCCCGCTTCGTCTGGATGGTGGTGATACCGAAATGACCGACACCGGGAATAACTCACCAACCCGAGTACGAGTACTGTCAATCCCGCGTTTCCAGAAAACCGGAGAACTAGTTCTAGTCGATACGGAAACTCTAGAAGTTGAGGTGGTCCGATTTGGTACTTTTGCCGGACAAGAGGAGAAAAAATAGAATGATCGAGCTAGCATGTTACCATTAGCTAATGACACCAAATATATCCCCAATTGATGAATCGACTCGAGTATAACAAAGTACAAACCAGAAACTGCGTTGGTGATGGCGGCCAACCACGGACAAATGCCAAGGCCCCACTCCAGCGAAGATTCGGCGGAACCGTGCCTCAACCTCCCATCTGCAGCTTTTCCAAACCTCCAATAAGTACTAGAGAAAGACTAGAGAGGAATTGAAACCCGACAACTATCTTTAGTACCATTGCCTTGCCGAGGATACCCGATTTCCTCGCAGAATATCCGTCACCATGTTGCTCAATGCCGAGACCGGTACACACCCCGCCTTTCTGATCATCCATCTATACGCCCCTTCCACTCTGAAACCATAATCAAATATGAGTTGGCAAGCTTTTATGGGCAAGATACTAACCGCATAATGATATCCTAGCCCTTTTGTCTTCCAAAGTCCTTCTAGTCCCATACTCGACATGGCACGTACCCCGCTACCATGAATGGATGCAAGACGAGGTAAATCACCAACAACGATGCATCCCGAAAAAAAATAAGCAAAATTCCTAACTTGCAAGTCAGGAAATTCAACAAGCAACTGCTTCAGAACCACTAAGCGTCGAGGAAGAATACGCCATGCAACAAAGCTGGCGCCAAGACGCAGATAAATTAACATTCATCATCTGCCACCCTATATCATCAGCGTCAGAGCCTGCCTCTGCCTCTCCGGCTGTGCTCACGAAAGAGTCCGACTCTCCTCAAAAAATGACCGGAGATATCAATCTCTTCCTCCGAGTCGATGACGGAGACGAGGGAGACTCACCGCCGCAAATCGTCGGAGAAATCGAGCTCATGATCGCGGAAAAGAATAACCAACGTCGCGGATTCGGGAAGGCGGCTCTATTAGTCTTCATGCGGTATATTATTGAACATCAGACCGACATTTTGGAAGAGTTCGTGAGCCGGGGTGTTGATGATGCAGAGAGTGTGCGGAAGCTGAGAGACGCGGGGCCGCTGGCTTTTGAATGTTTCAGCGTGAAGATTGGTCAGAATAACTTGCGCAGTTTGGCTTTGTTTGAGGGACTGGGGTTTGTTAGGCTTTCTCTAGAGCCGAATTTCTTTGGAGAGTTTGAGCTGAGGAGGACGGAGTTGGGGGTTCAGGGTGTTGTTGGGGAACTTGGGGTCGCTGGTGTTGAGGATTATTGGAAGGCTGTTTATACACGGAGAGAATAGAGGTATACAAGGCTGGAGGTATAGAATTGCTTTGCAATGAATTGTAGATTCCGTTTTCTGCAACTATCAAAGAGCTTTCAAACGATAAAACTACTAGTAAGCCCGGTTTGGCAATATCCCAAAGACATTCAAAAAGAAAAAGCGGTATTTAACCACTGAACAGAGCCGGACCGGGCATAACATAGTTCGAGATAGTCGAGTAGATGTTGACCAGAATACCCTTATCTTCCTCGGTATACAGCTTCGTACCGAGGGTACCCTCAGGATCAGCACTACCGCCACCAGTAACCTTCAAGTTCAAGCACTGGGGATAATTCTGCGCCCCATCCTTTTGACCAGCCGAGTGGAGGGCGATAATCTCATGGCGCATCACATAGTTACCAGCAGCGATCGAGTCCGGAATAGTCACCGTCCAGCGGTTTCCGGCATCGATCAGCTTATCAGTTGCCCAGCTGCCGGGGACATTGCTGCCATCGATCAGGCCGACGGCCTCGATCTTGAAGAATTCCAGCTTGGTCTTGTCGACGCTGCTGCAGTCGCCGTCGCAGGATGCGAGATATGTGATGACCGGTCCGTGGTGGGACTCTGGCCACTCGGTCCACTGGATATCGATGTCGGAACCGGCCTTGACTTCGGCGGAGATGGCGCCGTTTTTACCGTCGCGGTGGCAGATGATGTTCTCGGAGGAATACTCAGTGCCGTCTTCGAAGCCAAGGTCGGTGGCTGTGGTGGACCAGCCAATGCTGTCGGGTGGACTGTCCATGTAGGGGTATTCATTGGCGAGATAGCCCGTGTAGCTGGGAGATGTTAATAAGACGTGACTTCAAGTGGGTAAAAATGTTGGAAATCGATAGTCTGCCAGTGATTTACATACGTTTTGCCATTGGCGACGATGCTCGAGACATAGCCATGGCCTGCGACCATGGTGGCCGAAGCCAGAAGGGTAGTAAGAGCAGCGATCTTAGAAAGAGCCATTGTTTGGCGATTTGCAGAGAATGAGCGGATTGATTTGATCAAAGACAATATTTCTGCTGCTTTAAATATTATTTTCTTCACGGCTCATGGTCCCTGATTGTCCTGTCACAATAGTATTCTCGAGACTTGACCCTTGGAGACTCCGTTCTGATACTGGAATAGTCTCATGGATATTATCCGGAGCAGTCTGATGTCTTTGTATGAAGTAGCCAAGTGTTTCATAACTCCTGTCAAGGGTGGGTCCTTGGTCCACATCAGCCGGTGCTTTGCAGATCAGTCGGTTGATTAATTCATATCCTGAAATACTCGTAGGAAGGTCTGTTATGTCACGAATAGAATTGAATCAACGGGAGAATAAGGTTCGAAGTTACGAGGAGGCATGAATGGCCCGGGGTCCTTGTGGTTGCATAAGGCAGTCAAAAATTGTAATCCGGGGAAACGGTCCGACGGCATCAAACGTTGGATGAAAATTATTATGCCAAGAAGGGGATGCGACATGCCAAGCAGGATGAGGATGCAGTAAGCAGCTCCATTGCCGTGACATGAAGAGCAATGATCAACATGTTTCACTCTGTGCACGATCTTTGATTCGACAGGATTTAAGCATATACCACTTGACTTTTATTTTGTTTCCGTGCTCCCCCTTGACCGTTTAGTCGGTGAATATGATAGACCGCATGTCCAGAGGTGTCCACGGGTAGTAACATACTAGTTATTAGTTAATTCCTTACGAGAATTGTTCTCTATTACTAAGATTAACAATATCGTAATATACCTTCCGTGGTTGACTGTTATTTATGCCATTTGCTGGATCCATTGAGTCAAGCTCAACTAGTAGTACTATTGTATCAATATGTTTAAGCGTACTTTTCAATTCATATACTTACTTAACTTAGTACTACTAGTAGTAGGCTGTGTGACGAGTACAGTGCCCATGCTGCCCGATATAGATACGGTATCATGTATAGGGGTCACAGCATAAGATAATATAAAACAAAGCAGAGAACTTGAAATGATCAATAGTCCGAGTCTATTGTTGAATTCCTTAATCTATTTTATTGGCATTAATAACAGATGAGACACTCAAACCCGATGATAAGAGTAAAGAGTGCGCTCCAGATACTCAAACCCACATTGTTTTGCCATAAGAACCGCATCGAAATGTTCTGCACTGGCCTGTGCTTTGGTCAGTACCTTCATCGGAAGACCAGTGTTAAAAAAGACCCTAGATACTGCAAGACATTTCCGAACAGCTATCTGCTCATGTTCGTCTCTGAAAATATCCAAGTCATTCTGATTCATATCTGAACGAACAGCTTGTGTCAGTACCGCTTCTTTCAACCCAAGAGCAATATTCTTGAAGAGCAGCGCAGCCACGTAAAAATTATCCCTATCCGGCCCTGGCCCAAGAAGAATCTCCTCGAGCATAACTTCGCTCTCGGGCGACATGTGGTTTGCGACAATCTGCAACAGTCTCTCGATTGCCATCCTGTAGGAAACGATTTCCACGAGTTGAAACTTGGCAAATAGCCATCTAAAGGAATCCAGTCTGTTAGCCCAAACAGCATGATCGATCGGCATTGCACCCCGGAGACTACCAGAGAAGATGAGATGTGTGGGGCTATATTTATCCAAGTATTTCATAAATTCAGGCCCATTGTGTACGGCAGCGTGCCAGGCGCCCAGTGAATGATGGGAAGAGGTACCGCTGTATAATGTGCGCTCCCACAACTTGATACCTAGCTGTATTAGCGACTCCCCCGTGCGAGGGGTGATATATTTGCAAAGCATGTCTTTCTCCCTAGAAGCGAAAACGTATGCCAGCGCACCAGGCCTACTGTCCTGAAGGACAATGGGCCCCACTAAATCGAGGACCTTCTCAGCGAATACCGGGTCCTGCTGGTATGCCAGCATCCCGAGGATGGTGGGTGCCGCTTCTAGGCAGTTTGCTGAGGCCATCAGTGCGAGACTGGGCGAGTTGTACGCGTATGGATTGCAAGCTGAGAGAAAGAACCGCTGTAGCATTCTGTAAGAGCCGGATCGGATGGCGATGCCGATGAATGCCCATCCGTTCTCGTTACAACCTGCGTGTGCTGATCCGAGACCGCGAATGCTTTTGCAAAGGGTGTCGAAGCATTCGGGGCAGTCGTCGACAATTATATTGGTGATGATGTCGCATCCTGGGAGCTCTTTTGTGGTGGTACTGCTTATGTGTAAACTTGAAGGGTCGAATAGCGCCATAGAGGCGTCTGGGTGAGATCGATACCACTTGACACAGCGAGGATCTTTCCGATGAAGGAGTTGCTGTCGAAGGTAAGTTAATATACTATTGTTCTGCATATATGAGGTGACCATCGCTCTCGTATGATTGCTTGCCGCGCGAAAACTGAGCAGGCCATGTAAACTTGCATGGGTTAGTCGATCGGTTTGACCGATTAGTACTTCGTCGAGGATGTTAAAGACTAGTTCCAGGGGTAACTTCGCCATTGTACCTGGTAGCCAGGTTGAGAATTGTGAAGGTGGCGCGGATCTAGCGTGAGGAGCATTGCTCTGGGTTGACAGCCAATCCGTGGCATTAGAAGAGTCGCTGGAAGACATGTCCACCTCCATGGAGTTGGAGGGGCTATGGAAGTAAGTGGGATTGTATCCCGGCGCGAAGGTATCGAGGAGGTCAAGATCGATGGAATCCATGATGGTGAGTATGCAAGGTCGCAATGAATGTCGCTGGCAAACAGCTATTTGATGGGCACCGAGGCTAGCTTTATGCAAACACTGTCTTTGTGTCAAGCCATGGAGCATTTAAGACATTCCCTTCTTGTACTTTCAACAGCAGTACAAAGACGACAATGAAGCATTTACCTTGAGACATTGCGAACAAAGAATCAAGCGAATCACTTGAATGATATCTTTGTCGAAACCATGGTCGAGATGTACAAGGTATTATCAGGTGAAAGGAATCGAAGAGATGTGAGAGAGCTTTGTTCCAATAAAGCCTTTTTGAGCATTCAACCCGGCGCCACCAGCGCCACATAGGATACCGGCGGACAATGCCTTTCTACTCATGAAAGTCAAAATTACCCAAATCATAGTACGAACTACAACAGGCTCTACATCTACGACTGGTGCATAGAGATGCGAGGAGGAAGATGATGGATAAAAACTGCCTCGGCGCATACGCGAAAGGCCAGGTAAAAAAAATCCAGTTAAGGATGTTTCAACTGTTTTTTGTTTGATTGTTTAAAGGGACTGCAAAAAAGCTCCGACAAAGCATTTCCTCGAGTGCGTCCGAAAGCGAGTCGTCTCGATCAATGAGAAATTCACCTCATCAGTCAAGTCGCAGGGAATTGAAACCACCACAGCACAGATACATCCGGCGGCAGGAGCCATCCATCCCCGTGTCGGCTCGTTGAGAGATCATGTCCGGTTCGGGTAATTCTCCAACAGTTGGCATCGTATGCATCAACAACCAATCGCACCGCACTCCGACCCTCTGTTCATTCCATGTTTATTGGATTTACAGGGACTTCTTCTTGTCTCCCTTGGAGACGTCGACGACCTTGAGGGCTGGAGAGAAGGAGAAGGAGTTAGTAGAAGCTTCAATTGCGATAGAGAAGTATTATCAAGGTGTTGTGTATATCAAGCTTCCTCATGAACAGCTTCAATTGAGGTAGTCGATATGTTTTCTTGACGTGTTTTGGGGAATAGCGGGGAACGGAATGTGTGGGGATGACGTACAAGGAGGCAGGGACTGCTTGAGCTTGTCGGCCTTGTCGGACTCCTTGAGGACAAGGGTGTACAGGTTGCGGTGGCAGCGAACCTTGAACTTGACCTGCTGGGACTTGCGGTTGCGCTTGATGCGGGCAGCTAAAGTGAAGGGAAGTGTCAGCGGTTGATCTCCGGGCGATCCACCGAGCTGTCCCATGGGGGGGTCTCGGGCGGGTAGAGTTGGAAAAAACGTACAGGAGGCGTCCTTGCGGCGGCAGATCTCAATGAACTGCTTGATATCGGAGACTTCGGAAGGCATAATGGCGGTTTGATGCAGGTGATGATGCGATGGAGAGGCTCGAATCACTGACGACAGCGGGAAATTGTGTGGATCAGATTGGGTTTAGGGTTTGCCCGCTTAGCCCTGTGTCACGTGGTGTGGCTGGGGGAGTGGCTGACGGTATCCGGTGTGGCGACTATCAAACGGATGGTTGACCCGATTAACACTGAGAGGAGGATATGGATGAGGATGAGGATGAACAGTTGCTCCAAAGTTGGTGTATGGCCGAGTGGACGGTGATGACTCTTGCCTAGCTTGATATGGCCCCGGGTTGGAGTTCAGGTGCGGGTGTTGACTCGGATGTATGCTGGTGCTCATGCTCCTGGGTATCGGGCGCGTATACAAGGGCCTCCGCGGGTCATCATAGCCTGGCCATCGCTGACTCCCTAACACTGTATCTTGCCGCGAATGTGCCAAAGGTTCCGGGTTGGCGATCAGTGGGATGGTATCCGGGACCATGTCGAGTAATTCTCGAGCGTGAAGCGAGGGTGTTTTATTCGAGATCTGCAATCGAACGCGATACCGTCTATAGAAGGCATACCTATCCCATTCCGGCAATTTCAGCCATGTTCTGGAAAAGAAAGAGAGAAAACCGGAGAGGATAGAGCCCACGCTTGGATCGCCGAATGGCCCACGGCGATAATGAATGTGATCGAGGTGAGAAAAAGAATGGCCTCGAGCATGTCAGCCATTGTGGTAGATAAGACGACATCAGTGTATAAGTAAAGGGTGTCGTAGGGAGCGGAGGCTGCAAGATACAGAAGAAGGGTGGTAAGGAGAAGGGGAATCTACTCTAGGTATTTGAGTCCTACTAGATATATTAGTATGTCATTACGTAGACTTGATAACCTCCGGTGGGTAGGGGTTGCTTTCCAAGGTTACTAGCTCACTAGTTATTGTTGCTTACAACTTTGTTCGGAACTGGGCTGTGGCACTAGCAGCAACCACGGCAATTTTGGGGGTTGTGGTTGCCAGATCTACAAACCGAACCACAATCTTGCCGCGGCCTATTTAGAGGATCATAGCGTACTCCCCTGGTCGACAGTCGGTATTAAGGGAGAGGATTTAGTTAATAAATAGATCCATCAAATAGGTCGTGGGAAATGAAGCAATCCACTATTAGAATACTCAAGTTGTTTCTGATCATGGCTCGACAGATGTTTTTGAAATTGGCGAGCCCAAAGCAAGACTCACCATTCTGCAATGCTATACCTCGGTATCTGAGTTTAATAACCATCGATGGTGTAATGTATTTTGGATAGGGGCATTAAACTTACATCAAACTCCCCAACGAGGGCTTTGATATCTCCATCAGGTACCAGTCGTACCGTTTTTAATTTCCAAGAATTCCGATACGGCTTCCCAACCCATGTGTAGTAGCCCATTCCACCACTCAATGCCTTGTCAGTAATCGGACGTACAGCGTGGACTCCACCTCTTCCAACCATCATCTCGGATCCGCGAAGTACCTGACCCTGACCTCGAAGGTTTAGCACCACTTGTTGGCCGGGAACCCGATAACCAAAAAGGGTACGCGTATTGGAAAAGGTTAAATCAAACTCCGGGCCCATCCAACGTGATAGACATTACAGAGTCCGTTCGCCCTCGTCTTGGTATATGGAGCGGTATGTGTTTCCGCTGCAAGCATCATCATAAGTTGAAGCATCAGACAATCCATCTGTCTACTCCAATTGTCTGAATGGATATCTCAATACTTGCTGAAGATGAACACAAATTTATGTCGGGGGCCTTATCCCAGTGTAGACTACCTTGGTAAGGTTCATCATTCTCTGGTGAGCAATCTGGACCTCCAACTATATAATATCGATTTGTAATCCGTCGATTGCGAAGCCTACCTTTTTCCGGAGATAGATATCAGGGAATCGATGATTATCTCTGCCAGTACAGTTGAAACAGTTTCCAACCTCCTATTGTCCACAATTTTTGACCGCCTTCTAATGGCAGACTAGTAGCTACTTAAGACGGAATAGAGTAGATAATCTATTCTATATTAGGTAGCTACTAGTTCACCTTCGGAAGGCGGAGACCAGGTCGGTCAACAAGGGCTTGGAAACGTTTGCAACACCACTGTAAAATACCTCTATATACAACTACTGACCACCCTGCGCTTATGGCGCGCCATACCTAGGTACCTAGGTAACTTAAAAAAGAAGCGTCCCATAGTGTTTCATTTTTCTTTAGAGTTGGGCTTCTTGCGGCTAATTTGCAGCGGATTTAATATACCCGTGACGATGCTCAGATACTCGAATCGAGAGGACTGCCTTCCTACTCTCAACAGCTGACAGTTTGGAATAGTGTTGGTGGAAGCGGTGGAAATGAGCTACTACATGTTCATGGCTCTAAGCTCTGAAACACGAAACACCCAATCAGCTGTGAATGTCTGGGGTAGAACCCGTGGTGCCCGGCTATACTTGAGGTTGAAGTTGAAGTAGATCATGGAGAAGCCAGGATCCACAGTGGCGGTGGCGGTGAACGACCAACTGGTGAATTGGTCAATTTAACTGTCGACCTGTCCTTTGCTAGTTATTTGCTACTAGTAGCTACCCAGGATAGGCTTCCACGATTCTCAAAGTATTAATACCTGAAAACTACCTTCTTCTTTCCTAAATTCCTCTACTTCTCCATTGAAATAGTCAACACCCCTGGAAATACCATCAACATGGCCCCCCACTCAACTAGATCGAGCTCTCAACTCCAAGGTACGCAACCAATTTCTATGAACCTGAACCTCATCCACTCATCATTAATAACGTTCAAATACAGAATTTATTCCTTGGTAATGAATGATACCACTTGGTATATCTCTGATAACAAAAAGACACCTAAATCTAACTCATTACGACAGGTTTCGCAGGGATGGTGACCGCAGTGGCGGCATGGTCCATCTGGGGCACCGATGTCTTTCCCGCCCAAGACGATCCCCAAGGCAGTCAGTCAATATCTTACTGCGCCCGAATGAATTTAATTAACATCCACAGACCCTGAAAACTGGACCGCGGACGAGATGCGAAGGTGGCTTCGTGCGGTATGTCCCTATATATCATCACTCACCCACCGACCCACCCAAGGGCAAGGTGCCGTCCAAAGATGTTGTAACATGCAATCTAACAATTCATCACAGAGAGGACTTTTGCCAAATGAGAACGCAACGCGGGAAGAGTTGTTGGAGAGAGTCAAGGCCAATCTGCGCATTCCGCGCACTTCCAAGTCGGCCGCGCCACAGTAATAGTGGATGGCGATCAAGATATCCTTGTTCTTTTTTTTGTTCTTGCCCTCCCTGATGTACACACATGAATGATATCCACTGTCCGTTCCATCCTTGATCAAGTTCTGGATTCCCCGCGTCCAATGAATGGTTTTCTCCGTGGTGGCATGGTGTCGGTCGGAATTCTCGACCGTGACCGTGACCGTGACCTTCGACCTAGCAAGCTCTTCCTCTTCCTCTTGTTCTTTTTCGCGCGAGTGCAAGTTCAGCACGAATCAAGATCATACCACTAGTCGGAAGTTTTGGCTCTGGATGAGCCACTCCTTGCGGCGCTTGCCCTTATCCGAAGTCTGGTTCGGGATCAGCACAAAGGTTTCGCTGAAGCCACGCTGAGGTAGGTCAGAGCCGTCACCGTATCGAACATGACCACTGACCATCACCAAGATGGACATGTCCTTGACGGTCATCTCGGAGGGAGGCTTGAGGCCGTTGGGTGTGGTGGAGGGGTATGCGCGGTTGATGATTTGGCAGTCATATGACTGGGCCTCGTATTTCGCGGTAGGCATCTGATTCGTGAAGATTTCTTGAACAGCAGCTCCGTCTGCTACTTGGTTTCCATTGAAGAGGATGGTTGTAGGTTGTGCGGCGTAGTACAATTCGATTGACGGGCGGTTTGATTGAAGTGCGACGTAGAAGGATTGGATGAATTCAGTGGCGCCTAGGGAAGATACATCAGTTATAAAGCCCAATATGGGCTCAAGACGAATCTGACGAACCTTCAGTGGACACTTTGGTCAGGGTATCGTCTGTAGCAGTAGCCATTGCGACTGTGGTTGGTGTAGTCGAGAGAGGGTCGCGAGATCGCAGGATCGCAGGAGGCGGGTCTTGGGGTTATGTAAATAGAAAAAGTACACGGGTCAAGAATTAGAAAGGCGCTTTTATCCAAGGGGAGAGTCCTGGCAAAGAAAGGTAGAGGTGTTCGAAGGTTGGATGATGAAAGAGAGTCTCAAGTGAAAGAGAAAAAGATTGCGGAGTGGAGCTTGGACCATCCGGCGATGCGGAATAACATGCGCCCTCCGATGCCTCATTGCTTCTTTCCTCTACAACCATCATGGCCTCCAGAATGCCCCTGCGTTCCCTTTCCAGGGCTACGCAGCTTTTCAATGTCCGACCGTGGACTTGCTCGAATTGCAGAGTTGGGAGTGCTCGGCCTCTACCTCTGCGCCGCGGAGTCGCGACAACTCCGACCACGAACACCCCCAAGAAACCATACTATGTCACCTCGCCAATTTTCTACGTCAATGCCGGTACAGTTTCCCAGATATACATACAGAACCATTCCAAAAAGGCCGAGCCTAACGCTGTCTTCTCTACTAGCACCGCATGTCGGCCATCTATACACCATGGTCATGGCCGATATCTTGAAGCGATGGCAGGTCCTCCTCGGCGACAACGATGCCCAATTGTTGACCGGCACAGACGAACATGGAATGAAGGTGAGACTATAACAGGATATACGGATTGCACGTTTGCATCAGCTCGTGGGTCATCTATTGACATTATCGGCAGATTCAACGAGCCGCTCTCGAAGCTGGGATGGATACCCAAGCATTTTGCGACATGAACTGCCGAACCTTCGAGGTATGCATACCTAGTGACGCTGAAGACGACTCGTATCGCATGCTAACGAAGATAAAAAAAGTCTCTTGCGAAGGCTGCGAACCTTAGCCATGACCATTTTATTCGAACAACAGATCCGGAACATCGCGAGGCTGTTCAATATTTCTGGGTATGTTGGGCGATCCTGTAGACTTGGGCGATGGGTCAATCTAACGAGTCACAGGAAATGCTGAAACACCGGGGATATATCTACACCTCCAAGCACGAGGGATGGTATTCGGTCAGCGATGAAACATTCTACCCGCAAACACAAGTACAAAACTCCCTCGATCCATCAACAGGCCGAAAACGCATGGTGTCGATCGAAACAGGAAAAGAGGTTGAGTGGTCGTCTGAAATTAACTATCACTTCCGTCTTTCAGCCTTCAAGGACCGTCTCCTCGAGTTGTATCAGAGATCCGACTCTTTCATCACACCTTCAACATATGCAACTGAACTGATCCAGTCGGTTTCTTCCGGGTTGCAAGACTTGTCAATTTCTCGGCCGGCGGAGCGCCTGACCTGGGGTATCCCGGTTCCCGGCGATGATACGCAGACCATCTATGTCTGGTTGGATGCGCTCGTCAATTATCTGACCCGAGCAGGATATCCTTTCCCCCCGGGGCAGGAAAAGACATCAATCTGGCCAGCAAATGTTCACGTAGTCGGAAAGGACATCGTTCGGTAGGCGCACGCTATGACCCAACCCATCCCGACTTGCAGCTGATCAGCTTAGGTTCCACTGCGTCTATTGGCCTGCCTTCCTCATGGCCCTGGACCTACCCTTGCCCCGGAACGTCCTCGTGCACGGGCATTGGACAATGAATCGCGAGAAAATGTCGAAATCTACGGGCAATGTGGTGAACCCGTTCTTCGCCATTGACCGGTTCGGAGTGGACGGCATGCGATTCTTCCTGGCCTACCAGGGCGGCCTCGCCAACGACGCCGATTACGATAATTCCTTCATCACGCGTGACTACAAGAAATGGCTGCAAGGGGGAATCGGCAATCTCGCCAGTCGCACCATTGGAGTTGCGAAGGGGCAGCTGGGCTCGTATATCCAAGCCGCCACATCTAATAAGCTCCCAGCCCCATCCCCAGCCGATGTGGAACACCAGATCATGTTAGTGCAAGCGCCCCCGAGGGTTGCCGAGCAGATGACCGGCTTGAACCCCCGTGCCGCGCTACAAGAAATTATGAGCATAATCGAAAAGGTATGGAGAACCATTGCCCCCTCTCCCCGCACCTAAGACTATCGGAGCCAAGTAGTAACCTTTTTTTTCGCCTCCGATCAGACTAACAAATACTTCCACGCGGCGGAGCCGTGGAAAACCCCGGATCATCGATGGGTTCTCTACAACGTGGCGGAATCACTTCGTATCAGCGCCATTCTCCTGCAGCCGTTCATGCCTGGAAAGTCACAGGAACTGCTTGAAATGCTTCGCGTAGACACGTCCAATCCGTCCAAGCGGTCCTTTGCAGCAGCGGTCTATGGCTCGGACCAAGATTACGGTCAGAATGTCCAGAAGGGCTATCTTTTCCTTCCCCTCCTCACGGAGGACTAAAAATTGCGTGGGAGGAACATTCGATTTGATAAGAAGAATACCCTGCAAGCCAATCATGGCCCACAGTGTGACCCATCTGAATAAAGATTTGCAACGTCTCCGCCCAGGCGCAACAACTCCATCGAGAAGATTTCCCGGGTCTACTACACTATCTTTGGCCAGGTTTGACCGATTACCCTATAATGTCATCACCGATGGGTCCGTGATTGGCGCCGCCCGCAAGGTTATCAACGGGAAAGAATGGGCCAGAACCGTGGATGCCCCAAGGTGGACGTGGAGGTCTACTATCAATTTCCCCCGGCGTCGACGGGACGGGAAACTTACTCCCGTTTCCCGTCGGAAAACCAACCCTGAGAACCTTAGGGCTCGCCATTGTATATCAAAACACCGTGTATTATTTGTATACTACCTGGAATTCTATTCATTGTTTAAAGGTGATTTACTTGTCTGCAACCTCGTCCTTGCTCTTCTTTTTCTCCCTTCTTCTCCCCTCTCCTCCCATCTTATCTCACAGCTTCATCGGCCGTGTAACATCTTTATCTACTTCACCCAAACAAATTCCTATTTTTGGATCATTGTCTTGGATATTTGACACTATCTGTGTCCCTTCTACAGATCGAATTCTCGAGTCCTTTTTTTTCCACCCGGTTGTTCCTCCCCAACTTCAACAAAATGGGGAGCATCATGCCTTCCGCCGAGGACTACAAGCCGACCTTCAAAACACCATGGATTGAGACTCCCCTCGTCGAGTCCGCCAACCTTTCCCGGGCGGCTGGATGCCGTATCTTCCTGAAGCTGGAGAATGTCCAGCCCAGTGGTTCTTTCAAGTCTCGTGCGATGGGCAACCAGATTCTATCCCATCTTCGCAAACCCGAATACGCCAACCGTCGAGTCCACTTCTACGCCTCTTCCGGTGGAAATGCTGGTCTGGCAGCTGTCTGTGCTGCTCGCAGCCTGGGCTACCCTTGCACTGTTGTGGTGCCTCTATCTACCAAACCCCTGATGGTTGAGAAGCTGCACTCCGCGGGCGCTGCGGATGTCCTTCGTCACGGTGACAACTTCTTCGAGGCGGGCTCCTATATGAAGGAGACTATCATGAAGCAACGCTCCGAGGAAGATCCCGAAGTTGCCAACATCGCCCTTCACCCCTTCGACAACGAGCCCATCTGGGAAGGAAACAGCACCATCATCGACGAGCTGGAGAAGCAACTCCCCGTCGCTGCCAACACCGATGAAGAGGAAGTTTACCGCGGGCGGGCACTTCCTCTGGATGCCATTCTCTGCAGTGTCGGAGGTGGCGGTCTCCTCAACGGACTGGTCATGGGCCTCGAGAAGCGACGATCCCAGAAGGCAATTACCCAAGATGGCCAATCCAGCACTGGTCACTGCTATATGGACGTCTCGAACGCCGAATCGGAAACCTACACTCGTCCAACATCTTCCAAGCCACGCCCCATTCACCTTCTCGCTATTGAGACGGACGGCACCGACTCGCTCGCCGCCGCCATCGCAAAGAACACCCTTGTCTCTCTCCCTAAGATCACCTCCCAAGCCACCTCTCTCGGAGCCATCCGAGTGTCGGAAACCACCTTCCAATACGCCGTCGCTCCCCCTCCCGGAATCAAGGTCCACAGCACCGTTCTCACAGACGCTGAGGCCGCTCGAGGCGTCCTCCGCCTCGCAGATGATGAGCGCCTCCTCGTCGAGCTTGCTTGCGGTGTCTGTGTCGAGGCGGCCGTCGGCGATGCTTACACTGCTGCTGCTGAAGCCGCCGCCACCACCGCCGCTTCGGCGAGCCCCGTGGCTGGGGGCCAAAGCTCTAAGAAGCGCAAGAGGGGTCCTGGTCCTGCCGGTGAGCAGCGTGATGAAGGTTACGGGGATGACCGATACTCATCGACGGATAACGAGACTGACCCGGAGGCGGAGGCGGAGGTCTCCCAGCTCACCTCGTCGACCCCCGAAATTCAGTCCAAGTTGAAGCAACTTGTGCCTGACCTGAATGAACAAAGCCGTGTTGTTATTGTTGTTTGTGGTGGAAGTAATGTGACCATCGGGATGGCAACCGAATACCGCGATATGTTGGCTCAAGGATGGGTTTAATTATGATGATGATTTACAAAGATCTTTGCTTTTTGTTTTGAGATACACCACCTTTCTTGTTTTTACTTCACTTTACTTCATGGCTTTCCTTTTTCTTTTCTTTTTGTCAAATGTTTCATTTTCATTTCCGTCTCTCCCTGGGGATGCTTGCATACAGGATCACACTGCATATCGTTTTTAGAAAAAAGAAGGTCTTTAATGGAACTCATTTGCAATCATATTCAAAGTTTTCAATTCATAAATTTATCCCAACATCATCCCGATACTTCTCATACAACAACCTGCTGAATCCGATAATCCCAATAATTCTTCCGAATAGGATCATACTTCTCCTTCAAAAGCGTAAACATCTCAACAGCCTTCTCCCCTTCACCCAGAGCATAAACATCCGCCAACCACTCAACAGCATGACTACTCCTAACCTCCCCAGAACCAGCATCAACAAACTTCCCCGCAAACCGCTCCCACTCCCCAACCCCCCTCCCAGCAGCCCTCAACACACCACGAGCATACCACCAAGCCGAGCGATTCTCCGGCGCCCGGACGATCTGCGCCTTAGCAAACTCCAACTCCGCATCAACAAGGTCCTCATCAACAACAGTCAAAACGCCCTTCTCATCCGCACTCATCGCAGAGGAACCCGCATTCGCCATCCCCGCAGCGGGCGCGTCCTCGCGCGGTCCGAATCGAAGCATGTACCGGTGATTCCAGGCGGAGTTGTTGCGGACATCGGCTTTTATGAGTGATTCTACGTCTTCCAGTTCGCGGGGTAAATCCCATAGCTTGAAGTTTCGGACTAGCCAGTGGCGGTATGTCCAGACGTGGTAGTTTTTCCAGTCTTGGGCGAACATTTCCATTAGGAAGTCTAGTTCTTTGGTGGGGATTGTTGGGAAGTGTGCTTTTGAGGCCATTAGGACTTGGCGGTGGTGCCTGTGGGGTTTGGGTTAGCTTTGCTGCTGCTGCTGCTGCTGCTGCTGCTGCTGCTGCTGGAGTTCAAGTGCCGAAGCAAATGTCTCCGGTAGAGAGGGGAAGAAGATAATGGAGATCTCGGAGATCTCCTACGGGGACCTTCCAGTACTCCAATTTTACGTACCAGATTTGATAATTTTTGAGATACTTTAGAGAAACGCCATTGAGCCACTCTAGTTCTTCCAGGAGGTCCTTTTCCAAGGCGAATAGGATCTTGGCGCGGTAGATCCTTGCTCGTGTTAGCAGAGAATGAACTGTAAAAAAAAAAGCTTTCCCGGAATGAAACACTTACCACACAGTGTAGTGGGCGGGGTTAAGGGAGATGACATCTTCAGTCAATCGCAAAGCGCGCTCCGACATCTCATTCGCGGCCATGACGGCGCGCAGGTACGAGGTTGCCTCGAGGTACTCGGATGGATAGGCGATGCATGCCAGGGGCATTGCGCCGGAGTCAGAGCCATCGTCAAGCTGGATGGGTGTGATGGATTCCCATTCCGGGTCGTTGGCGTATTTTCCTTCTGCCATTGATGCGGCTTGAAGCAAGTGGGTTGGCTGTCAACTGCTGCAGAAAATGAGGGGCAGATAGTGTTTCGTGGCGATGGATATGTTTTCCTTTGCGATGGAGGCTGGTGGGCTGTAAAGTGGTTGTATACAGTAACAACTTTCCTTTTTGGCTGTTTTTAATTGCTGCTTGCCTTGAGGGCGGCAAAGTGGTTGGGATTGATGAGGAGGATGTTGGTGGATGTGCAGAGGTGGGGCGGAGTTGGAGTTGCCAAGGCGGAGACAAAGAGATGGAAACAATCACTACAATCCCTGCCGAAACCATTCATCAACTTCAAGTTCCTTTTTAGAAATCACTCGGATGTGTGGGGAATTTAGGAAGAGCTTGCTGCGTACTTAAAGTCTGATTCGCTGTCAAAATTGAAGATAGAATACCTATACGTATACTAGTAGTACTATTTCTGGCACTATCAGCTAGTATGGCTATGCTATTATTTTTTATAACTTGCCGTCTGTTTGAGTATGCTAGCAGAAAGCTCTCAAATAGGGTTCGAACTCTTGGAGACAGATCTTTGTGTCTACAAGCGCAAGAATGGGGCTTACATCGAGATTTATGTCGACTACATGAATGCTTTCCCCAAGAGCAAGGACCAAAAAATGCCAGTGAGTCTCAACCCCCATCGTGCATCCACATATACAATCCTAGAAGAACACTCTCAAGCAAAAGCTTTATTACTTTTATCCCATTTCTATCAAATTCTTGAAAACTGACAATAGAATAGGAAAATTCCACAAAACGGCCTGGGAGCTATGAAAGGCAAGGTAAGTCGTGGTTCAAATACGAGCGCCAAGCTCCCTTCGACGCAGCAACTCCGTGGCGAACCTCAGTGGGCGACACCCGTTCATCTACCACCGCATTACCATCGACTCCGGCTACTTTATATTTTCAAACTTTTAAACTTTGAAGAAAGTCTCTACCTAATGACCAGAAAAGCCGCAACGAAGACTCTGGTGCCTCCCACGCTGGATGAGGATGCTGCGGAGCGCAAGCGTGTGCTAAATGTCCTAGCGCAGCGAAGATACAGTATATTATCTTTCAGCCTTGTCGAATATGTACTTACTAGATGACATAGGGAAAAAGAAGAGGGAGCGCCTACAAGCTCTCGAATATCGAGCAAATAGCCCTGTCAAGATACCATCTTTGTCGATGACAATCTCTCCCGAAGCCGGGGATGCTTCTGCCACACCCACGTCGACTTTGGAACACCAGGGCCAGTCGTTAGGCCAACTGTCCTTCTCGTACTCACCCGCATCGTTTGAAGAGTATCATCAAACTGCCAAAGAAATTACGCCATTCATCCTACCAATCTCAGACTCATCCGGGCCCTCAAACCAAGATCTCCCGTCAGTCACAGCAGAACACGATGACTCAGAGGCATGGAAAAGCCTTATGCTTTCTGAAACAGACGCCTTTGGGTCCTTATTTGACATGCCAGCTCTTGAACTTGAGCCAAATCCCGGAAGTTTGAGCGAACATGATGAGCAACTTTCAAGTGGACTTCCAGGGATTACAGGAGGTGGCCACGACATCTCCGAAGAGCTTCAAGCTTACGACACCACTTTCTTCACTTTTCCAGATGACCACACCCTCGAGGTCCCATCTCTCACCCTTCTCAACGCCGCTATGAGAGTTGCTGTCCAGCTCAAAGTTTCTGACATTATCTGGGACATTGCGGCAATAAGCCCATTCTATCAACCATCATCCTCAAGCAGCTCTGACACTTCCCTCTCACCTCCAGCCCTAGAGTCTGGCTTGTCAACTTCAGGGCCGTCGCCCACCAACTCCAGCTCACAAGTCGATCCCACCGAGCTCCCCTTACATTTACAGCCAACTCGGACCCAACGTTCGATCGCCCACCATCCATTATTGGACCTGCTACCTTGGCCCAGTACCCGGGACAAATTAATACAAGTTTTTCATCTCCCTGTACAAATGCGGCCTGGCAATGCACAGGACCCTATGGGTCTTGTAAGATTTGTTTACGACATGGAGGATGACAGTGGTGAAGGTGTGACGATCACCGGACAGAATCCGTTTGAACCAGGGACATGGGAGATAGGCCAACTTGTTTTTGAGCGGTGGTGGTGGGCATTTGACACGGGGGTGATTGAGGGAAAGTAATCGATCTAGGAAAAACAGAGGCAAAACAAGGTTGGCGATTAAGGCATAATCGATTTCACCGAGTTGATTAAACAATTCTTTTTTTAAATAACTTTAACTCGAAAGGTGCAAAGTCCAGAACTAAACAAACGTCTACCTACACAAGAAACTAGTAGCTACCCCAGCAACGACTCGTTCAAAGAGGATCACCAGCATTTACAGCCTTTCCCGCGCGAATAAGAACCCAAATCGGAATGGAAATACTCCAAGCCCAAATACCAGTGCGGAGATAGCTCCCCAGCTCGGATTTTCCTCCCATGTACACCGCGGTGTACAGTACCCGCACGGCAAGATAATCAAGAGCCATGTAGTTGAGATCTTTGGCCGGGAGTTTAGCCAGATTTCCCGCCAACTAGTACCATAGTAGTTAGTACAATGTGACATATTTCGTTCCCCAGCAAAATAGAAGAAGATCTCTTACCATTGCAGCAGCAAACATTGGGAGGCCTTCCATCGCGTTTAGATGTGCGCCTCTGGCCCGGGCGAGTTTATCCCAGACTTGAGTGGAGATCTTGCCTTTCAGGTTTGTCAAGTTCTCTCGTGGTCTGAAAATATTAGTAGAGTTTAGCTGGATACTGAGACCTTGCGACTCACAAGATGTTGCTTGATTGGCCCTGTGCGTTGGCCATCATCTTGATAAGATAGTAGTTATGGGGGGGCAAGGCCTAGGCCATATGCGGCGACAATGGAGTGGATGGAGTAGTTGCTGCCAGACATGTTGTGACAAATAATTTGGTGGCCTTGATGATCTTGGTTTGCTCGTATGATTGTTTAGTCTGAAATCTACATCAATGTAGAACCGATTCTTTATAGGCGAATTTTACATAACGTTAGATTCTAAGTCGGCGAGGTACGGGTTATGCGAATGCAAATTCTCATGAATGAATGAGAATTGAGCTAACCAAATACCTTAGCATCTTGTTAGTTCTGCAGCGTATTTGATCTGGAAGTAGACCTGATTGGACGGAGGTGGAATGTAAGGCACCGCCCGAGCGCCAGCATAACGTTATGTTTCAGAAATGCTGGCAGGCCTTTGAGTTGGCTACCAAAATACCACTCCACGTTTTAGATCAGCGCATTTCAATATTCAGAATTTTATTATTTTATCAATATCTATTTTATTATTTGAATGATGCTTCACTGAGCTCCCAACTGACGTCATATGCATGCTTACGGCTGACAAATAGTAGGACAACAAACAGCCTTAGACCAACTCCCTTGGTCTGTCAACAACACTCAAGTTGCTTCAGTTTTTCTCGAGCGAATACCAAAAGTCTGAGTATGAAGAGTGTATTTATGTGAGTTATCTGACATCGTTTTAAATGCACAGATATTGATCCAGCAGCAGCACCGGCGCGAGCGGGTATATTGGCGGGGATATCTTGTCCGAGTTAATCGCCAAATACCCCGACCACAGCTACCGAGTACTCGTACGCAGTCAGGAAAGCGGACAAAAAATACAAAAAGTCTATCCTGGCGTCAGTGTGATCCAAGGGGATCTGGATAATAGCGAGCTCCTTACTGGAGAAAGTGCCAGAGCGGACATCATTATCCGTAAAAACCCCGCCCAATGAAGTTAGAAGCTTCAATACCGTGCCTCGAACGAAGTGTGGCACAATAAACTGCTCTTTGACTAACAATATTCAAACTTTTCTTTCTAGATACTGCCGACGCTGCAGACCACCTACCTGCAGCCCGGGCAATCGCCAAAGGCGCAATCCAGGGCCATAGCCCGGACCGACCGGTATACTGGCTGCACACGAGTGGAGCTGGTCTTTTGTCTTTCCACGACACCGAGAACAAAATATACGGAGAGCGGAGTGAAATAATTTACGATGATCTGCGAGATATCCAAGAGATTCTCTCGTTTCCCGACCATGCCTTTCACAAGGTTGTTGACAAGGCAGTCCTTAAGGCGGGCACAGTATCGCCAACCACTCTCAGAACGGCAGTTATTGCCCCAACCACTGTCTACGGTATGTCTTTTTCTGGTGTCGAGCTATGGGGAAGGGGAAATTTATATGTTTTTAACCAATCACTCCAGGCAAAGGAAGAGGCCCTTGCTACCAACGAAGCAGACAAGTGTACGAAATGTCGAAATTTATTCTTGAAAATAGCCAGATCCCCATCATTGGTAAGGGTCAAGCAATTGGGTCGAACATTCACATTCACAGTGTGACGTCTCTTTTTATGCATTTCTTCGAGGTCGCCTTGCGGGGAGAAGGCGATGGGACTATCTGGGGTCCTGAGGCCTACTATCTTGTTGAAGAGGGTGAGCATTGCTGGGGTGAAATGGCTCATTCAATTGGTGAAATAGCTCTCGAAAGGGGTTTTCTGAAGATTCAACCCAAGGAAATAGCGCTGGAGATGGATTCAGCTCAGGAATTGGCTGGCTTCGAGGCAACGAGTTGGGCATATAACATGCGTTGTCGTGCGAGTCGGGCTCGCTCACTTCTCGGCTGGCAGCCCCGTGGTCCATCTCTAGAGGATGAGCTTCCGGGTATTGTTCACGAGGAGTTCGAGCGATTGAAAGGGAAATAAAGAAGGTATTTTCCGTGTTTGGTTCTGTTTGGGATCCCTAGAGTAATGCCAAGGTCACGGTGTCGTAATCCGAGGATCGGAGTCCGAGTCCTTGCTGTCAACGTTGGAAGGTGACTGAGAGGCCTGTGGGCTACTTGAGTAAGCGCGGAACCTCCTGATCAAATAGAATATTCAGGATTTCTAAAGTTGCCCAGATGTCAAAAATATATACTTTCTCCGGTCTTGGCATCACGTGTGGATACCGCGATGATGCGAAAGCGCGACGACAACTTGAACCAATTCACTTCACAAAACACAATGTCTTGGTCCCCTCTGGTACGGTCAAGCAGGGTATGTAGACAGTCTCCCGGGTGCTTTCAAGTCTCGCGTAGGCCGAGATGTTAACAAAATGCAAAGTTTCCCGCAAAAAAGATCTGTCCATTGAGCTTCCCGCGCAGACCCGCAGTACTGCAGACGAGGTTGATATCCATACAATCTGGAATTCCGGCGACCAGACAGATTCAGCTGCAGGCTATTTCTCCGAAACTTCATCTGCGTCAATTCCATTCCACTTTGCCCACCATGGCGAGTATCCCTTCAGAACTCAAGAAGACCCTCACCCCTGCACTCCTCGACGAGGTCTGCGACTTCTGGTTCTCTCACTTCAGCAATGAGAATGCATTAATTCTCCCCGGTATGGATGAAATGATGAAATGGTTCAAGAAAGACGAGGAATTCGACAATGCCTGCGTGTGAGTCTCCAAGCCTGGTCCTGCACCCTCAACACAGCTGACAAATACTCCCACAGTGCACAGTTCCAGCCAGCCCTGGAGTCAATTCTCGCCTCCGGAGCATCTGCGACGGACATTCTTGATGCCTTTGACTCAAAATCACCCTTGACCTGGCTCAGCCTGATAATCCTGCTGGACCAAGTACCCCGGAACTGCTACCGCGGCGACAAGTCGAAGCTAGTCTTTGAGCGGTTCGACCCGCTCGCGCAGGAGATTGCACTGCGTGGCATCAAAGCCGACGTGCCTGTTCAGTCCTCTCATATGAGATATCGCCTTGCATATCGCTTCTGGTTCCATCTTCCCCTGATGCATTCAGAGAGTCTTGCTGTTCATGAGCAGGCCATCAAGGTGCATGAGGATACTGCGAAAGATATGGAGGAGCTCCTGCAGAAGGATATCAGAGCTCTTGACGAAGATGAGAAGATGTGCTACAGTTTTCTCTCGAGTCAGAAGGATGCTCTTTCGGAGTATCTCAGTAACGGGTTGGACTTTGAGAAGAGACATAAGGTTATCATTGAGCGATTTGGACGGTACCCTCATCGGAACTCAGCGATGGGAAGGGAGCCGACTAAGGAAGAAATAGACTACCTGGAGAATGGGGAGAGAAACCTTTGGATAAGTCGCTATATGCATCATCCAAAGGTAATCGATGTAGATCGGGTGCAATGTACATTTAAATGAGCATGAATATTCCTCTACCATTAAGCTAATAGTAAACGGTCGACACTGAATCTGCATGTACAGAGAATAGTAATACGAGTAATGTCTCTGCATACCCCGGTCGGTACCAGAAGTAGCCCCGATCCTCCGAACCCCCCCGCAAAGCAGCCACGAGGCGGTCGGTTTCCCCCCCAAATCGCCCCCAATTGCCGATCTGCTCGTCTCCATCACCAATCAGATCCTCCACTTTATTCTTCTACGCCCGGGTCCCTTTTATCTCGGCTATGATTATCTTACCTTCCCCGAGCTAATTCGTGGAGCGGGTGCAGCGGAATCAAGTCCGACACTGCATTGATAAGGAGAGCGTCCCATCCCCCAAGCCTCAAGGGCACAAGCAATCAATTCCTCTAGAGATAACGCCATAAGTGGACCGGGAACTGACCTACCCGACCCCAATCTTCCATTCTCCAATACTTGACTGGCTTGGCTATTCTAGCTGAATAAGTTCCATTGAGCTCCTTCTGTCTTGCAACAACATACTCTAGCGAAACCTGCGTGATCAATCACTCGGTGGTTGCGATCGAAAAGAACACTACAAAATGGAGACAACCACTCGTCCGGTCCAGAAATCCCTCGGTGCCCTCGGTTCCATCCAGGGTCTTACCATCAGTTCGAACTCTCAAGATCTATGTCACTACTTTGGCGCTGTCCGCTATGCTCTTCCGCCATTGCAGCGTTGGCGTCGGGCGCGTCGGCTTTCTGCATCATTCAGATATGGGACGCCGCAGGCACCGAGTCAGTGTGATAAGGGTGCCGGCTTGTGTCCACAGCCCGCGTTCGAGCCTCTTGTGCCGGAGAACCCAGACGCATGGACTGAAGATTGCTTCCAGTCCAATATATGGGTACCAACAGGCTCGCCGCCAAAAGGAGGATGGCCTGTATTCGTATTTATCCGTAAGTTGACCCTCTCATGACAATGAGCTTGAAGCCGGGACACCACTAATAACACTCGTGATTCAGACGGCGGCTGGCTTCAATTTGGCTCACCGAACGGCTTCAATGCGGCTGCTCTTCTAGGTGAGACAGACTTCAAAGCTGTGCTTGTGCTACCTGCCTACCGTGTCAATCTGTTTGGCTTCCTACACTCGTCCGAACTGGAGCAGGACGCCGCGGCGGTTGGCGAGACAGTCGGTAACCACGGCTTCTGGGACCAGAGACTTGCACTCGAGTGGACGAAGGAAAACATCCACCTCTTCGGCGGTAATGCCTCAAACATCACGATCTCGGGCTACTCAGCTGGCGCAAACTCAGTCTTCCACCAGCTCGCCTATGACCTCCGCCAACCGGATGATCAGATCATCGTCCGCCAAGCAATAATGCTCTCCAATTCACCGGCCGTGCAACCAAAGAGGCCAGCAGAAACTCAAATCCAATTCAACCAACTCCTAGAAGCACTATCAATCCCACAAACCCTCAGCGGGCCCGAGAAACTCGCTCGTCTCCGCGCCCTACCGCCCAGAACCCTCCTCGACGCAACAAAGACCATCGAAGTGCACCAATTCCGTCCAGCAACAGATGGAGGCTTCATTTTGCCTTCCCTCTTCGCTTCCCTTGACAAGGGCGACTTCGCCGCCAAGCTCGTCTCCCGGAATATCCGACTGATGCTGGGCGAATGCAGCGAGGAGTCCCACCTGTATGCTATCTGGTTCCCTCCCAAGGCGAATACCCTTTCCGCACTACGGACTCGACTCATTGCCGATTACCCCGAACACGTCGTCGACACGGTCCTGCCATTACATTATCCGACCGGCCAGCTGCCTGCGGGATGTAAGAATTGGGACGTGGACGCGTGGGGCCAGATCTATGCCGATATGCAGGTGTATCAGATGCAGCGGGGACTTATCCACGCTCTAACCTCGAACAAAGCCGGTGTCGACGCGAGTCATCTGATATACCGATACCGGATCGAGTTCATGGCCTCGTGCATGGCGGCTAAAATGCCCGCTGAATGGGGTGTGACGCATTCTTCGGATTATCCGCTATGGTTCTGGGGTAATGGGGATGTTTTGACGGAGTCTGAGAAGAAGGTTACTCACAATGCGTTTATTGGGCCGTTGGCGCGATTTGTGCAGAATGATAGACAGGTCGATTTTGGGTGGGGGACTAGTGGGTTTGACGTGCGGACGATGAGGGTCGATGGAAAGGTGGAAATTACTCGCGATTCGAGGTGGGAGGAGGGTGTCAGGGTTTGGAAGGCTGTCAGGGCGGCGGATTTGGGGCAGGCGACGCCGAAGTTGTAAGTGTAGTGCAATATAAATAGATCTAGAGTCGAGTTACTTGGCATAGCAATGATACCATAGAATAGGTTTATCCTTATATCCATTTGGATTTGCATCATCGCGATGCTTCAAGTTGTAATCCGCATGATATCCATATCGGACAGGTACTACCGGTACCCGCTACTGCTAGTTCATACAGTCTAATATGGACAATAAAGACTACCAGTATATCAAAACTTCCCATCGAGCCTTCCCCATTTTCCAAGTAACGGTAAACTCGGAAACCACATCCCAGCAAGCCCAAACGACGACACCGTCCGCTTCCTTCATACTTTTCCTGGTCACCTCCTTGTCAGGGGCAAACTTGAACCGCCATCTGGAGTTACTACGATCAAACAAAGAGATCCAACGAGCTGCTGACTCCTGCAGATGTACGCCCCCGACCTCTCCGTTGTCTCTAGGTTATTTGGACTTCGCATTTCAGGACTTTCAAGCCATGACATCCGACGTGATGTTTGTCGGGATTCTCGAATGCTCCCTAGAGAGAATTGCCAATTGGCTCCTCGAGAACTTTCCAGAATTCTGCCATAGCATTCACAGGACTCATTGTGCCTGTCTGCACTGAGGGCGTCGGTTTCCTCTTTCCACGATCTGTGTTAAACCCCGGTCAAACGTCATCAAGAGATGCCTAGACTCCAGATATCGCAAATCGACCCCCGATCTGAAGCTGGCTCGTCTGCTAGACGCGAAAGTCGCGAGAATTCCCCAATACCTGTCGAGGGTACCGGCAGCATCCACACGTCGAAGGATTACGTCAATCTACCAATCCTTTTCTTTGTCAAAACTGCTACTGCGAAGATAGAAGTGAAGCAAGTGTGCTGCTTATGACAATGCGAATCACAAGAAGCGTTTCATCGATCTCCTCCCACCGTGTGGGAATGGGAAATTCGATATCAGAAACCGCGGCATAATTCAGCACTCCAGCAACTCACCAAAGCCAGTCTAAACAACAATGCCCTCAAGTTGCCCGCTATGGGACGAGGAATGTTGTCTCTGGACCTTGTGACGCAAATTCAGGAAGATAGGAACAGAACCGACAGACCGATAGCCTACCTTGAATGGACACGCAACATTCCTTTCTCTTAACATGGGACCAAATCTGGACTCCAACATTGGAATCCTCGCGGTACACTCATCCCCTGTCCCAATTTCAGATGTTATCCATTCGCTAACCAACTCACAGACTTGATGGGGTCTCCAGCTCAGCCTTCTCCGCATGGGTCAAGACCCGCACTGCGCGACATTACAAATGTCCAAAACAATGGCCCTCCTCGTTTACTCCCCAAGCAAAGAGAAAAAGAGATTATTTTGCAGCAGCGGACCCAGAACAACTCCAAGCTTCGTGTGCAGGAATTGAAATTCACAATGTGACTATCGGCCATGTGTACGCTTGGTAATCCTCTAATTTCTGGCAAGCAATTACTTATGCATCCATGGATTGAAGGGCTAGTTCGCGTTGAATGCATTAATCGAAAATCACCCGCCCACAATGGAGTCTGAAAAGAAGCTAAAAAGTCTTCAACGGCGTCAGGTTAACTCTACAGTCCATCGATCCATCGACTTTCTATCGTTCAGCAATCTGCGTGAGCCATCACTTGGGTTTATCGTTGTAGGATCTTGGGCTTCCACTTTCGAATTGGAACAGCCAACAACTCCCACAGCAAAACGAGAATCTGCGCTCCACGATGATCAGCCTGCTCGCGGAGTACAGCTGTAGACGCGTGAACCACCTTATAAGATCTCTTCTCTTCACTTGTTTACTTTCACGCTCGCTCGCTCGCTCGCTCTCAGTACCTGTGTTGGCCTCTTTCTCAATCTCTCAATCTCGCGTGTGTGCGCGCAAACACTGCACACACACAAATTGTTCCGTACCAGCCTCATAATTCGCAGTTCTACTTAATCGACAACCTTCTCCTTCCTCTATAAGTCATTTACACCATCATGGCTCCCAGAAAGCTTTCCCGCAACCATGCTCTCGGGCTTATCGAAGTAGCCTTGAAATGATTTTCAATGGCAAGCAACGACTGGAAAGCAGAGGTCGATGAGATGAAACACTTGTCAAAATGCAGCTGTCTAAGGGAGCAAGATAGCTAGAAAAAATATAGCCTGGTACCGGTACCTGTTCTTACATACAATTTACTATTTAAATAAAAGTACCAGTACATAAACTCAATTTGCCATCGAGCTTTCCCCGCATTGCGCGAGTTACGTCAAGCTACAGGGAAACACATCCACCACCACGAATAGCAACGAAGGGATGTACCTACATAACCTGTTGATCTGAAACTCGGTCTAATTCCAGATCCTGGATTCAGCCAATAATGTAGCACACATTAAGGGTCCAGTTACGAGTCACCGTATCGGGAGCAAGACCTGGATGCTGGATCAACTAATCACAGAGCTGCTATAATGCATAATGACTGGGGTGCTCAAGGTTCAGGTTCACTAGATAAGTGGGAGCGTGACCAGTTATGAAATAGAAAAACAGGCCAGAGCAGAGGGAAGCAAGCGAACAAGCAAAGTAGTATCGCGGAAGGAAAAGAAAAAATAACACCATTCAGATAAAGAACATAAGATAAAGATACATAGGTATTTGAGAAAATAAACTACACATGCTGGATGTTCCATATCTTTGTTGCGACTTTGATCAGTGATTGTACCGAGATATCGGCGTCAGTTTCTGGCGGAACGGGCGCACGGCGGAGTAGTTCTTCGGAAGATACATGCAGAGGTTCGGCCGGCATACAACTGACTGGCATTGTTGAGCCACCGGGAGGACGTGAAACCTCAATTTTTTGGCGTGTAACTGGCTGAAATCGGGGCCGGCCATTGCGCAGAGTTATGATCGGTTGCGAATTGATGATGCTCTCGAAAGTGAGCTTCGCTCGTTCTTGGTCAACAAAAATCAGAATCACGACTTTCACCTCCCCCTGGGAGTTCGCAAGCCACCAGCTAGCGTCAAGATGGAGTCTTTGCGATGATTCAGAGTATGCAACTTCCACTACAATAGAAGGCCATGTATCGTCGGTTGGAGGAGGAGTTGATGGGATCCATGAGCCATCTGGTTCTTTATAGCACATATTGCCTTTCACGCGACCCGAGCCCGTTGCTTGGGTCTCATCTTCCAAATTTGCCTCAACTATGGCCGTTTGGAGCGCAAAGGCAAAGTGTAGAGCTGCCGAATTATGAATTCGCCCGGGGATCGTAATGATTAAAATTCGCGACGAGGCGTCATACGACTGGCGGCAGCCTTTGGATATGTATTTTGAAGCAATATTTGGCGGAATATTACTGAACTTCAAATACTGGGTGCCATGCTTAGTATCTTCATACTTCTGCGTAATGACTTTTCGAATTCCAGCGACTGAGGAGCCGATGAGATGGATAGCATATGGAAGATTGAAACGGTCATTATCGATCCTTTGCAGTTCAAGATCGAATATTTCCTGTTCTGTAGGGGTTCGGTTTTGGCGAGTTTGTGGTCTCGGTGGGGTAGTAGCTCGGCCAAAGTCCACTGACAGTGACATGGTGGCGAGTGGATCGACAGAAACTCGGAGTACTGAAAGTATGCGAGTGGAGGGACTCCGTATGGTCGGTGGTACCTCTGGGGGGGTAAGAGAGTATTCTGCCTGCCAATCACCGAGCTCGCTAAATGAAGAACAAAAGTCCAGGCAACACGCGACCACTTGAATGAGACTCCATTTATAAGCCTGCCTTTCCCCTCTCGAATCCTACGTTTTGTTCTGAGATACGTTCCCTTTATTCTTCCATCAAAATCTTGAACCAGGCCTGTATGTATATTGCAATTTCATAACTCACTAAATCCAATCTTGGTTTTCCTCCCATCCCATCCCATCCCATCCCATGCATCTGCTTGATAACTCCGCCTCGTCATCACCGATGCACCCGCATACCAAACCCATCCCCCATGACGTCTTCGACTCGTCTACCCTTCAAGTCCCCAACTACTCCCATCTGATCTTCCATAATCCTTTTTAAAAAACACCCCATCCTCTCACATACAACTAACCTACAAATCTAAGAAATTCACTACAATCACCCAACCCACTACTCTATACATAATGACGGACGATACCCGCCGCCACTGGCACGGATCATCCGGCAATCGCCACGAACACCACAACGCCTGGGTCGCCGGCGGAGCGAAAGGTCCCGCTGGACGAGCCCCTTGGGCTCTAACGCCTGAAATGATGAGCAATCTAAATGCCAGACGTGTAAGCTTCCCTTTTCCTTTCTCTGGGGGTGTCTCTCGGTCTCCAGTCATGCCAAGCACGCCTAAACCTGGGGAACCCCACCCTATTCCAACTATAACATAATATCCCCTTACCATAACCATAACTATAACATGTGAATAAACCACCATAACTTGTATATACTAACAATCACCACAGGAATCAACCGGCTCAACAAATTCAAACACATCCGCCACCGCCGCCGCCGACACCGCCGCAGCACACACTCAAAACCAAACCCCAAACCCACCAACAGTCAGCGAACGCCGACGCTCAAGTGCCTCCGGAAACGGCGGTCCGGGTCTATTCTCCAACCTGCAGACGCAGAAGCGTGAGGGCGGTGGTTCGGATATGGCCGGTCGACGGGCGAGTTGGAATGAGCAGTCTGCTAAGGGTGGGGTTTTTTCGAAACTTTGGCAGGATTATACGAGGGGTTCTTGAGGGGGTGGGTTGAAGTGAAGTTGAATATTGAAGGGGGGCTTGAGGTTCTTTTTTTCTTTTCTCTTTTTGTATTCGAGTTTGGTTTTGTTTTTTATGAGTCAATTTGATTCTATGAGTAAACTTGAACTCGAATCTTGTTTCATGCTTCATTTTGAGGCGGGGTGGAGGTGGTGATTGGACTGGTTATGATCTGGTTTCTATTCCGAGTCTTGATGATCCCGTGTAGACCTTTCCCTGGGCCTGGAGGTACTTACTAGTAGTGCCAGTGGTTTAAATTAAGTTGTTAAGCTTTTGGTCCTACGCAACGATCCACTACTCTACACTATCTACAAAACACCATGACATAACAACCTTCAAGTTAGAACCAATCGTAAAACAGTAGGACATTTATCTATGTAGTCTACCACACCAGACTATATTGAAAGCTATTCATTCAAGTTCGGTAAATTCGTAAAAGAAAAGGAAAAGGAAAGAAAACGCAAAAGCCAACAGCAAGCCAAAGCCAAAGCCAATTCCCATTGGGATCAAACGCTATCGTTCATATCGTGCAAAAACCAAGACACGTCTTATACACAAAAAAAAAACAAAAAAAAGCAGCAAATCCTTTTTTTAGAAGTCAAGTCCGTATTAAGCCTTGCTGATCTTGCAGACCAGGTCTTGGCTGTCGACTGAGTCGCCCTCCTTGACTTGGAGGCTGGATACCTTTCCGCTGTGAGGAGCAGAGATGACCATTTCCTAGGAGAAAAATTAGTATATGACTCGCAATAGTAATGCATGATAGGGCTAGTTGATAACTTACCATCTTCATGGCGCTCAGCACCGCAATGGGGTCACCCTTCTTAACCTCGTGGCCGTCGTGGACACGGATCTCAACAACAACACCGCTCATAGGAGCACCGACCTGGCTGCTGTCGGCAGCGTCGGCCTTGGGGCGGGCAATGTTGTCGACGGAAGCCTTCTGGTCGTCGACGCTGACCTGGCGGACTTCACCGTTGACCTCGTAGAAGACCTCACGCTGACCGGTCTGTTCGGAAAGAGGACCGATGGCAAGCAGCTTCAGAATAAGCACCTTACCCTTCTCCAGCTCGACGTGGAACTCCTCGCCGATCTCGGGACGGGCCAGGAAGAAACGGGTAGGCAGGACCGACAGGTCACCGAACTTGGACACGAACTTGCGGTAGTCCTCGAAGACCTTGGGGTACATGGCGTAACTGGCAACGTCGCACTCGGTGGCGGCGCCGAACTTCTCGCGGATCTCGTTCTTGATCTTGACCAGGTCCAGAGGCTCCAGGTACAGACCGGGGCGCTTGTCCAGCTTGCGGCGGTTGCGCAGAGCGTTGGAGCGCAGGGGCTCGGGGAAGCCGCCGAAGGGCTGACCCATCAGACCCTCCAGGAACTCCAGGACAGAGCCGGGGAAGTCCAGCTCGGCGGCGCGCGCAACAACGTCCTCGGAGGTCAGCTTGTTGGACACCATGAACTGGGCCAGGTCACCGACGACCTTGGAAGTAGGGGTGACCTTGACGATGTCGCCAAGCAGGTCGTTGGCGGCCTCGTAGGCCTTCTTGGTCTCGGCCCACTGCTGGCCCAGACCCAGCTGGCTAGCCTGGAAGATCAGGTTGGTCAGTTGACCACCGGGGATCTCGTGCTCGTAGACCTCGGGGTCAGGTCCAGTGAGACCAGCCTCGAAGGGAGAGTAGAGGAGACGGAGCTGAGCCCAGTAGGCGTCCAGAGCGCGGACATGGCCAATGTCCAGGTTGGGGTCCTGCTCAGTGCCGCTGAGGGAGGCCAGGATGGCACCAATGCTAGGCTGAGAGGTCATACCGGACAGACTGTCAGTGGCAGCATCGACGGCATCAGCACCAGCCTGGGCGCAGGCAATCATCGAAGCAACACCGGTACCGGCGGAGTCGTGAGTGTGAACGTGGATGGGGAGGTCGGGGTAACGCTCGCGAAGAGCACCGATCAGCAGACGGGCAGCCTGGGGCTTCAGGACACCAGCCATATCCTTGATGCCGAGAACGTGAGTGCCCAGCTTGACAATGCGATCAGCCAGAGCGAGGTAGTACTCCAAGTTGTACTTCTTGGCGGGGTTCAGCATGTCACCGCTGTAACAGATAGTGGCCTCGACCACACCGCCGGCCTCCTGGACGGCCTTGATGCCGACCTCGAGCTGGTCAACGTCGTTGAGGGCATCGAAGACACGGAAGATATCAACACCGTACTTCTTCGCCTGCTTACAGAAGTGGTAGATGGCGTTGTCGGGAAGGGAGGAGTAGGCAACACCGTTGGCGCCGCGCAGCAGCATCTGGAAGGGGATGTTGGGAACAGCCTTGCGGAGCTTACGCAGACGGTCCCAGGGGTCCTCGTACAGGAAGCGCATGGCGACGTCGAAGGTGGCACCACCCCAGCACTCCAGGGAGTAGGCGTTTTGCAGAGCGTGGCTGGTCTCGTGGGCAATGTTGAGCATGTCAATGGTACGCACGCGAGTGGCGAGCAAAGACTGGTGGGCATCACGCCAGGTGGTGTCCATGATCAAGCAGCCCTTGTTGGCGCGCACTGCCTTGGCAAAGGCATCAGGGCCCTGGGCGTCCAAGATCTGCTTCCAGCCCTGCTGGCAGGGAACGGAGACATCGATGGGCTTGCCAGCGGTGTCCTTGAGGATGGGCTTGATGATGTCGCCCTTGAACTTGGGCTCACCGATCTGGCCCTTGATGCTGCTACCGTTGACAGCGACGTCGCCCAGGTAAGCGAGCAGCTTCTGGGCACGGTTCTGAGAGCCGACCAGGGCGAACAGCTCGGGGGTATCATCGATGAAGGTGGTCCAGCAGGTTCCGTCGATAAAGGTGTTGTGGCTCAGCAGAGAAGCCAGGAAGGGGATGTTGGTCTTGACACCACGGATACGGAACTCAACCAGGGCACGCAGCATCTTGCGGCGGACAATCTCGTAGGTCGATCCACGGCAAGTACACTTGACCAGCATGGAGTCGTAGTGGGGGGTGATGATGGCACCGGCAAAACCGTTACCACCGTCCAGACGAACACCGTTACCACCAGCAGAGCGGTAGACCTCAATCTTACCGGTGTCGGGAGAGAAGCCCTTGGAGGGATCCTCGGTGGTGATACGGCACTGAATAGCGAAACCGCGAGTAGAGATGCGGTCCTGAGTCAGGCCCAGCTGCTCAAGAGTGGCACCAGCGGCAATCTGGATCTGAGCTGCGACGATATCGATACCAGTGATTTCCTCGGTGATGGTGTGCTCAACCTGGATACGAGGGTTGATCTCAATGAAGTAGTAGCGGTTTTGCTGATCGACAAGGAACTCGGCGGTACCGGCGTTGCGGTACTTGACAGACTTGGCCAACCTAACGGCATCAGCCAGGATCTTGTCACGGACATCGACGGGGAGGTCCTTGGCGGGAGCAATCTCGACGACCTTCTGGTGACGACGCTGGACAGAGCAATCACGCTCGAACAGGTGGACGACGTTGCCCTGGTTGTCACCAAGCAGCTGGACCTCAATGTGCTTGGGCTTGTCGAGGAAGCGCTCAACGAAGACGGTACCGTTACCGAAGGCGGACTTGGCCTCGGAAGTGGCACGCTCAAAGGCATCACGCAGGGAAGCCTGGTCGCGGACTACACGCATACCACGGCCACCACCACCGAAGGCAGCCTTGATGATGATGGGGAAGCCATATTCGTCAGTGAAGGACTTGACATCGTCGTAGTGCGCGACGGGGCCCTCAGTACCGGGGACAACGGGGACATTGCACTTGATAGCAAGACGACGAGCAGAGACCTTGTCACCAAGAGCGTCAATGGTGTCTGCGGTCGGGCCCACGAAAACGATACCAGCCTTCTCGACATTGCGGGCGAACCCGGCATTCTCCGACAAGAAACCGTAGCCAGGGTGAATCAGGTGCACACCGTGCTCCTGGGCGATCTTGATGATCTCGTCGCCGGCGAGATAAGCACCGACGGGGGTATATTGACCACGCTTGCCGATCATGTACGCCTCATCGGCCTTCTGACGGTGCATACCCAGACGGTCCTCGTGGGAGTAGACGGCGACAGTCTGTAGGGACAGCTCGTGGGCTGTACGGAAGATACGGATGGGAATTTCACCACGGTTGGCGACCAGGATCTTCTGGAAGTGCATGATGGTGGAATTGGCACGGAGACGACGGTGGACGGAGTCCTGGTGGTGCTCCCCGTGGTCCTCGACGAACTCGACGGCATCCTCGTTGTTGGCGGCCATGATGGGGGGAGGAAGCGGAGAGGGAGAGGTTAATTTACAAGCTGGAATGGTGTTAGTTATTGTAATTCTCCCGGGGCATTTCAGAGGAAAATCCCAATAATGCCACTGGATGTAACCCAGTGCAGCTGTATCCAATTCAATGGCATATTGGCATATAATGAAGCCATATCCAAATAGCGGGGTGACTCACAAGCTAGATTGAAGCTCCGGATCTGAGTCCAGGCCGATTTCGGCGAAGCAGGTCAACTGGCAGTGAAGCAGTCAGGCAATCTGACGATAGAGAGAGAGAGAGAAAAAAAGGGTTCAGAGGGGGGGGAGGGATAAAGAAGGAAAAAAAAAAAAGACGGGGGAAGCAGAAGGAAGGAGGGGAGCTGATAAAGGGCGACTGTGAGTGAGCGATCACGGGCCAGGAAGATCTGCGTCCGGGGCAAATGAGGTAACAAGTACAGTCAACTGTCCCCCAGTCCACCACTCCCCACTTCTTCCCTCTCTCTCCGTCTCGACTGATTTCACCTACAAGTTCACCGGCACACCGACGCCTTCCAAGAGGTGATCTTCGGTCAAGAATTAGTCCAAATGCCTTTTTCTTTCTATCTCGTGAACAATTACGGGGCTCCTCCCATTTACCACTACTACTCTCTTCTCCATTGACACCATACTTCTATCCTCCCCCCCCCCCCTTCCCTCTCTGTCTGCAGCTGCCAGCGGGTCTCTCAAGTCGGTAACAAATCCCCCAATGATCTCATCGCCGATTCTCTCCTTCAGATCGGGTGGATTAGGTACAACCTCCAGCCCTGGGGAAAATCTACCTCGGGTCCTCGGGCCCATGCCACACATTCTAGCCCATGTAGCCATTGCTCAATCCTGTCGATAACGGATAGCGACGGGAAACCCATTCACAATTCCGGGACAGACTCGGAGAACTCTCGTTTAACCTTCGAAGATGTTGGAAGAATCCGCCACCCCCACCAATCATGACCCATGAATTCCCACGATTTTCCTTCCTGCACCAAACCCCCCCCGTTCGTTCCTGAAACGCCTTCACCTCGGGGAAAGTCATTCCGGAAGCATTACCCTTCTCAATTTCGTCTGACTACGACTATTCTCGCCTACCCCTTCCTGGATCTTCTGGATCTTCTTACCCCGTCGAGAAACAACGGTCCCGCAACCCGGGTTGGTCATGCGTGCTCATCCCTAGAGGAAAGGATCACCTTCCTCGCTCCGAGGGCCACGCTGGAACCCAGTCTCTGGAACGGGTTTTTCGGTGTATCCCTCCGACGAGAACCGTCTTGGCCTTTGCCTTGCTTCCTTGTTCGTTTCGGTTCATTATCATATTGTATTAGTATCTTAATTTTTATCCCCCCCCCCCCCCTTGGCGCTGTGGTGATCTCCCGCCGCAGTATGACAGGTACCACCTCAACATCACCGCGCCGTCCGCGGTAGAGCAGCCAAGCGGCCAAGACAGTCATCTGAGGTTGATTGACGGAGGAGAGCCAAGATTTCCATGTAGAATTGTGCAACAATAGTCCTGTAAATCTGGCAATGCCCAGACCAAGGAGTTCTTGGCTCTACAGTACGAGTATACCGAGTATCCATCTGGAAGAACAACGATTTCCTCTGCATCATGTGCAAACTCAAAGCGCCCAGACCCATTCATTCCCATTCCTAGGCTGTGCCCTAGGGTACCCAGAGTCCAGCGCGTCGGAAGGCCGCCCGATAAGCCTCCATTCTACGAGTACCATTCCGATGTCTAGCGGAGGAGTACCCTAACTATGTGTACACACTATCCGCCTCCGCAACTTGAATATCCAATGCCGATTCCAATAATCAGATAGTCCCGCCTGAATGGACCCGCCCATCACCTCTTCACGTCTTATCTCTTCCCACCAAACGTCATCCCACGTGCGGTACGGACTGCGTACATGGGAAACCAACCACTCTGCACTCGCCGATTATCAACGCCATGATTGCACCAGCGCATAGCTACAGTCCGGCATGTACTCTGTACTCTGTACTCCGTACAGCGAACCCCCAACGACGCAAGGCTCCAAAAATGGAAAAAGTCACTGCCACAATCTTGACCCGCCCCTCATTCCTCTCCCCAGCTATCTCCCCTCACCCACACCCACATCCCCCCATACTCGTAGTAAGCTTGTATGTACCAGTAGTGGCGCAAACCAGTCCAAGCCCCAGAAATAAAAATAAAAATATATTTATTTTTTTAAGAAAAATAATCTAAGTGCCGATCGGTCTCTGGAAAGACAGACAGATCCAGACAAGGCATAGCTAGTCAGACTCACCCATCAAATCAAATCAAACTCCCTTCTGCAATCCTTCTCCACGGGGTAAATCATTCCCCGGAAAGCCTGCGTTTCTGTCTTTTTTTTTTCCAAAGCCCAGCTCCCGACTACTCACCTGACTCCGTACTCCATTGCTCTAACCTCCGGCTCGGACGGAGCCCAGCGCGAGCGGCTGGCTGCACTCGGCACGAACTACTCAGAACTGACAAGCTGCCTTTAGTACTCCGTAGTACGAGTATCCCAGCGGAAAAGCGGACGACCTCAGATTCTCCCCGCCGGGCAATTTCCTCCGCCGGATCGGAGTACTACTGTAATGTACAGTACAGGACGCATTGTCCTATCCTGTCCAGGAAAGCAAAGCAAAGCCCGCCAAGGATGTAGATGTGGTGTTAAGATCCCTTCTACGCATGTACAATCTATCCTTTTGTCCGACCGGGTAATATCAGGAGGAGAAATGATGGTGACTAGCTGCTTTACTTATATTGTTGGACACACCCAGACTAGGTACGTACGCTGTAGTTCTAGTTCTAGTTCTAGTTCTGTTTTCAGGTAATGAGCGTCAATTGTTCTACCTACTCGTATCCCGCCGGACTGAATACCATGGCATGGCGAGCTACATACCCTAGAGGCTGGGCATCAGATCTGCAGCAACTCTGCAACTGCAACTACCTGCATCTCTGAAACCGAACCCCCACCCCCAGTGGAGCGGACTGGACTGGACTGGATGGGATGGATGGGATCACTCCTTGCTCCACGGGGCTATTTGGAGGAGATCACGATAGTTGCAAATGATGGACCTTGGCGTGCTTGGCGCAAGTCCGGTATCTGCAATCGATCATTCTGATCTGAGGCAACACTTGGCAGGCGCAAAAACGGGTCGTACGTTCGTTAGTTCATGTTTGGAATGTGTGCCAGCGTTGTGGACCTGGTCAGGTCATGTGCCATCAGTGTCAGTGTGCTATGGGATACCATGCGCCAAGTCCTATCTCTCGGGGATCTTAGATACAGATGGTCAAGTAGTACGATACTAGTAGACCATGTGAGTACTAGTAGGGTTTAATGTACTGTAGATAGATGGATGCATGGGAACTACTGAATAGCCCGGCTGGTCTAGAGCGCTAGCACTTGCACTAGCACTACTTAGAACCTGGGCCATACCACGACAGAATTCGGAACGATGTCAAAAATACAATTGGATAATAGAGAGGAAATGATAAAGTAGAGAGAAAGGGGAAAGAAAAAAGAAATGAAAGAAGCAAAAAGATAAAAGTAAAAGAAAAAGAAAAAAATTAACAGGCCGTCAGGGAATAGAATCTCCCTCCGATGATATGATATGACATGACACATCTCATCCATCCAGCCTCAACTCAGCTTGGCAACCCATGCCAATCCATCCCTTCCCCGATCTTCATGTCTTTTTGCTCGCACCAAAGAGGTCATCACTTCGCTTTATGTTACACATGATCAAGAAAAAAAAAGAAGAGAAACAAAATAAAAAGGAAGAAAACAAGGAACTCAGGGGATTACCCGGGTCTCTCTTTCTCTAGAAGGCGCGGTATCCCGTAGCTTGCGGGGTGATCCCGTTAGCTTGTCCGTATGGCATGGAGCTGGCAGGGGCGGGACCACCGGGGCCCTGGGTCAGCATCAGCCGAGAGCCACCCAGGATCGGGGTGTTGTCCTGGTCGGTTGTGTGGGTCGTCTCGCGGGACTTGCGCTCCTCGTTATCCTTCTTTAGTGTCTCGATCGCACGAGTCTGCTCGCAGAGGAAGTTGATCATAAACGGCATGGTGAAGTCGTGCAGGCCCTTGCGCCATGAGATCTCCATGATCACGTCAGGGCGGATGAGATCGTAGCAGGCGTACAACATGCCAACGTAGCACTCGCGGCTTCCAATATCGACGAACTAAAGAGATCGGTTAGCTTTATGTTTTATGAAAGGTGAAAATGCAGAAGGCTGGGAAAGGGACATACGTAGCGAAGGAGCTCCTCCACAATCTCGGACTTGGTTGAGATGGCGGCGGTCTCAATGGCATCCTTGTATAGCCTATCTTGCTTGGACAAGGCGATAGACTTCTCCCAACGCTTGTTGTTGCGGTAGATGCTGGCGGCAATCTGGCGGAAGAAGATCAGATCGTGCTTCTCCAGGCGCACAGCCAGATCAACAGCGTCGAAGTTGTCGTAGTTGTCAACGGAATCACGGAGAGTCTTGTAGTCCTCCTCCTCGATCAGAAGCTCATTGATGGCGTCGTTGACCGCACGCTTGTTCTGGGTCTGGACGTTAAGCAGGAAGGGCTTGATCAGAGGAATGTTATCGGAGCTCTGGAAGATGCGAACGACACGGTTTACGTCGATACGGGCAGTGAGGGCCTGCAGAAGATCGGTGATGAGGAGGGGTTGCTCCTGCAGGTAGAAGGTCAAGGCACGGTAGTAGATCTCCAGGTTGGCAACCTTGACAATGATGTCCTTGAACGAGTGGTGCTCCCAGGCATCGGCCGCACGCTCCATCATAGCCAGAGCTGCGTTGTCAAACTCATCGTAGTGGCAGTACAAGAAGACCAGCTCCGGCCACAGGTTCGCCTCCTCGCAAGCGCGGATCATCTTGGGGGTGTTGAGACGAGTGTAAAACAGCTTGAGGTGCTCCATAACACGGTCGGGGTGGTACTTGGACAGAGCAATGCCCAGCTCAGTGAACATACCCATGTGAGATCGCTCCAAGCCGAGACCAGCCTCCAAGACGGAGATCAGCTCGTCGAAGTAACCGTTGCGCTCATACTGGCGCACAAGGGCCTGGAGCTCCTCGGCGTGAACAATCAGGTTCAGACCGCAAATCTGGGCGAGACGGAACTCCTTCTTGTCAACGCAGGCCTCGTTAACCTGCTTCCAGACCTTGACGCTGTTGGCCTTGCGGGCACACTCAACGGCGGCCTGGTACTCCTCAAGGTGCACCAGGGTGGTGGCCAGCTTAGCCCAGTTAGAGATGCTGGTGAAGAAGATCTTGGCAGCCTGGTGGTAACCCTCCTCGTAGGCCTTGTCACCGGAGGTTTCGATGTCAGCGACGTTGGTGGTGCGCAGGAAGTCCTCAAGTTCGGGAAGCTGGTCCAGACGAGCGAAGCAGAAAGCGAGGGAGGTATCGATGGCCGGCTCGCGCAGAGTCTTGCGAGCCATGCGAAGGAACTTGACGAGATCCTCATCCTTGCCGGCGTGGGTGGCGGTCTCGATAACCTCATTGTAGTTGGAGGGATCAGCAGCACGGATATACGACTCGATAGAGTCAGACACACGCAGACCATCCAATTGGGCCTTGGCAACCTTGCTCCAAACATCAGGCAGCTCAACCCGCTCGGCGAACTCCTGAGCCCGGTCAATGCTGACGATGTTCTCAACAAGGACATTGGCGGCAGCCAGGAAGTTGTTGACCTTCTTGTAGATCTCGAAACCCTCCTCATACAAGCCAACACTGATGCACATCTCAGCGATCTCATCAGCAGAGTACTCGTTGAGCTGGTGAATGTAGTCCATCAGACGACCCTTGTCAGCCTTGGCAGCAGTCAGCATCAGGAGGTTTTGCAGGCTGGCGTTGTCGCTAAATGGCGAAGGCTCCAGAATAATCTTCTCAAGAAGCTCAATAAGCTCGCCGGGGAGATCGGCATCGAGGAAGCACTTAACGGCCACGGAAACCTTGTCAGGCTCGGTGGACTCGGGGACAGCAGTGGCAACGACCTGGTCAACAAGCGAACGGCGGTGGATGTTGTTCTCGCTGAGGACAAAAGTCCAGACCTCGGCGTCCGCACGCTCAACAAGGTAGCGGGCCTGGGCACGGTACATAGCGTTCTCGTTGGTAATGCTGATGAGCTCCAGGTCGTTCTGGCCCTTGCGGTAGGCAATGTAGGCCAGGTTGGGGTCACGCTTTTCACAGTACTTTCCGACAGTCAAGGTGTCGTACATGTCGTTCTCCTTCAGGAACTTCTCGGGATCATTGTTGCTATCAATGTAGATCTTGGCGAGGGCGTTGTACACAGCTTGCTGCTGGTTACCAGTGGCAAGGGTAGCCTCGAGGAAGGGCAGGAGCAGCTTGAGACGGTTGCGGCTCTCAACCTCGGTAACGAGCTCATCAATGGGGATGACCGAGGGATCAACGGTGGACAGGAGGTTCTTGATGATGCTCTCCTCGCAGTCAACATCCAACAGACCGCCAACAACCGCAGGAGCACGAGAGGGGTTCACGCGCTGGACATAGACCTCGATAGACTTGAACTGCTGGTTCTGGTACAGGTAGAGAACAAGGTCGTGGATGAAGTTGAAACGGTCGCAGACAATAATGAGAGGGAGCTGCTCGGACAGGTGAGCCTCCTTGAGGAAGTTCTTAACTTTCTCGGGGTTGTAGTAGTTGCTCTCACGGCAAATACGCTCGACTTCGGTGAGCTGGCTCATGGCAGTGGCGGCTTCGATGTACTTGAAGTGCACCTCGCCATCCTCGCTGAGGTTGACGATACTTCCCAGGTAGTAGTAGAGACCCTCGGCGGTACGGTACTTCTCGAAAAGATCGATCAAACGGTTAGGTCCGATGAGGTCGGAGAACTTGGTAGCAATCTGAACGACAGCCTGCAGGTTCTGGCGGATGTTGTTCTCGAGCATGGTGTCCATGCACTCGAGGGTCTGTTCCACAGACAGACGACCGAAGTAGTTGATCAACCAGTCGGGAGTCAGCATGTCAGTGCGAACAATGTTGCGCTTGATGACAGCAGGGTCATCGGAGTTCTCCAAGGCGCGCTGAATGAGATTGGCTTGCTCGCAAAGTTGAGAGATGCGAGCGTGATCATAGTGAGTGAAGATCTCATTGCCTAGAATGGCGTCGGCGACCTGAGGAGCATTGACAAGGTTCATCTCCAGAAGGCGAGTCTGCAGGTGGCCGTGCTCGGGCTTGTTATCCTTGAGAGCATCGAGGAGGAAGGAGGTGGCCTGCTGGATCATGTTCTGGGAGAGGAACACATCCACAACGCGGTCAAGATCGACGAGAGCACCGCCCTCCTCGTTGGCGAGCTGAGTAGCGAACTCGGCTCCCTTCTCGGGGTTGACACGGACAATGTGTTGCAGGAGCTGGGTGTAGTCGGGCTGGTAGTTGGCCTCCTTGGAGTAGGAAAGAATCCTGTCGAATTGACCAGTCTCGGCGAGGCCGGCGACAACCTTGTTGGGAATATTGGCCTGAAGGTAGACGTTCAAAGCCAGAGCCATGTCGTATGGGCGAATGATGTCTCCAAGCTCTTCCGAAGACTCCAGCTTATTCTCGCGCATCCACTTTTCCAGCAGGTGCTTGCGATTCTGCTGCAAGACGGGACGAACAAGCTCCACACTCTCGTAGCGGTTGAGCGAACCCTTATCCAGAAGCATACCGAAGTACTGAAGAATGACGGACATGTTACCCTCTTGAGGAGCGCTCTTGAAACGGTTGATGGTTTCCGTAGTACGAAGGAATCCACGGGGGGGAGTTTGCAGCGACCTTGGCAGCCTCGGCGAACTGGCCGGTGCTGATGAGCTGGTCGAATTGTTGCTGATACAAGTGATCAGCACCCGGGAGACCCGCCCGAGAAGCAAGCTTCACGGCAAGAGAAGACATGGCGGGGTTGTTCATGAGGTATTCAATGATGGTACTCTCGTCGACGCTGACTGACAAAACTTGACCCTTACGGTTGACACCAACCAGGCCCTGTCCATCCATATCAGAGGCGGTGGTGAAGATGGTTTCGCTGGAGATCCGGTTCATGAAAATACAAGTACCGGTCTCGAGATCGTAAAGGTGAATGAATCCATACTTCGTAACCAGGTAGACAACATCGTATTTGGATGATACCTGCATCGCAACGGGGAAGTCATTGACGGCTTCGCTGGGGAAGTACACTTCGACGGCCTTCTTCTGGAATCGCGGGTTGGGTTCTTGGTGGTCGATCTCGGCAATCTGCAGCTTGGCACCGGTCGCGGTACGCACGGCGAATGTAAAGAGGTGGTGGGGTAAAGGAGAGCCCTCAACGTTGATATCGGCGAAGGCAGCGGCGTGGCCCTCAATGAACTGTGAAATACCGCGCTCCTTGGAGTAGAGCTGCATAGATCCAACAACGCGACCTTGCTGTTGGCTGATACCAACAACAACCATCCATTTATCTTGCGAGTTGACGCGGTAATTGATGATTTGGCATCCCTAAATAAGAGACAAGCAAGAGTCAGAAAGCCATTCAAGCTTTGGCTGAGTTTGTCAAGGTAGACGTACGGAAAGATTGGGAAGACGGTCAAACATCTTCACCGGGTTCTCCTGGGAGGCATCATAGACATCCCAGTGGTAAACGGCGGTGTCGGTAACCAGACCCAATGACTTCTCGCTGAGCCACTTCCAGTAGACGATATCTTCATTCATAACGGCGGACTTGAGCTTTGACTTGGCCGCAAGGTCGAAGATCTGGATTGTCCGGCCCTGGGCGCGGAGGGCGATAATGTTCTTGTTCCAGTGCATGATCGCACTGTCAGCGTTGATCGGCCGCCGCATCACCTCATTGTTGTTCTTCAGGTCGACGATGATAACCTGGGGCTTGTCGTCCTCCTCGAGCTTTTGGCGAACACAGACATAGTGATCCGATTCGAGAGTCTGTAGAGTGGGGGGAGTGTGGTTAGTTGCATGTTTCACTTCCGGTTGCACTTCCCTTGCATGAAGGAGCACTTACACATGAGGAGAAACCAATGGATTGTTGCTATACATGGCGAAAGTAGTTAGCAGGCTGATTGTATGATCCGAAAGGCGAGCCGGGCGCGACCGGCGATTCCGCCTCCCAACGGGAGCTCATCGCGAAAGCGACACGGGCAGAGCCAAGCAATCCAAGACATACCGCAATGCCAACATTGGTCAACTATCGTAAGAGAAAGAGTGTCAGTTTAACAGGTCATGAGATAATTGAAGCGCAAGGAAAATCGACGTACATTGACCAGTTCTGTGAACTTGATGGGAAGCGGTGCCATATTTACTTAGGCCGCAGCACGACCTGATCCGCCCAAGTGAACGCCACGCAAGGAAAACTGATCAATGGAATGGAAGGAGAATGGGGAGAAGAATCTGATGAAAAGAGAGTAAGATGGGAGAGTGAGAAAAGGAGGGGTGTGAATGGGGGGGATCTGAAGAGGCGGAAGTGACCTCAGGAGGCCGCTGTTGTCGTTGCTGAGGTGTCGCTTATGGGGGCTGCACGTGACCCAGGGGCAGAGCTGCTTGGCGGTGGACACTGCGTCATTCCAGACCCTTCCTAATAGTGGGCCAGCAAACGGTGAGTGTAGTGATGTGAGTGATAGTAGAGTGAAGGTCACTTGTGTGATGTATGGAGGTGAGTATAGGTGCAAACAGAATTGTTTTCAAACAGAGATAGTCTTACCTTATTTCTTCATATTGAAACCTTTGGGGAATCGGCCTGGACACGAAGCTGCCTTGGGTACTAGGATAAGAACCATGGTCTTATCTTAGTGTAAGTCAAATTTCTTCAATCATCTGAGTAGATTGAATCAATTCTTTACTAGTAGATATCCATTCCCTTCTGTTTATTCCTACCGTTCTTTTATCCAACCTTCAAGTTAAAACTTCAAGGCTCCCATGGTCGGTCGGCTCGGGAACCCCGGCATTGGAGACAGTCTATTTAGTTCGGCCCGCAATGTCATCTAGCTCTGGTTGTCTGGGGTATTTTTGGGTCTTGTCACTGCAAGGTGTATTCTTGGATTTTTAAACTCTCTGAGAATACATTATGGTGGGATATACTACCTAGATATATTTCATAGGTTTTTGAAGCTTTGGTACCCAAATTGATTTTCAGCTCAATATATATATCTCTAGTGGTACCTGCAGTAAAGTATCTCAAGATGATGTCGATAAGATTTGAGCGTAAGAAGACGCCAAAATGCATATACGCACTGAAATAACCTCCCCATTCATGTCTACTCTAGGCCTCCTAGGTACTATCCATAGATATAGGCCCACCAGCAGAGTAGATTATCTAGAAATCGGATAATTTAGTATGCACCCCGATTTTGCGGGGTAGGGCAAGAACCGTTTATCCACACGTGCGCACAGCATCCAAGCAACCACATGGGGTTAATGGGACCAAAGACTCCAAATAGTATCTTATTAGCCAATCATTAGTCTGCATAGAAGCGAGCTCAGAATTGACAACATCTCCCAGGACTCAATCTGTCGTCATACCTTGGAAAATACTTAAAGGGCACCCGCAACATTGGAAAACGACGTAGGGGGCCGGTATAGTAATATCGAACATAGTTCGAGCCACTGCCAACACATATCTGGGCAGTCTTGTACATCACAAGCACCAAGCCCAGTCTTCGCCCACCAACCGCCAGGGAAGGAAAAAAGCAAAAATAAAAGGGTAAGCAGCATGGCAAACACAAGATGCGACCCAAGGAGTGTGGCGCACTCCTTGTTTCCCAGCCTCTTTGTTCAAAGCTCTCTCACACCCCGAGCTCAAATATCCCAATAGCCGATCTCATGAAAAGAGCCTCTGGGGAATACCCATGAGGAAACTCCCACCCTTCCTCCGCAGGTCGGCCATTTTTCAATTGGCCCAGAAGCACCGAGATACCGATGCCGCTCAGCGGTCTTGCACTCAAAATGTATAGCCAAGGCCGAAAGGATCTCGGGGTAGAAGTCTGCCCACGCCAAGCCGACATTTTAAGCCTGTCTTGCGGGATAAACATCGTATAGTATCGCTTCCTGAGGCGGGCACGGATGGCCGAGACCTTGGCGATATCTTGGCTGGTCAGCCGAGTGGGATCTCCCCGCGTCGAAGCACGGGACAAGTCTGGGGCCGATAGCCAGTTTCTCTGATCGCGAAGAATATGCGGGAGCTGGATGCGGGGCAGGGATGTAGCAGGGGTGTCTGAGGGCCTGGCAATGGCTATAAGAAGGGCGATGGCGCGCTTCGGTGAAGCCCCGAGGAACATACATATACGGGCTTGTTCAAGTTGAAATTTTGACCGGTATCAAGAATCCAACCTTGTGGATTTCCAGTTGTCCGATCATCCATGGCTTCCAACGAAGTGGCAGAGCCCATTGCGAAGGGGATTATTCCTACTGCTCGACAGGCATTTGGAGATTTGTTTATCTGGAAACAGCGTGTGGAAGTCACCAATGAATATGGCGAGACTCGTACAGAATGGCAAGAACCAGAGCCCATTCGAAACCCAATCAGCTTGATGATGCAGCTCTCAGCCCGTGACTGGCTTTTCTTTCTCATGGGGTTTATAGCGTGGACTGCCGATGCCTTTGACTTTCATGCTCTGTCTATCCAGCAGAAGAAATTGTCTGACTACTATGGTCGTTCCAAGACAGATATCTCAACTGCTATAACCCTCACCCTTCTTCTAAGAAGTGTGGGTGCCGCGGCTTTTGGACTTGCTGGAGATAAATATGGTCGCAAATGGCCGATGGTTCTCAACATGATCATTCTTGGAGTGTTGCAAATCGCAACGATCTATAGTCACACTTTCCAGCAGTTCCTGGCTGTGCGAAGTCTTTTTGGCCTTTTTATGGGTGGCGTGTACGGAAATGCTATTGCGATGTCCCTGGAGCATTGTCCGTAGGTGATCTCCAGTACCGAACAATTATAAGTAGCTAATCATGGCAAACAGTGTGAACGCGAGAGGTCTCATGTCGGGTATTCTTCAGCAAGGGTACTCCTTCGGGTATGTGCTTGCAGCATGTGCCAATCTCGGTGTAGGTGGGAGCACCGAGAGTTGGAAGACTGTATTTTGGGTTGCGGGTGAGTATCCGAAATCAAAGAGAAATGCATAAACTAACAGAACTATTCATGCAGCTGGTCTTTCTATCGGCGTCGGTCTCATTCGCATTCTATTCCCCGAATCCCAGCAATTTCTCGAGGCCAAAAAATCAGGCAAACGGACGATGACAGCGGGGGAGTTTTCTAAGGAGACCCGAACTATGTTGGCCAAGCAGTGGAAGCTTTGCATTTACTGTGTCATATTGATGACATGGGTAAGTTTACAGCGATTGAACAAGAGGATGTGAGCTAACATGGGTTCAAATTAGTTCAACTATTATTCGCATACATCCCAAGATTCGTACACAACGTTCATGCTAACAGAGAAAGAGCTTGACAACGCGGGCGCCTCAAGGGCATCTATCCTGATGAAGACTGGAGCCTGCGTTGGTGGAACCATTATCGGCTACCTTTCACAATTTGTCGGTCGTCGCCGTGCAATGATTGTATCTGCTCTGGTTTCGGGCGTTCTCATCCCCGCATGGATCATGCCACAGGGTGAGCGATCGTTAAGTGCCTCCGGGTTCTTCATGCAGTTCTTCGTCCAAGGAGCATGGGGCGTGATTCCGATTCATCTGAATGAGCTTTCGCCTCCCGAATTTCGATCCACGTTCCCTGGGTTGACCTACCAAATTGGAAATATGATCAGTTCTCCATCTGCGCAGATCGTAAACGCCGTTGCGGAAAAGACCTGGATTACTGCTGCAACTGGTCACAGAGTATCGGCCTATGGGCCGGTAATGGGTGTTGCGACTGCTATAATTGCCACAGGAATTGCGGTGACCGCCGCCTTTGGACCTGAGAAACGTGGCCGTCGCTTTGAGAGTGCTGTGGCTGGAGTTGACGAGCTAGCTGCTACTAAGGTTGCGGATCTTGAGGCAGGCGACCCAGAGAAGAGGGTTGGCAATGAAAGCCAGGCAAAGGAAGAGAGAATTGAGAGTGTTAATGAGAAGTTATGATTGAATATCCTCTTGTTAGATAGGCGATGGGAACGCTGGATCGAGTATAGGACGTTCTATAATATTCTTTTGGTTAGTTTTTTGATTGCCGTAGGCTTTACTTTGCATCGCAAATTCGCATAGACAATCAAGAACCGATTTTGTACCATGCATGGTGTATGGGTATTCGGTCATGCGTTGGAATCATGCGGAATGGTGCAAGGCTCGAAGAGAGGCGACAAGTCGTGGGAACAGAGGGCATCCTATAGGCAAGGATACTGATTCTCATCAACATGTAGGAAACAGCCAGACAACTCGTTCTGAACATAGGAGGTAAGAGGGAGTGCTTGTGATCGACAGAGACCACTGACACTCCTTTTCCCCATCAGAGGTGAGCTAGGCGAGACCAAAGGTACGAACAGTCTGGCATCTTCGTGACGTTACTTTTGTCCTCATCAGGGCTCAAGGCGAAGAAGCGGGGCGGCACGAAATAAAGTGCCGAAACCCAGAACTAGTGATGTGACAAGGGTTCGGTCCGTTACAGGCCACTGGGGGCTGGAGCAGAATACCCCGGATATGCACCAGGGACTCGGATAACTCCGATTTATATCAACTACGACCTACGACCTACTGCTACGCGAGAGAAAGCGGCACCAGGTTGAGACAGGAAAAGACAGAGAGATGGGCCAGGTGGTACTCCCAAAAGCCAAGCACAGCGTACAAGACAATTAGAGAGACCGACTCTTTGATGGTACAAGACCAATCAAGCGAGTTTTGACGGACACAGACAGTGCTAGTGTCGTCTTCTTTTCAACAATGGTTATGCGGAAAAACAACACCTTTTGTGCAGCCTTCATTGTGAAAAGTGGAACTGTGGGAGTTTTGCAAGGTAGTAGATTCATGTCTCTAGCACGCCTATCCTGGTTGCCGTGGTAGATAAAATAAGAGAAAGGGGTTCAGAACACCATTGCCGACGCAGGGACCGGGAGCCCGGCCGGGGTCGACGGGGTCTTCCGTCCTGGGCCGATTTTTTGTTTCGGAGAAAGAATTTTTGGCTCCCTTCGATGCATCGTAAATCACAGTTTCATCCGGGCCTCCATCCCGTTTCCTCAACACTCGTTAAAGCGTTTACCGGACGATACCGTCGAAGCGGTTCTTGAACCACTTGATGGTCTCGGTGGTGTTGATCTTGTGGTTGACACCGATGGTGGACTTGCAGCGACGGCGCTTGGCGACACGCTCACCGGGGCGGGTCCTAGAAATAGTCAGCATCCCAATCCACCTTTGAGATAGCTTCATTGTGGAGAGAGTTGCAGCAGGGTAACTGCCTCCGCTCCTCTTCGATGTACTCACATGCAGCAGAAGAAGTCCATGCCGTAGATACCGATACCGGGGTCGTACTTGATACCCAGATCAATGTGCTCGGAGATACCGAAACCGAAGTTGCCGGTCTCGGAGAAGTTGCGCTTGCGGAGCTCGTACTCCTTGACCTTCAGGCCACGCTCGAGGATCTCCTCAGCCTTGGGGCCACGGACGGTAACGTGGACGGCGATCTTCTCGTTACGGCGGATACCGAAGGTACGGACGGTGTAGCGGGCCTTGGAGTAGACGGGGGTCTGACCAGACAGCTGCTCAAGCACCTTCGCGGCACGAGTAAGTCTGTCACCAGACTCACCGACCGAGATGTTCAGCACGAGCTTCTGGATGCGCAGCTCGCGCATGGGGTTGGCGCTCTTGTCCTTTCCGTCCGACTGCATTGCTGTTAGGCGATTGCAAATTCACATTCAATGAGGGGGGTGGTGTATCATACCATGGCGACTGTGTGTTGTGGCGTGAGGTGGTTATCGAGAAGAGGAGATCCTGCAAAAAGTCACAAAATGGGAGAGCGTTCCGAAGGTTGGTGTGTGCGGTCACGGGAGATAGGGTCACGGGAGATAAGATATCCTCAAGCGAGGGCTGCTGACTAACGGACCGAAACTTTGATTCTTTCTCCGCCTTAGGCAGTAAATATCACATGATCATCTCGGCTTAGTCATTCGATATCCAGAACTCTGAAGTCCGGCGAAAGCTAGAGCTTGTCAACGGATCCGCGCCTGTTTGATCCTACACTGTTGAGAGAGCACTTGTTGCTGTCTTCTTACTTTTTGGATCTATCAAGTCGCATTCGTGCGCGCTCTTCTTGCCAACCATGGCCGCCAACAAGCAGGGCAAGATGGTAAGTCCTGGTCCCTCCGTGCATCCAACGTCGTGTGGTCAATGGCTGTCGCTAACATATATGTTGTAGCAAAACCTCGTGAGTCTAATTTGCTGATACTAAATCACTCAATCCATTGCCTAACGAGTCTCGCAGATCAACTACCGCATGAGAGTGACCCTTAACGATGGTCGCCAAATGACCGGTCAGATGCTGGCCTTTGATAAGGTCCGTCAATTACCTACCATTGCCCCGGACCCAGCTAATTTTATGGTTACTCTCCAGCACATGAACCTTGTTCTCGCCGACACAGAAGAATTCCGCCGTATCAAGCGCAAAGGAAAGGCCGCTGGCCCCGCGAACACCCCGCTGGTCGAGGCGGAGGAGAAGCGAACTCTCGGTCTGACTATCGTGCGCGGCGCCCAGGTCGTCTGTTGCTCCGTCGATGGCCCTCCCCCAGCCGATCCCTCTGCACGTCTCGGTAACGCCGGTGCCGGCGCCGCGGGTGCTGCCGCGACTCTCGCTGCAGGCCCCGGTATCAGCAAGCCCGCTGGTCGTGGCCTGCCCGTTGGTCTTGGTGGTCCCGCTGCTGGTGTGGGTGGCCCCCCCTCCTCCTGGTGGGTTCGGAGGTTTCCCTCCTGGTGGATTCCCTGGTGCTCCCCCTCCTGGGTTCGCTGGTCGTGGAGGACCCCCTGGTGGACCTCGTAAGTTATACACTATACTCCGCAACATGGCGCGCATGCTAACCATTACGCTCTGCAGCTGGTTTCGCTCCTCCCCCTGGGTTCGCTCCTCAAGGCGCTCCTCGTAAGATTTCCTCTCTTGACCACATGGAACCCCCCCTTGAACAGATTCGCTAACATTATATCTTTAGCTGGTGGCGCTTTCCAACCTCCTCCAGGCTTCCAGCCTCCTGGTCAGGGGCGGGGATACCCCCCCTCCCGGTTTCGGTGGTCGTTGAGTGGATAAATGTGTTTTAGAAGGGAATTCACGCTCCATATGATGAGCGGTCTGTTTTTTGCCCGGGAAATGAGATGGGGTTCGGGGTTACGTGGAACCAATATTCCCGCGGTCAGCAAGACAGCATTCGTACATGCTCGATTAGCCCACAATTACCGGGTAGGCGTTGCGGCGCATGGGGACGGAGGTCGTGTCAAGGATTGAAAAAAAAGCCCAGAGATCCTTTTGAGATTCGCATTCAGTACTACAATAATGCTACCTAGCTCCTATGGCCCCTTTGTCGCAAAATTGCAATACATATCGATTTCAGCGCGAGTTGAGCTTGTACTAATACAAACGTAGTTCCAAGGTTTCGGCAAATTGCTCAATTCCCCACTTGAGTTGCTTCGGCTTCTAGTAATCAGTTTGGAACTACTTAAGAGCTTCCAAGATATCGGGGTTAAGACATTATTTGTATCGTTTGATGTTTCCCATCTAGCTCGCTACGGAGTACTGAATCGTGTATTAGTGAAGATTGTGTACTGGTAAAACAGTGCTAATTGAGATGCTCGAGCGATGTGTGTTAAAAGACTGAACTAAAAAGAGCAAATCAAGCTTGGAGAGAGCAAAGTATTACACTACCTAGTATTTAGATAGAGCAACTTGAACTTGAAGATCGTGTTAATAATTTAGTAGATAACCCGGTATATCAGAACTATTAAGCTATGCGAGATATTGATGTTCTTCCAAGCCATAATTATATATTAAAATACGATCAAAATACCGTGGTGCGGCCTGGGATGACGGCATTTCTTGAAGACCACATTTTTAATAGAGGGAATCTTGACATGGTATTGAATTAGGTAGGTATTCCTGAACCGGATTATACAGAACGTCTTTTCAAACAGCAAGATGCTATGTCTAGAGATAGATTGATCTGACTTCAAACTTGAAGGTTATTTCCTTCGACGGTATCTATATAGTGGACTTCCAAACCCCTGGTAATACTGGCATGACGACTGGCTAGTCAAATTGCCCATTATGCAACCACACATGCATAGCTTGGCAGTCGAAGTATAGAAAGTCCAGAATCATAAGACTGAACCGAACTATCACTGAAATAAAACGATTTAACTTTCCCTCTAATTATGCTGGCAAGCAATGCCATTGACGGAGATAAGCACATGGCACGTGACACGGTCAATGCCGGGTAAGTCAAGTACTTCCGAACCCGCAGACCCCAACCTCAACCCTCAGAGTCACTTTTTTGAACATCTCCCCTCTCAGCAACCTCCGTCATGGCCGCTGTTATTAAGGCGATCAACGCCAAGATCCGCTCCAACAAGGTTGCTGACTATGTCTGCTCGACTCGTACGTGAACCCCGACTCCCAAGTTTCCCGCCGCGCTTCCCCGAGATCGGCCAGCTGTGATACCTCCGTGAAGAGGACGGACAGGCACAATGGTGGTTGTGGGAATTGGCATTTAGGATCTCACAGGAGTCCTAGCACTGAGCTTTGAGAGATATCTCGAATTATCAACTCTCAACCAATTCTCAATGGCTTTGGCTTTCCGCTGAACAATACTGACAATGACAACCCTTTGCAGACTTCTGGGGCCCCGTCTCCAACTTCGGTATTCCCTTCGCCGCTGTGATGGACACCCAAAAGGACCCTGATATGTATGTTCTAACTGCGAGAAGTCGCCGCTTATATTTCCGCGGACAATTGCCTCCGCTCCCTTCACCTCACCGTCGTCCCTGTTTCCGTCCTCGCCCAGATTCGCTGACCACTACTTTACAGTATCTCCGGCCCCATGACCGGTTGTCTGGTCGTCTACGCTGTCACCTTCATGCGCTACTCTCTCGCCGTCACCCCTGCCAACTACCTCCTCTTCGGCTGCCACTTGACCAACTTCTGTGCCCAGTCCGTCCAGGGATACCGTTACCTGAACTACTGGAAGTGCGTTACCCTCCCCCACATGAAACGAAATGCACGCGGCAATTCATAACCTGATTTGAAAAAAATTGGCTAACATGTGTCTGATTTTAGCTGGGGCGGCCGGGAAGCTTCGCTCGCCGCCAAGGCCGCTCAGGGCGCCAAGGCCACTGAGGCCGGTGCTTAGAGAAAGAGAACGTTCGTCGGAAATTTGTGATGCTCTTTTTTCTTGTTTATTGCCTCGTTTGTCACGGTATTGCATTTCTCTATACACGCGTTTGTCAAACTTGCTTTGTGGCCGGTCCTGTATGGCAGTGAAGAAAAAGTTGTGGTATAGAGGTTCCTATAGAGCGACTGCCGTGTTGGGGGTGATGGAGCGAATGGGGCTGAGGGGTATGGCGTGGAGACTCGGGCATATGATCCGTCTGTCACGGCCACTGTACATAGGTTCTACATTGTGCTTGAATCATTGTTTTGATAAAATCGCCCCCTTGTCATACTAGTACCCAGGTATCCATCCATCCTACAAGTGCTTTTTCAATGAGAACTTCAGGGTCTTGTAGTCTTACCAATAAAATTTAGTTGCTACTTGGGCTGTATGATAGACTGCTTGTCCAAAAAATGCATACGAATCGTGAATTTGAAATGACCACCCTGAGGTGGGTAGACGGATGTGCCGAACTTGTCGAATATGTATACAAAAAAAGAAACCACCGAATCCCTCAATGCGCCCAATATACTGGCAATTTGTCAAGAGAAAGACCCAAAAACACCAAGTTTGCATAGCTGTTCTCCGCCCATACGTGAAACAAAAAGATATCAAATGCTATGCGGAACTCTAGTGTTGAAACAAGAATAAGACGTCATTAAACTACACCTTGCGTAGATTATACCGGATCACAGTACCCGGGGCTGGGAACGTCGCCGGCGCCAGCAGCCCAGTTTTGAAGTGTCAGGAATGTCGTATAGATGCAGCAAATTACACCAAAGACAGTCAGAGTCACGTCGGCAATTGCCTGCCGTCTGGAACGGGCGCAAGCTCGGAGGTGGAGTAAGGGCTGAATAAGGGATGTGGGTTAGCGTGGATCATTTTGGATTAGGAGGGTAACGGAGGGAATGTAGCTTACTGGGTAGACGTAGATAAGAGGGACACAGGCAAAGCTTCCGACCAGCGAAACAAACTTGTCCAGATTATCGGCACCGGCCCAGGCGACGATGGAGCAGAGAATCACCAAGAAGAAACGGAAGGCGTTCTTCTTCCACTTGATGTATGGATTGTACTTGCCGCTGCGGGTGAAGAGTTCGTTTTCTAGGATACGGATGGCGGGGAAAAGTTGTAGCGGTGTGCTCAACAAAATCGCTAGCGAATAGAGGAGCTGAACCACGTTGACAAACTTGTCATCTTGGGGCAGATTGAGAAGAATGACCGTCTTCGTGGCCGATCCATAGGCAGCGTAGCTCAGGCCACCGGCGGACAAGAAGATCAAGGTAATGATGATCATAACGCCGGCTAGAATGCCCGGGAATCGGCGTGGCTCCTTCATCGATTCCTGGATGGGAATAATTAGGCCAATACCCTCGTAGGTGAAAATCGCCGTTCCGATGAACATGGACCAGGTTGTCGGGTTGAAGTCAATGATATCCGCAATGCCTCCATTGCCAATGAGGGTGCTCGCATCGTAGTAGTAGATGTATAGCAGACCAAGCAAGATGAAGGCATCAGCGATCAGTGCGGTGAATCCGAGTTTGCTGATATCACGGATCAGGGAGAGAGGCAAGAAGATAACCAGTTGCATCAAAACCATGATCTTGATATCGATGAAGGACTTGCACTTGCTCACTGCAAGAACGAATGCCTGAAGGTTCTGGGAAACGAAGACAATATATGCGGAGACGAATCCCAACTGGCTCAAAACAATCGATCCCAGGATGATGCGTCGCATGTGCTTTCCATACAGAATACCACCGATATCACCAAAGGAGCCTTCGATCTTCATGCGAGTATTTACCAGTAGGATGAAGGCATAGTAGCTCAAACATGAAACTCCCAGCAGCACCATGCTACTAAACAGCATGCCTCCGTTCAAGAATGCACGGGGCAGGAACAGAATTCCCGTTCCCACAAATGACTTGAGCAGCAACATAACCGCGCCAGTCGTTGTAGTGTTTCCAGCAGGAGCACGCTGCTTGTGCTTGCGCTTTCGGCGGCCAGCCCCCTCCCCTTGGAGCAGGGCTGCATCTTCGCCAGACGCTCGACCTTCGGCTTCATCCCAGGACTCGGAGGAAAAGTACTCATCTGGTCCTAGCACTTCATCATCCTCCTCCAACTCCTCACCAGCGAAATGCCCATAAAGAGATAGAAACTCGATAAAGCTCGTAGTGGGAAGCTGAGGGTGTGCGGGTGCGCCAACTCCTGAATTCGATCCTCGAACACTTCCCCGGTGCGGACTACCTGCAGTTCTGCGCAAGTAGTCACGACGGAAACCACCAGGGACCTGTATCGTGTGGATATCCTCTGTTTCTTGCTCAGGGGTAGGTCGACTGACGCTAAAACTCTTGCTGCGGGCAAACCGACCTGCGGCCTCCGCCTCCGCATCTTCGGCCCATTTATACACTTGCCGAGTAATGTCTCCACCCTGCAGCTGCAGACTGGAGAACTCATCGTCACCCATGCTGGTGCCAAGCTCCGACGGAGTTTCTCGGGCCTCCGAGGCGTGCTGTGGCATGACCAGATGTCTTCTCACCACCTCGGGATCCTCGTAGGGCTGCCCTCCATTAAACTCAGAGCCAGTCTTGGTGTCGAACGAACCATACTGGGAGCCCAGAGGTCGGTTATCTTGCACCGCATGCAGGGCCGGAGACCCAGCGACCCGGGAGGGGGTCCCGAAATTCGGGGGCGAGCGACCGAGACTCTGTTGCAGTTGGGAAGCAATCATAGACTGGCCTGGACCAGGAAGTGAAGATGGGTCATCCACATATCGAAAATTTTGGTCGTTGGTGTATGTGATGTTGGAATTCGTTGTGGAGACGGGGCGGCCGGTCGGAATACCTTGACGAGACGACAACGAAGTTCCCAGAGCTGGCGAAGGAACCGGCGAAGCAAGGCGGGCAATCGAAGCTTGTCTGTTTCCCTCCGGTGCTGGCGACGTAGATCGAATGGACGAGGTCGAAATTGGCAGCGACCGGGGTGGGTTCAACGAAGAACTCTCTCCGTTGTCCATGGTGTCAGGGGGGGGGAGGGTCAGATCGACACTTGCTTGAATTGCATCAGGTTAATATACAACGAGCCCAGATTGTGCGCGAGTTGTATACGCAAACATTCAGAGAGGGAGAGAAGCGGGTGTCTCAAGCTCAAAGTCGGTCTTGTCTGTCTCTGTCTGCAACTGGAGGAGGAGGAGGAGGAGTGACAGCTGACAAAGTACCGCCTTTGGGCCGATCGGCGGAGTTTGCACTGTTTGTATTTTCTTCGTCATCCCCTCCAGACGCGCTGTGACGCAGGTGGTTGGATAGCTCTCCCTTGCTCGGTCTGCTTTTTTGCTATTTCTTCTTTCTTTCTTTTCTTTGAAATTACTCGAGCCGGGACTGTTGGATACTGCTCGTCTTCATGCTCTCGCTCGAGCAAATCTGATCATTGTTGACGGGTCATATCGTGATGTCTCGACGACGTCCGAACTTCTCGACTCGCACTCCTGAAGAAGATGTTTCTCGCCTCGACCCAAATGAACATGGAGACAATACGGAGAATCGTGCGGGCCTCTTGAACTGGCCCTCAAATATCTGGTCCCGACATCATGGGTTTGACCAGGCAGAGTCGGGAGAACCTCGACGGCATTCTCTACCCCGAAACTTTTTAGGGGGACTGTCTCGATGGTGGAACAACAGCACCGGAGTCGAACGAAATCATGACGCCCAAGACGAGAGTGGTATCTCACAGCTGTCTTTCTCCGCTGGACCTCTTCGAGAGTCCAGTGTGGATAAGAAAGATAGGAGTGGACATCGACCTCGTGCAACAGAAGAGACCAAAAAGCTTGGAACATTCTCCGGAGTATTTGTGCCTACCACGTTGAACGTGCTTAGCATTCTTATGTTCCTTCGATTCGGATTCATTCTTGGCCAGGCTGGATTACTGGGCATACTGGGTAGGGATCACCGGAGTAGGGGGTGGATGAAGTAGACTGGGTTTGTTACTAACCACTCTGTAGGGCTACTGTTGGTGTCATATATGATCAACCTCGTGACAACAATGTCTCTTTCCGCAATCGCATCCAATGGCACTGTCCGAGGTGGAGGTGCCTATTACTTGATATCAAGGTCACTCGGCCCGGAATTCGGTGGGTCAATTGGAATCGTGTTCTACCTGGGATATGTTTTCAACACCGGCATGAATGCTGTCGGTTTGATAGACTGCTTCACAGAGAATTTTGGTATGAACCGGGGCTCGTTGGCAAATTTCCTCGCTGAAGGTTTCTGGTGGCAATATCTTTGGGGAACTGTTATTTTGATTCTCTGCACCGCAATCTGTTTGGCAGGAAGTTCCATCTTTGCGAGAGCTAGTAACGGCCTCCTCATTATCCTCCTTGTGGCCACGTTTAGTATCCCGCTTTCTGCCCTCTTTGTGAAACCATTCTACTCACCCAAGGAACGCGTGGAATTCACGGGTCTCAGTTTGCAGACTCTAATGGAAAACCTCAAGCCTCATCTCACCAAGGGCGCTGCCGGCAGCCAGATGAAGGGAAGAGAGAATTTTCAAGACCTTTTTGGCATTTTGTTTCCTGCCACAGGCGGTATCTTTGCGTAAGTCGACCCATTCCTTCATGTCGTGCTGTGTTACTGACTTTCTTTTTTTTGGGCAGTGGTGCAAGTATGTCGGGTGATCTGAAACATCCGAGCAAAGCAATCCCCAAAGGCACCCTGTCTGGTCTTGCCTTGACATTCATCACATACGGATTGGTCATTCTTGCAATGGCGTCTTCCATCACCAGAGAATCGTTTTACAATAACGCCAATGTCATTCAAGTTGTATGTATCCGCTTCATATTTTCTTTTTTGTTACCAAGAAAATGCTGACACCTTCAAGGTAAATGCATCAGATATCCTTATTCTCCTGGGAGAATTTGCAACTAGTTTCTTCTCTGCCCTGATGGGGGTGATCGGTTCCGCAAAGCTTCTGCAAGCAATCGCGCGGGACAGTCTCCTTCCCGGACTTACCATGTTTAGTCAAGGCACTAAGAAAAGTGACGATCCTGTATATGCCATCATCGTGACATTCATTTTTGCCCAGGTCACGATGCTGTTCGATATCAATCGCATTGCTTCTTTTGTAACCATGGCCTACTTAATGACCTTCCTGGTGACAAACTTAGCTTGCTTTCTTTTGAAAATAGGATCAGCCCCGAACTTCCGACCGTCGTTCCGTTATTTCAACTGGCAGACTGCTGCCATCGGAACTGTTGTCAGTGGAGTCAGCATGTTCTTTGTGGATGGTCTATATGCAGGTGGATGTGTGGGAATCCTAGTGATTCTTTTCCTCTTGATTCATTATACCTCGCCGCCTAAATCTTGGGGCGATGTCAGCCAAAGTCTGATCTACCATCAAGTACGAAAATACTTGCTCCGCTTGCGACAGGAACATGTGAAATTCTGGCGGCCGCAGATCTTGCTTTTCGTCAGTGACCTTGATAGACAGTACAAGATGGTATCATTCTGCAACTCGTTGAAGAAAGGTGCCTTGTTCGTCCTTGGTCACGTCCTGGTGACAGATGACTTTTCAGCGGCCGTTCCAGAGGCGCGCCGTCAACAAACAGCGTGGACGAAACTTGTCGAATTTTCCAAGATAAAAGCATTTGTCAATATTGCAATTTCCCCGGCAGCTGAATGGGGCATGCGAAATATCGTCCTCAACTCCGGGCTAGGAGGAATGCGACCGAACATCGTTGTGATTGACCAATTTAGAGAAGACCAGAGCCTGGCAGAGACTTTCTCTTTGAGCAGCAATCGCAGAGAGTCTTCGAAATCCAGACGACGATCTTCCATCATTGGATCCAGACTTGATGCGGACGATCCTGCACCGCCCACCAAGGGCATGAGCTGTAAGAGCTACGTCACAATTTTGGAAGATATGCTCTTCAAGCTTCGCATCAATGTTGCTGTTGCCAAAGGATTCGAAGATCTCGAGTTGCCGGATCTTCACGGCCGCCATACAAAGAAATACATAGATCTATGGCCGATCCAGATGTCCGCGGAACTTGGCGCAGACACGGAAAGCAAACAGAATGTGCTTACTACAAACTTTGACACCTACACTTTGATCCTTCAACTCGGTTGCATCCTGAACACGGTGCCATCATGGAAGAAAACATATCAATTGCGGGTTGCCGTGTTCGTCGAGTACGAAACTGACGTCGAAGACGAGCGAGGACGTGTGGAGGCTCTTCTCGACAAACTGCGAATACAAGCCGAGGTGCTCGTATTCTGGCTTGCCCGCGGCGATCTCAAGGCCTACCGCGTCATTGTGAATGGCGACACCTCTCCGGAAATGGAAGATGCTCGAGAAAATGTGAATACTGTACTTAAAAATGAAGATTGGTGGCAGGGAGTCGTGAAGGCGCGCACCCGTTTCCAGAACATGCAGGAGCAGGAGCAGCAGCCCACGGCCGAAGATTTACCGCATATCGACCGAACATCGACATGGCAAGGCCCGACCAGTCAGGATAGCGGCAACCGGCCTCTTCAGCAGCGGGTCACAGGGTTACGCAGATTGATATCGAAGCGCCGACGATCCGTGTCTAGTTTCCGCGCCCTGGGAAGCGTCAGCCTTGGCATGCAAACACACCGCTTGTTGGATGCATTTGTCGACTATGACGGTGACGATTCATCCAGTGCAAGCAGCGACGACAGTGATTTCGACCCTTACACGAGCGATCCCGAGATTGACGAGGGCGAGGAAAGTATCGCGCATGAGGACGATGCGAGCAATCGAAATGGCAGCGATAACGCTGATCTTTTGCGACCCCTCGAACGGAGTCAGAGCGATGACCGTGGCTCTAGTGTGAGTCCAACTGCCGATACACCGCCTCGCAAGGATTCGTCCGGGCGACTGATTCCTTCGATTATCGAGACCGGCGACAATGCTTCGCCAAAGAGCAAGCCGACTTCCCGTCCGGGCATTAGTCGGAGTGCATCCAGCAACCGGTTCACTTCCTCGCCAATCCCCGAAGCCAAGGTCAACACGGACGCGGAAGAAGGTGCTGGTCCCAGTATCATGTTTGCGTCGAACGCCTCCCCGCCACGGTTCCATAGCAAACTTGACTCAATCTATGTGCGTCGCCCGTCGATGCCTTCGCCAAGCTCCAGTCAAACGGCTTCTGGGTTCCCTGGTCCCGCCTCGATCCCGTTGTCCTTTAATGACCTGCCCAGTCGGGCGCAACATCTTATTCTGAATGAGTTGATGGTGCAGCAGAGCAGTGATACGGCCGTGATCTTCACCACGCTTCCATCACCGGTGGAAGGGACATCCTTGGGAGAGGAAGATAGTGCCTCGTATTTGAGTGATCTAGAGGTGCTGTGGAATGGGCTGCCGCCGTGTTTATTGGTGCACAGCAATAGCATGACGGTGACGATGAATCTGTAAATGTGCTCAGGTGCACGGAAGATGTACACTTGTATGCAATACAATGCACATGGACATAAGCGTACACATACTGTTTCGTTCGGATACTTGTGTTAAATTTCGGAAATATCATGACTCTATATGGTCCATATACCTAGTCCATATACGCGTACTAGTCTACAGCATACTTTCTAGGGCTCGTATAGTAGTTTGTGGCCCTGTGGCCCCGGCCCCTCCAGGAAACTACTGCAGGTCAGCCGGGATCGGCGGGACTAAGAATCCTCTCTATCTTGACGTGGCTCTCTATTGGACGATAGGTAGTATATACAATACTCTGCGTATTCTATGTATTCTATATGTACAGGATGTGGCGGTTTGGAACTGAATATGGCGGGCTGTCCGTGTGCCCTAAAGCAGTACTAGTAATAGAAGGTGGTTGGACCCCTCGAACCAGAAAATGGATGATTGTATTATCAACAAAATGCTATAATAAACCAACTAGAAAGAAAATATCCCCACGCTAGACCCAAAACTGCTAAAGATGACCAACCTGCATTCGACAGGCTCTGATTGGCTGGCAGCGTGACTCGGGATACCCCGTAGCTACGAGCACCGATGATTTTCTGGAGTAAGCAACCTTTCATTGTACGGAGTCCCCGTACAATTGCTACTCATACTTATAATACTTCAAGTTCCCTTCTACCCTGTCACACAGAGAGATTGTTTGATTTCTCTCTGCCTGGGCCCCTTGCCGTTCTTTCATTCTTCCTGCGTCCATCTACTGCGCCCCCCTACTACTCCGCCCCTGAATTATTTATTCCTTTTCTTTTTCTAAACCATGACTACTGCCAGCGCCGGTCGATTGAACGGCAGCGTTAGAGGCTCTGATCCTACTCGTCGCCCTGTTGCACATTTCGATCTTCCTGACCGTTCTTACAATATGAATGCCTCAAATGGCAACGGGAATGGGCATGGGGTTGACCACCCCGACTCCGACAGTGCCTCCTCCACCTCAACCAACACCACCAACGGCACTCAAACACGCCGTCCAGGCATGGCTCGCAAGGCCTCATCGCCTATGGCCCCCGCCTTTATGGTCTCTGCCCCCGGGAAAGTCATTGTCTTTGGTGAACACGCCGTTGTTCATGGCAAGGCTGCCCTGGCCGCCGCCATCTCTCTCCGCTCCTATCTCCTCGTCACGACCCTCTCCAAATCTCAGCGTACGATCACATTGAACTTTCGCGACCTAGGGTTCGCTCATACTTGGCAAATTGATGAACTCCCCTGGGACGTCTTCCACCAACCATCCAAGAAGAAGTTCTACTACGACCTCGTCACATCCCTCGACCCCGAGCTCGTCGCCGCAATCGAACCCCACCTCGCACACGTCTCCAAGGACGTCCCCGAAGAAATGCGCAAGACCCACGTCCGATCCGCCTCTGCCTTCCTCTACCTCTTCCTCTCCCTCGGCTCCAAGCAAAGTCCCGGCGCAATCTACACCCTCCGCTCCAACATCCCCACCGGCGCCGGCCTGGGCAGCTCCGCCAGTGTCTGCGTCTGCCTGAGTTCCGCCCTCCTCCTACAAATCCGCACTCTCGCCGGGCCCCATCCAGACCAACCGCCCGAGGAAGCAGAGACTCAAATTGAACGCATCAATCGCTGGGCCTTTGTCGGCGAGCTCTGCATCCACGGTAACCCCAGTGGAGTCGACAACACGGTAGCCGCAGGCGGCAAAGCCGTGATCTTCAAACGCTCCGATTACACCAAACCACCCGAGGTCATTTCCCTGCCCGATTTCCCCGAACTGCCCCTCCTTCTCGTCGACACGCGCCAGTCCCGCTCCACCCTGACCGAAGTCGCAAAGGTTGGCGAATTGAGGAAACGCCATCCGGTAGTTACAGAGTCCATCCTCGACGCAATTGACCAAGTCACCTGCTCCGCACGCTCTCTCATCGAATCCCCCGGCTTCGAGGGTGCCTCAGACGACACCCTCGAGCACTTCGGTACGCTTATCCGCATCAACCACGGCTTCCTCGTTTCCCTGGGCGTCTCGCACCCTCGTCTCGAGCGCATCCGCGAACTCGTCGACTACGCCGATATTGGTTGGACGAAGTTGACCGGTGCTGGTGGTGGTGGGTGTGCGATTACTTTGCTCCGCCCGGACGCGAAGCCCGAGGTCGTGCGTGGTTTGGAAGCGAAGCTTGCGGAGGAGGGATTCGCCAAGTACGAGTCTACTCTTGGCGGAGACGGCGTTGGCGTGCTGTACCCTGCTGTTCTGCGGAATGGGTCTGATGAGGAGGGCGGCGAGGAGATTGATCAGCAGAAGTTTGAGAATGCCGAGGGGCCTGAAGGTATTGAGAGGCTTGTTGGTGTTGGCGCCAGTGCCCAGGAGAGGAGGGAGGGTTGGAAGTTTTGGAAACGCGCTACGCAATGATACCTTTCTTCATCCGAGTCCTCTTCTTGCCTTAGACCAACTCAACCCAATGGCTCAATGCTGCGTCAGTTGCCCCTATTGGATCTGGCTTGATCTGACCTGACCTGATTATGGGATGGTATCTCTCACCCGTCCTCATCCTCCCATTGGACCATGACATATCATGGTACCACTTACCCTTTTTTATCCCATTCTGTCTCATTCTCTGTACACATTTTCCCTCCTATGCATTATACACCCTACCTTTATGATCCCATTGGAAACCACTGTCCAGAGCCCTGCTTTCTTCCTCTCGTCTCTACTGCTCTTTTATTCTTTTTTCACTCTAACCTTTTATTCCTGCATTTGTTTTGGTCTTTTTCTCTTTGCATTCTTATCCTCTTATATTCTTATCTTCTTCTTTTCTTCGTTATTCGTTCACCTTGGAAGCGGGGTCTCTATCACGCTACCTACTACCTACTCACTCTAACTATCTCCTCACTTATTGATGAAAGAACTGAAAAAATCTCCTTTCGGGTTTGGCATGTGCATGTTTCTGGCGCTGGTGTGTCTGTCCATTGTGGTTGCTCCGGGCTATGAGATACATTAATATTACTATATTCAAGTTTATCCATTCTCTTCTTTTCCTTTCTAGTGCACGCTTTCCATAAGATAATCATACTATATTCAGTTCAAGCTGAGAATTTGGCTCAGCCCACAGTAAGTGTTGGACTTTGTACTATATGCCCCCTCTAGAGTTTTCTGTTGAAGCAACTTGAAGCCTTGTAAATCACCCCATGGTAGTCTCCCACCCCTTCTCAATCATAACATCAATCCAATAAGCATCCGTCTCCCCCGCATCCATCCTCTTCCATACCTCTCTCACCAGCCTCAGACAGACATTAATCGGTTTTGGCGGGAGCACGTGTAGGAATGAGGTCAGTCTGCCGAGGATGAATCTTCTTGTGCGGGAGATTTCGATGGCTTCCATTGATATACTTGGTTGTTCGGTATCTTCGGAGTCATTGGTGTGGTCGTTTTCGAGGTCATCTGGAGTTTGATGATGATTTTGATGTTGAGGCTGATGTTGAGGCTGATGTTGACTTCGAGTTCGAGTTCGACTCTGTGGGGTATCGTGGGAAGTCTGAGGTAGGTGTGATGTTGACCGCGGGAGACGAAGCTCGCTACTCGCTGCGACGAGTAGGAAAGGCTGTAGACATCTTGTGCGAGATTCGAGTGGGATAGTCTTTAGACGGGATAGGGTTGTTATAGCGAATTCCGTGAGCCAGTTATTATATAGGGTTTCTGAATTGTTGGGTTCGGTGTCTGTATTTGTATTTGTGAAGGTATTTGTTGTAGAGGGCGAGGGCTGTGTTGGATGATGCGTTTGATTTCCAGATAGACCTCCTCGAGCCGAACCCGGGTTTATATTTGTATGTGTATGCGTATCGCAGAATCCCCCCTCCAGCTGACATATTCATACTGTCCAGATCAACCGGGAAGAACGGGTCTCGGGCGGAAGTGGGTGACGATGATGAGGAGGAGGAGGAATTAGGTAGACGATTGCGAAGCAAATCAGGAAAGACGCGATATAACTGCATCAACCCCGTACAACGGTAAACCTCCGCCATAGTGAGTAGGTGCCAGACAGGTGTTTCGTCATCGCCGGGCGAGACGATTTCCGCCTCAGTAGGGTGCGCAAGAGCGAGGAGTCTTTCTTCCAGTTCTCGCGCTTTCTCAATGGCAATCTGAGCGCGGGCGATCTCTTCCTGCGAGGTGAATCTGCGTGCGCGAACACGTTGCCGTTCACGTCGGACTAATCGGCCTACTTCGTGTACTGTGAATTGGGTATCGCGAGCGATACCCGTCCAGGGATGCGGTACTCGTTGAAGAACGAGGGGCTCGTCCATTGAGGAGGGATGGGAGTCTGAAGAGACCATGTCTGTATCGGCGACGAAGGAGAGCAGCATTTCCCAATATATAAGCGCTTCTTCGAAGAAGCGGTAGTTGTTACTTGTGCTTTTCACGAAGCCGAAGTCTGGAGTGGTGGATGATCCGATTGTGGTAAGTTGTTGGCGCAGGAGGTTGAAGAAAGATATACCCAGATCCTGTGGGTCGTGCCAGCTTGCTGTTTGGCCGAGCATGAGGAGGGCTAGGAGGGCTTTGTCGTCCATGACTGCTTCGCGGGTTATGATTTCCACGGCCTCGTCTCGCATTTTGCGGCCCAGGGGTCCGAATTGGGGGAAGTCGTTTACTAGGGTTGCGGCGGCCATGCTTTGCATTGTGCGGCACATTGCTAGTGATGAGCCCCATAGACGTGATACCGTCGTGCGGAATGGATTCATTTGGCTGTCGTAGCTGGAGAAGAGGGCCGCGACCTCTTTGAAATAGTACTCGATGAGTGTCCATGATGGGTTGTTTAGTGGCCGGGAGATTGACATGAAGTCGCGAGATGTTGATCGCTGCGGTGCGGGCGGATAGCTTCGTACAATGGTTGATGGGGAGAAATCACGGTATATACTGCCTGACCCTCCCCCTCCCCCCTCCCCCTCCTTCTTCGTCGGTATTTGTCGGTCCGATCAATGAGAGGAAATGTGAGAGGTCTATTGCATTTTCTGCAGAAGAGATAAAGTCATCGACCGCCTGATGAGACTGCTGGAATGCCGATGATGTCGGGATTGGGGATGGGCATAGATCAGACAGTTCAGGCAAGGATCCGTTGCCTGGTAGATCCCACAGGTGATCGCAAAGTGGATTTGATTCATCGAGGCCAAACTCCGAAGATTCCAAATTATGCGAAGTCCCGCCGATGGGGTCGTCAGTGGGTAGAAGCTGCTCCGTCGAATGCGAAGGCTGTTTCGGTGATATTTGAGGAGGCGCAGGACTCAAGGCCTTGCCATCGGACGATGCTCCAGGACTGGGCTCTTCATATTTGGTGACCCATTTCAGGGACTGTACATAACCGGGGCATCGGACCCCTAGGCGACTACAGCGATTGCAGTGAGGCTTCTCCTCTCCGCACTTGACCTGTGGATCTGCGTTAGCTAGGACGCCCCATCTCACAAGCGCCAACCGACCCAGGTGAGAGAATATACGCACTCGCTTAGTTTTGCATCGGGAACACCCGTTGCGGGATTTCTTGACTCGACGCATGGTTGTCGTTAAGGATGAAGTAATGAAGGACGGACATTGCGGAGTCGTTAGAGTTGACTCGTGCGGGGGAGATTCCAATGCCAAGTCATCGCGGCAGTTGTTGTAGAGTGGACACCCCAACGGGATCCCTTTGCCTTTTTGAGAAACCCTGGGTGACTGATAAGGGTGGATTTATGTCTTTGCGAATAAACAGAGAATCGTGTTGTTCTCTTGAAGATATAAAGCGTTTAATGTCCCCCTCAAGCCCTCGAGTAGAACGGAGATGGTTTGCCCGTCGGCTGGCATACTTGCACTCGCGAGGTCATTGATTTGGAGTGGTAGTTTACATCAGTTTCCTTTAACCACTCGATAAATATAACCTGCTCTTTTAAATTGGCAGTGATTAGTCCGTACAAGATTGAGTCCTTTTGTTGACAAACTCTCGTGATACCTGAAGTTATGCGGAGACATCGATTTTCTCGTTCCAACATTTGCTGTCCCATCACACAGAAGCAATTCATTACTGCTAGCACATTGCCTTCGCATTGTTCCTATTCTTTCTGAACTCTTTCTACGAGACCTTCGCAAAATAAACTTGGGAAATGGTGGCGGCACTGGGGGCTAAGTGTGGTCGGCGAACATTCCGTATTACATATCCTAAATGGTATTGTAATTCCCGAAGTGTTTCGCATAAATTACATTCCCATCAAAGATCCGGTGAATTTTCGAAATCACTTGAGTTTTTCGTTTTTTTGCCATACTTAAGAGTATCTCCCACCGCCCGTAAGGTTACAGTGTATTATTACCCGTCCAGAACACGTTTTATTTTCAACCTGATTTGGAAACAGTATCGTTTGGGTTGAGAGTAATTCCTTAGAAAGCCGTTTACGAAGGCTTTCTCTTTCTCCCCTGCCTTATTTTCTGCACTCAGCGATATCCATCAGGCGCCTGGGCATGCTGTCTCTGGCTTCAAGTTTCGATCAATTCCATCCCCGGGTATCGGTATCTGTACTAGTACTCGTAGTAAACATACATACTCCGTCTACTCATTACATTCTCCTTGTGCTATTATATGGCGAGATGCTCCGAGTCCCTGCCATTGTAACGCTTTCAACAAATTGTAAAGGTACTAGTATTAGTACTTTTAGTCACCTTTTTTGAGTTCTTCAACCATTGGCTCGACATTGACAGCGGCTTGAGGGCCAACCCGTCTGGGGTATCAAAGCGTTCCCCACAGCTCACAATTTCAATCTATAATATTCACTTAGATTGGCAGTTGACCAATCTAGATCCCTAGATCTACGCGCTAGACGGCCGCTTGTCTCTAAGCGAAAAAAAAGCACTCCGTCTGCCTCGTCTAAGATCTCAGGGGAAGCACCTGGGCAAGCCGTGAGATCCGGTGAGATGCGGGGACACGCAGGGGACGGGGCTGAAATAAATACTAAACGATCGCCCACTCACTTCGAACTGCGTCTCAGCCCTTTGTTTACTGTTAATTTGGCCTTTCAGCGATTAAAAATGAAGCTCCTCCCGTTCTACACACTCTCCTTATCCTTGATTGGATCGGCCATCGCATCCTCGACCAGCGACGTTGCCCCTATTGCGCTTTCATCCCTCGCCGATGGCTGCACGCCGGAAGTTTACACCGACGCAGGCACAATTGAGGCGATCCGAAACACACTGGCGATTTATCCTTTCTCAATTGACGGCAAAAACTTTGATGCGCTCAGCAAGGTGTTCACCGCTGACGCGACAGCCAACTATTCAGCACCTCTCAACGTATTACACCCACTGACTTCTATTCAATCGACCTTAAAAGCAAGCCTGGAATGTGTAACCACGCAGCATTTATACGGCACTCAATGGATCGATGTGCTATCACCCACCACTGCGCGATCGATAACATATTACCGGGCTGCTCATTTTGGTAAAGGGGACAGCGCGAACCAGGTCTTATACGCCTATGGTCAATATCAGGACAACTGGGAGCGTCAAGCTTTGGGTACTTGGCGCATTGTCCATCGTAATCTGGTCTACATGGTGAGACTTCTCGTTGATAATTGGCATCGAGTGTCAATATTGACAAATTTTCGTCTAGGGTCCTATCATTGGCAACGAGACTGTTTTCGTCTGCTAAATCGTCAATCATGGCTGGACACATGCGCGCGGTGCTAGAGCATTGCTGATGATACACTCTTGGGGCTTGCCTTTCACCATCTCATCCATCCCACGGATACGATGACCGTCGTTTTCGTTGACACGGGCCTTGATACATTGACAAAATGATTTCAAATTTAATTGAGGAATAATTGGGGCTTCATAAAATCCATCTACGAGGTAGTTCAGTGCAGACGTGTGTTTCTTCTTCTTTTTTACTGTTTTTTTTTTTCTGCCGAGGCTTTGTGCGATCGACAATGCATCTGGTAGCAACCTTGAAATAAGCAAAGCCGGTTTAGATAAACCCAACGACAGGAGATCAAATCTTATCAGATTTGAAAGCTTCGGCCAATTTCAAAGCCGTTAACACTTGCGTTTTTGTTTTGAAGTCAATCGAAGATGGTCTGGTCATCGAGACCCGATTACCCCGGTGCATTAGATAGTTACATGTTTGGAAAACCGGATTTTTAATTTCAAGTTTGGCCAACTTTGTATGGTAATCGCCATAATTAACCCGGGGGTATGGGGAAGTAACTTTATAGTTCAGCGCTGTATTTCTTTTCTTATCTAGTGCATTGCAGGGCAGCTTATTTCCGAGAGACTCAAATATGGAGATCCTATTACAACGGGCATTTCCAATAGAAGTACCTAGTACCAGGTATAGAATATTGATTACTCCCAGCCCGTGGCGCACGGCATATGCTACTATTACTATATCGACCAGCCTAATCTACCGCTAATAGAAGGCACGAATGTTTAAAACCACGAGCAAAGAAGAAAGAAAGCTTAGAAATATGCTAGGATTGGATTGATATATCAGTAAAAAGTATCGCAGAAGTAGTAGTCGTTCACCTCTAGACAAAAAAAAACTTATATGGAGATTGTGCAACAGATTTAGAAGGGCAGGATCACATATCCATGCCAAATTAGGCCCATCTGTCCCTTTGAAAATGAAGTGTAGGGCTCATATGATACTCAAATCCCGAAAGGTAAAACATTGGTTAGATCGGTCTCGGGTCTATTTGCGTGCTATCTCCCACGAATGCCGAATTTTCTACTTCTAGCACGATAAAGGTCAAAGTCAATGCTTTGGGTGGGAATACAGGTTTTCTAACTTCTTGCAAATGAAAAAGCCGATTGGAGCAATCTGAGGACACATGGTAGATTCTCCGATATTATTCGCCATCCTATCTATCCCGCCACCATATGGCATGTCCGCGTGGTTCTGGAAGTCCGTCCGCACCCCGCTTCCTCACATCGTGCGGGATACAGCCCTGAATTAAGCGAACATCTATTGGCCACTCCTATATGCCAATATCGACTAGGATAATGTTGGCGACAAAGCGGTTGCAGGAAACACGGGACATTAGCGCTACTGGATCGCGTTATCTTGTCATGTGCTGACGCAACAACGCGACCAGGGGATATCATCGGCAAGGAATCTCCACCCCGCGCTCATGCAAAGAGACAAACAAACATATGCCTATAAAGATCAAGAATTAGGATAGTCTTTGGTGATTTCCTGATTAAGCATCATGGTACTTTTATGCTCCTTCGTGAAGGGATTGATGATGATGTTTCACAACATGAGCTATTCACCATGGGAAATAATGGAAGTTGGGACCAAGATTTTAACGTAGTAGCGCTAGAGCCAGAGAGGAAAGGCCGGTCTTTATTAACATGCGACCATTATCTTCTCCGGTATGCTACACCCCCCCCCCCCCGCCCGGGTGTTGCGCTAACTAACCATAGGATAGGGATGGTTCTCCCCCGGCGCAATCTACGTCTCTGTGGCGGGGCGATGGAAAATACAAAGAGCGACCAAGTCTTCCAAGCACGATGGCTAATTTTTTAGTTGGATGGTATCACGAAGCTACCTTCCTTTACTTGTGCACAGACTCTGGCATGAATCTGAGGTCCTTGCCACATAGAGAAATTCCTTAAAAGGTCGGTTCTCCCCCGACTAGTCTGGAAATTTGGATGGTCGATCATTTCAAAACGCTGTGCGAAGTTTCTCAGGCATTGAAAACGACACAGGATGGCCTCGACTGCAGCTGTCTCGTCCGAAAAGGGCAGTGACATTTCTGTCTCCGGACAGGTAACGCCGGACGAAAAGACCGCTGTCAATGTGCATTCTGGAGAAAAGGATGATAAGGCCGGTGAAAAGGACCTCAGCATTGAAAGTGACCGCAACAGTGACAATGTTGTTATTGTCACAGGTGCTGACGCTGCTGCTCACTTGATACCACTGCGGGATGATTTCGATACTGTCTTGACATTTCGCAGTATTATCCTAGCGTCGGGCTTGGCTTGCTTTCAGGCTGTAATGAATCAGATTTATCAGGCAAGTTGTTTGATTGATTCCTAGAGTGTGCAGGGTAACTAATACGAGGCTTGTCTTCAGTTTAAACCGACTCTTATTACCATCCAGGGGACTTTTATTGTTCTCATTTCCTACTTTGTTGGCAATGCATGGGCTAAATTGCTCCCCCGCGGTGACAAATTCGAGTCAAAGTGGAGGGCTAAAAATGGCCAAGGAAAACTGCCGAGATGGATTTTGTTTCTCAAGTTTATTAACCCCGGTCCTTGGTCGCTGAAAGAACATTCCATTGCCGCGATCACGGCTACCTCGGCCTCGAATGTCTCTTCTGTCTCCCAGGTATGGGCCGCGCAGGACCTTTTTTACGATATTCCCATCAGTGCGGCCACCGTCATTCTGAGCACTATCTCGATCGGTCTTTTTGGCTATGGCTTATGTGGAATCATGCGCCCTATTGCTGTCTGGCATACCGAGGCTGTATATTGGAGTACATTACCCACCGTCAAGACGCTCCAGGGGCTTCACTGGCAACAGGTGAAAGATTCAAAGCCGCTCAGATACTTCTGGTATGCTTTCGCCGGAATGTCTGTGTATGAAATCTTTCCGGCCTATGTCTTTCCATGGCTAAACTCCATATCTATTCCGGTGCGTGGTCTGGTGATTATTTCGGAGCTTATGGTTATCACTCACTAATCCGTCGGTTACAGTGCCTGGCCGCGCAGAAAGCCACAGGTAACACGGCTGGAGTTTTGACTAACCTTTTCGGTGGCGCTACCAATAATGAAGGACTTGGTTTATTTTCTGTCTCGCTTGACTGGCAATATGTAAGAAACCTTCCTGTTATTCTGTCAAGTCGGGTTTGAACACTGACATTCAAAGCTCACATCATTTCAAACCTCCCTTCCGTTGAAGCTACAGCTTCATCAACTAGCAGGACTTGGTGCTTGCTTTGTTGCCATGCTTGGAATTTATTATGGCAATGGATGGAACTCACGATCGCTCCCTTTCATGTCAACAAGACTTCTCAGCGCCAACGGAACAGCATATCCCGTCAGCAGTGTATTCCCTGGTGGTATACTCGATGAGGCTGCTTTGTTGGAACAAGGTATTCCCAAGCTGACGGGGACATTTGCGTTCGCGATGTTAATGGCCAATGCTGCTGTAAGAGCCACCAAAGTACTTTGTTCAAAATGGAAACTAATAAAGGTGATAGATCGGTGCCTTGATCGTCCATTGCATTTTGTTCTGGGGAAGTGATATTAAACGAGCATACAAAAGCGCCAGAGAAGGGAGATTCGACGATCGACACCATGATCATATGGCAAAACACTACAAGGAGACACCATGGTGGTGGTATATTATCGTACTTGTCGGCAGCTTTTTCCTGGGCCTCATTGTGGTCCTGAAAGAGAACATTACCCTGCCAGTCTGGGCCTATATTGTTTCGTTGCTCGTGGGAATTATCATTGCGCCATTCGTGAGTGTTCTATCCGCACATTTGAGAAATTCATGGACTGACTATTCATAGAGTGTCATTCTTTACTCTCGCTACGGCAACGGTATTGCGACAAACAACATTTCAAAGATGTTGGCAGGTTTGATGCTTCCCGGTCGTCCAATCGGCAATATGTATTTCGCAGCTTGGTCACACAACGTTATCACGAACGCTGTCAATCTTTCCAATGACCTTAAAATGGGAGAATACCGTGAGTATTGCTCGATACACTACTACCATGCAGCCAAAAAACTCCAATACTGACTGATAGCTTAGTCAAGATCCCTCCGCGCATAATGTTCCTCACTCAAATGTATGGAACTATCCTTGGCGGATTCATCAACTACGCAGTGATGATCTCCATTGTGGGAAGCAATCGAGAACTCCTTGCCGATGGCAACGGAAATTCTTCCTGGAGCGGTGCAACTAGCCAGGCTTACAACACCAATGCCGCATCTTGGGCACTGGCTCCATATCTCTACCGGAGCGGAAAAGAATACGCAATGATACCACTGGGAATTGTGATCGGCGCTGGGGCTGTAATCGTTCATCGTCTCTTCTACCAGGTACTCGAGTTTCGGAACCCCCTCCCCTCGATACCAAACTAACAACAATTAGTTCGTTCCGAAAGTTGGCAACTTCGACGTCTCTGAGATCAACATGGCACAGTTTATTCAATATGCAGGTTAGTAAAATTAGTAATAAAATGGTTGTTGCGAGGCGAAGTTCGTTAACGTCCGGCTGACCCACACGCGCACAACCCCCCCCTCCGAGTCCTTCAATGCCAAACTAACACGCGTGACGAAGGTTATATACCTTACAATCAGTCTCAAACATGTGTTCTAGTTACGTGGATTGTTTCTGGACTTTACGTGCAGTTCTATCTGCGGAACTACAGACCGAGAATCTTCAAAGATTACTCGTATCTGGTCACCGGTGCATTTGATGGCGCCAGTTTGACCGTTCTCTTCATCCTTTCATTTGCGGTATTTGGTGCTGGAGGCCCAAGTCGCCCTTTCCCATCCTGGTGGGGGAACAATGTAAATGGGAATTATGATTGGTGCCCGACTTCAGAATAGCCCTCGTGGGTTTGAAGATGGAGGAGGACCTAACATGGGTCAACGTGGATGATGGACTTCAACTTGGCAAAGTTAGATACCTTGCT